AGACCGGTTTATATAATATTATTTTACAATAGTTTATCTCATATTTAAAATAGTATTTTTTTACACTTCATATTTAAAATAAGATTATATATATATATAATAGAACTATTTTAATCAATTTAAATTTTAGGTTTATAATAATTGATTAGAATATAATTTGGGTTTTAAAATGATTTCGTTCTGAAGGTACATTCTCTTCTCTTCTCTTCTCTTCTCTTCTCTTCTCTTCTCTTCTCTTCTTCTCTTCTCTTCTCTTCTCTTCTCTTCTCTTCTCTTCTCTTCTCTTCTCTTCTCTTCTCTTCTCTTCTCTTCTCTAATTCAACACCAATACCAAAATTTATTAATAAGAAACAAAAAATTATTTTTTGCTAAATGCCGTGATTGGCATTTGTCCATCATTTTTATATTATCATATTTATAAATCGGTACTTAAAGTTTTTTTATCCCTTATTTATATAACTTTGTATATAATATATATTTTTATTGTTAATAAACAATTACGTAATTGAGATATAAACTAGATATCTGCAAAAATAGGCCCGGCCCGTACCCGGCCCGAAATGGTTACGGGCCGGACACGAGCCTAATTTAAAATAAAATTTGGGCCAGGTCGGGTCGGGTCGGATCTTAGAAATTTTTTAAAATATATTTAAATTTATCAATTTTATTTTGAATTTTTTGTGTAAAATAAAAATATTTTATATTATTTATAGAACTAGACCCCATATAACATATGCCTTTTATTTTGAGTAATTATAAAAATTAATTTCTATATTTAAATAATGTTCGAGCCTGGTAAATTTTCTTAAAAAAAATTTCGGATTCGGGTCGGGCCGGCTAAACTTTTTAGAAAAAATTTCGGGTTCGGCCAGGCCGGCATAAAAAATTAAGCCCGATGTAGATCACTAATATAAACATCGATTTTTAATATATAAAGGAGAATTATAAGAGTCTTAATTGGCAATGGGGATAAATTAGATATAGATATTTAAAAAAACAACTTTGACGGGCCAGGACTGACTTGGTTCATTAATTGTTTAAAAAAATAATTATCTTAGCCTGGTCCAACCTTTTCTAATTTTATTTAAATCCCTGCCCTGCCTATAAAATTTCACTTATTTCTGATTATTATTTTTTTTTGAATTTACCTTATATGAGAAGAGAAGAGAGAGAGAGAAGAGAAGAGAGAAGAGAAGGAGAGAGAGAGAGAAGAGAGAGAAGGAGAGAAGAGAGAGAAGAGAAGAGAGAGAGAAGAGAAGAAGAAGAGAAGAAGAGAAGAGAAGAGAAGAAGAGAAGAGAAGAAGAGAAGAGAAGAGAAGAGAATGTACCTTCAGAACGAAATCATTTTAAAACCCAAATTATATTCTAATCAATTATTATAAACCTAAAATTTAAATTGATTAAAATAGTTCTATTATATATAATCTTATTTTAAATATGAAGTGTAAAAAAATACTATTTTAAATATGAGATAAACTATTGTAAAATAATATTATATAAACCCGTATATATTTATTTTTTTTAATATGGATATATGCAAAAGATTAATTCATTTTTTAAGAACAAAATCGTAATTATTTTGTTCATTCAATTGTTTAAATTTTAAATAGGTTTTATTTCAAATGTGAAATTATTGATTCATTTTTCACATATTTATAATCAATTCGAAAAGTGCATATTATAAATCAGTAAATTTCAACTGTACGATTCTATAAATATCATGGACGCTGAACCAAGTCAAAAGTCGATACAATCTCAAAGATACGATTTGATAAATACCATTGACGATAAAACAGGTAAAAAGTCGATACAATCTCAAAGGGACGATTTGACAATAAAAGAAATAGCCAATACCAGAAATACGATATTTGGAACGAATCTGAAGATCGATAAATTTCTACTTCACAGGGGAGATGGACACTGAGTTTATGAGGGGTGGGCTTGTCGCAGTTGTTCAAAATGACAATTAAATAATTTAAATAAACAGTGTATTATAAGGAGGATCAATCATTTTATTTGTTATTTTATTTCTGATAAAAAAAGATCTTCATTATGTAAAATTTCTGATTTTATAAAAAAGAAATAAATTTTATTTATAATCGGGAAGAAATTGTGTGATAAATATTTATTCTTTTGTGATATGGTATTTAAGAAAAAAATGATTATTGTTAATTGTGCATTAAATGAAACGTATTATTCTCTTTAATTTGTTTTTAGAAAAATTGCTAATAGAAAAAAACAGAGAAATTTAAATATTTTAAAGACGACATCTTGCGGATGAGATTTCATTTTTTTTAATTTTTTAAAATTTAATTATTTAATTTTTTCTCAGGGAGCAGAGTTTTTAATGCATAATCATACTAACAGAATAAAATTTTCATCTAAGTATATACTGCCAAAAATAATTTTCTTCCCTTTTTATAACATACACTATTATCATATTTTTCTTTCTCTAAATCAACCATACACAAAACATGTTGTTTAATTTTGATTAATTAGAAATTTTAAGGTTCTTTAATGTTCAATCTAAAAATAAATATATAAAATTATAAGATTTATATATATTATTAATTTTTACTTTAGCTTCTTAAATGCTCAAATAAATCTTTAGCTTCTTTTATTTTCTAAAATAAAATAAAAATTATAGTGTAAAATATATTAATATGAACCTGTATTTATTTTTTAAAATGGAGTTTTCCGGTATCTTTCAGGAAATTAATAATTAGATCGATCTGTGGGTGTTAGGTAGTGTTAACCATCACCCAATATTATATTAATCATAACTATAATATAATATAATCTTATAACCAATAACTCATAATGTAAAATTTTTTATAAAAAATTTTAGGCCCGGCCCGACCGGATATGTTTAAAAAAAATTTTAGGCCTGGCCCTGCCCAGGTATATTTAAAAAATTTAAAATACAGGGCCGAGCTTGCAGTTCTCTGACATATATACAATATTCTGTTAACATGGAATACACTTTAATATTTCTTTTTTTAAAACAAATTTAATAATTTTTTTCTTTTTTATCACATAAATTATTTACATATTACCACTATGCAATTCAAATAAAAGAGAAGCAATTTTTTCAAAAACACCACTCGTGTTATTTTCTTTTAAAAAATATTTTACTCTTCACTTTTCCTTCCCTAAAAGAAACGCATAAAACATGTTATTTAATTTTATCCTCTTTTCTTTTAAAATAACATAAAAATATTCCCTTATATTTATTTTCTGTTTGTCCCCACAAGTGTACATTTCACGAAAATTCGATTTAAATCAAATTTAGTGATATTCTTTTGGCTCACATAGCTTTATATTAATATTTAAAAAAATGATACATATATCAGATAATTCCAATTAAGTATTTTACTTTCATCAGCAGAAGTATTCACTCTTCTCTAAGATGATATGTACCTTGATATATATTATCAAATAATAATACATTTATTTAACATTATAAATATATGTCAATCAATTTATAGTTGATAAGGAGAAAAATAATATAGATATTGAATGTTTATTGATATTGATAAATATCGCGAATGGATAAAAAGATTGTAGTTCTTTGTTTGAGAATTAAGAATGAGTTTTTACTTTTAAAAAAAACTTGGCACTTGATATACTTTTCGACGGAATATATTTGAATAAAAACGATTACAAAAAAGAATTGTAATTTTGAATTAAAGTTATACTTATTTTAATATTGTTACAAATCCTTATATGAATTTATATTATTATATATAAGTGGTTAAAAATATCATATATAAATTATCTTAAAATACCAAATTTACAATATTTTCTTCTAATATATGATTAGTATAATTAAGATTATGATTAACACATAGATAAATATATTAATTATTGTAAGTAATCCTTATTACATGCATATTGTTATACTTTTCACAAATAATAAAAATTATATTTTTAAAATAAACTTTTAGATGTCTCTTTAAATTTGAACTACTAGAGGAGGAATTCTTGTTTTTGCATAAAGAACATTTTGCATAGATCATTGTCTGGCTACTTCCATCCGTTGCACATAGAGTAAAATACTTACGTAAATTATGAAATGGTAAAAGATTCTCATTCTCACCTGTATCTACTGTCATATCAATAGTAGTACTAGTAGATGTATCATCTTCTAAATTTATAATGGAGGACATTAGTAAAACCTAGATTTATTTATATTATAATATAATTAAATAAAATAAATAAATAAAACTTGTATTTGTAAGCTTTAAATCACATTTTTGAAATATGGTGCAATGGTGATTGATAAAATATGATGTAGATAGATATTTTTTTTTAAATAATATTTTAATTTAATTTTCAAAATTTTTATTTTATTTGTTGCTTTTTTAAGTAAAAAATTAATTTTTAAAAGGATCGGGATCGAATATTTAAGAAAAAGATCTAGATCACAATCCTCAATTTGAGGTCAGAATTCCGAATCCAGGAAAATTAACAAATTTAGGATCGAATCCAGGATCGGCGATTTGATTCGATCCTTTAACAACTCTGAATATACCTTAATATGTTTAACAAAATTTGTGTTGAACCCTTTATTCATGAGTTCTAAAATGCCAAAAAAGCCTCACTATATTCATATCATAGGAAAATTATTTATGAAGAGTATACAATATGCATATAATAAGGATTATTTACAATAATTAATATATTTATTGATATGTTAATCTTAATTATAATAATTATATATTAGAAGAAAATATTGTAAACTTATTTTTAAGATAATTTATATGACCTTTTTAACCACATATAAATAATATATCATATATTTATATAACAAATTTGTTTCGAACCCTTTATCATTTTTTTTGTTTATACACATTGTTTTTTTAACTTATATTTTAAAAAAATTTCCAATCTAAAATTTAAAAAATATGATTTGATTTAGGGGAAGTTATTTTCATCCAAATCTGTTACATAATATATTTTTCTTTTATAAAGAAAAAGCATAGTGAATTCAAAAATGAGATTGCCAAACACCTCAATGAATTCTCTACAACACATAATTCTCTACAAAAGCAAATTGTTCCTTGTTGCAGATCGAAACAAACTAAAATAAATTTTCATAATCTTAACATGCCTTCAATATCACAAAAAACAGCTGACAAAGTAATCATGGAGTTTATTATTGACACCTTTAAACCACTTTCACTGGTTGATGATCCTTCATTCCAGAAAATGATTAAAACATTTTCTTCGACGACAAAAGTTATTTGTCGTCAGACTCTAGGCAATAAAATCTCTACAGCATTTACTGATATGACAACAAAGCTTATAAGAGATTTGTCAAAAGTCTCCTTTTATATGAATTTTATATTATTTTTTTAGGGCTTTTATTGGAGTTACTGTCCTTTGGATGGACCCATTAACCCTCAAGAGAAGATCAGCAGCTTTGGCACTGAGGTGTATAATAGGAAAGCAAACATATGATGTTTTGGCTAAGGAAATTATGGATATCCACAAGACTTATAAAATTCATAATAAGGTGGTGAAGATGGTTACCGATAATGGAACCAATTTGTCAAGGCATTTGAGTAATATTTATATTTAACAAAAAAAATTATTTAAAATAAATTTTTTATTTTTTCTAGAGTTATTTCGAGAAAATGAAGAAGATAGTGAGGATATGGAATTAATAAATTTGGATGACATATTATCTGTTGATGACTCAAATAATCCTATCTGCCTTCCGAAGCATCAACGTTGTTGTTGCTATAATCTAAACCTGATTGCAACCAAAGATGCTGAGAAGGTAGAAAATTATAATAATTATAAGCGAATATCTAGAACAACATTTGCTAAATGTTTAGCCTTAATTAATAAACAGAATATGGCCCCAAAATGGCAGATATTCTATTGCAGAAATTGGGAAAGTATTTAATAGCTCCTAACAAAACTAGGTGGAACTATTATTTTCAGTCCATGAAATTAGTGGACAAGATGCTTTCTGAAAAGTTTTCAGAAGTTGAAGATGTTTGTGATCAAATAGGGTTCACAATGTTTAGACAAGAATGATACTTTTCAATGAATATGCTTTAGTAATACAATTATATTTTTATTATAACTAAAATTTAAATATTAAAGGTTATGGAACCCTTGGCTACCTCATTAAAGATCTTGGAACGGGAGGATAACATGGAGCAGGGATATCTAACCCCGGTTTTAACCATACTTATAGATAGGTTAAAGAAATTTAGTCGCCTGCGATATTGTCAGCCCCTTGTAGAGTGTGTGCTTAGTGGTATTGATAAAAGGTAATAAATTTTTATGCAATTTTTTTATATTATTAGATATCAGATATCCGCAAAATTTATTAAAAAAATTAGTAAAATATTTTTAACAGGTCTGGTCTACTAAGCCTCTGATATATGGTAAAATTTTAATGAGCCTAATAGACATTAAAAATTAATAAATTTATTCAATATTATACAATTGGTCAGGCCTGACTGTAAAATCTAAAGGGCTAACTTTTGCAGATACCTGATTTATAAGAATGAACACTTTTTAATAATAAATTAATTAGCATTTATTAATATAGATTTCCTTCACTATATGATGACAGTAATATATTAGCATCAATAATTCACCCAAAGTTTAAGCTCAATTGGCCTTTTATTAATCTGCCACAAAATTTGTTGCCAAAAGAAAGATAATTACGTGATACGTGATATTAAGCGCACTACCCCTAAACGTCGTACATATAGCAAAAGTTATATATACAACAGAGCAACGCTTGGTTCTCTTATGAAAAAAACCCCATCAAACTGGGATAAAAAATGGGAAAATAATTAAGAGGACCATCCACGATTTTTGGGCAGGCCGCAGTTACTGTGCGCGTAAGTGGCAAAGCCACTCACTTAAACGCTCATGGGAAGTAAAAGGGACAGATAAAAGCCCATGCCCGATTAATTGATTATGGAAGGGTCATATTGGCAATGTTACAATTTAAGTCTTAGGAGTAACTATAATATTCATATAATCTGTAAATAAATATGATTAAAATAAAATAATATTTACCGTTCTCACTTCAAATTTTCCACCGGTGTCATACTACAATGCAAAAAAAATTAATATTAAAAATATGAATAATTGCTCATTTAGAAAATATACAGGATCAACCATATGCAGATCCTTCAAATGAATGCATGGATGAAATCGATACTTTTTTGGGGAAAAATTCATCACAAAATGCTCTTTCAAATTAATAATTTTTTTTTATTCTAATGATGATTCAGTGAATATTTTTAATAATTATGTTAATTTAAAATTGTTTTTATTGAATAAAACACACCCTTGCTATCAAGCGCTCCTGTAGAGCGCTTGTTTAGTAAAGCTAAACATGTACTTAATGAAAAACGGGGATGTTTAAATGATGATAATTTTGAAAAAATTTTATTATTAAAGGCTAATTTTAATTGTAAATAAATATATTCTAATTGTTATTATATATTATATTATTCAATTACAATAAATTTATACCATATTTATTTAATTTTTATATTAGTTAATTTTGCATCAATCAGAAATTTAAATAAGAAAAGGATCATGATCGGGATTCGATCTTTTTAAAAGGATCGATTAACAAGCCTGCCCACTTGCATCATCAATGTTATGCAATAATTTTTATTTTAACAAATAACTTTGAAAATTTATAATGTTTTTTATAAAATGAATAGTAAAAATTTTCTCTGATTCAAAAGTTTTCTTATTTAATTACATTCATTTTATAATCGTGATATTTAAACACGCTAAAAAAAAATTTTAGAAAGAAGAAAATTATATATATATATAGAATTAATATTTTGGCTCGACATGGTAGGCTTATTTTATATAGGTGAAGTTATTACCAGCTCAGCCATGCTTCTGGATGTTATTCGAAAACATACATATCCTTATAACTTGCTATTATTTATATGAATAATATAAAATAAAATATTTTTATATTTGTATGATCATATAACTATGGTGTGATACAAATATTTCATTTATTAATGTTGAAAAAAAGTGTATATATTATAAGCAAAATATGCCAGATTTAATCTTTATTCAATATTATTAGGCCTACGTCCAGTCTAGCCTCGAATGTTTTTTTTATTAAATATTAGATGTATTTTCCCTTCCGACCTTCGTTTTAATTCAATAAAAGTAGACAAAAATTTGTTTTCTATTATTTTTTTGTTAAGCTTTAAGAATGGCCCAACTTTGTTATAGATACATTATGCTGAAGAAATTTTGTTCAAGCCCAACCAATCCCAACTTCCAAAATCATTTTCCATCTAGTATATTAATATAATTTTAATTTATGTTAAAATATTTTAGTCAAAAAAAATAATTTTAGCCGTAATGATTTTTAAAATCACGTTTTTATAGCCGATTTTGGGATTTTTTTAGGGCGTTTAGGTCTCTGGTGCATATAGCTGAGCAAAAAAAAAATTGCGTTTTATTCAAAGTTATCTTCGCGTGGGTCAAATTATTTAGTAGGGGGAAAGTAATCACCCCGTGGGTCAAATTACTTAGTAAGGGAAACCGAGGCAAAACGTTTGATAATAAAATAACATTTTAACCCTTGACCATAAGGACCTTAAATTTGGTGTAAGGATGTATTTTTATATATAATTCCTTATCGTTCATCTTCTGGCAAATCTTCTTGGTTAAGCATATTTTTACAAGAAACTGTTTTTTTTACCAAAATATTATAAAAATAGTCCTCTAGAGTATTTTATTCTCAAGATTTAGTTGCTTAGATGTTCCTTAAAGTCTTGGCTAGGGCTGTTCCGATCCATATATTTTTCACCGATCCGATCCGATATTGGTTCGAAACCGATCCGATATTGGTTCGATACCGATCCGATATTGGTTCGATACCGATCCGATACCGATCCTATATTTAGATTGATTTTTCACCCCCCCCCCTTTGAACCAAATGTAATTAAGAAATCAATACTTTTATGCAAATCGAATGATGCATTTAATTTAATTTTTTTATTTCTACATTAATTAAAAAATGTTGACGAATATTGGTAGTATAAAATAAATTTTTCCATTTCCCCCCCCCCGCGAAATTAGAATTCTGCAGATAACGCATTTAGCAAAATTATCTTTGTCTTTTGTTAAATATATCCATAATTCAGATGAGTGATCTGCATTGGGCCTAATTTTTCAAGCCCAGCCTGGCCCGGACCAAATTTAATTAAATATAGAAATTAGTTATTATAATTACTCAAAATAAAGGATGTATGTTATTTGGCGTCTACACTCTCTGGATAAAATCACATGTTTCTATTTTACATAAAAAATTCAACATAAAATTGACAAATTTAGATATATTTTAAAAAATTTCCAAGGACCGACCCGACCAGTTCAGAATTTTATTAAATAATATTAGTTCGGGCCGGGTTCGGGTCGGGCCTACTATTGTAGATCTCTACTTCAGATACCATATTTTAAAAAAAATACTTTTATTTAAAGTATATAAATGATAAAATTGCGCTATTATATTTAAAAAAGATTTAAAATAAATAAAACTTTGGGTGTTCCTTTATATTTTTATAAAAAACTATAAAAAATTAAAAAATTTAAGGAGTGATTGTGCATTTGCATTGTTTAAAACAAAAATCTTTTAGAAAATATTATTAATATAAAATAAAGATACATAAAATAACAAAAAAAAAGTAATCGAATCGGGTATTTTACAGGTATTGGTCAAATCCGATATTTATGGAAAACGCTAAATATCGGTGCCGACCCGTTCCGATATTCACTGTAGCCTTAGTCTTGGCTATAAAATAAAATTATCAAAAGTTTATAGCTTAATTAGAAGTCACGTAATAACGATTTATATCATATATATCACTTTGGAGTGAAGCTTGTATGGGTACAACAGTTATAATGTCTCATCTGATGAGCGAGCGTTGGAGTTTTGCTCCAATTTTTTTAATAATAAAAAAAGTAACGTCTTGTTTAAATTGAGGTTGCCTTTTTATTAATATTATCCTTTATCTAAAAAAGGATTGATCTTTGAAAATTTCAGGGTTTTGGACCCTGATTTTGCATTCAGGAATTTAAAATTGTTTTGTTAGGCATTTTGAAATCACAGATCAGAGACCGATTTTGAAGTAACCCATCGAACTCGGGGTTATATAGATCTGGAGTAATCTCGAACCTCTTTTTGAAATCGGTTTTCGGTTAAGTTCCCGTTATCAAGATTTCTTCTAAATAGAATATAAAAATCCCTGACCCCGAAATTCGTGCCCAGAACCCTGAAAATTATATTATCGCTCTGCCTTTCTTTAATTTATAAATATTTTATTTTTTTGGATACAAGTTATTTCATTAATTTTTTATAATATTGCTAAAATTATGAATAAAAAAGTATTTGAAAAAAGGCAAATCTTCTCGTTTTTTAAAATGGTTGCTAACGCGACACGGTAATTTTACCAATTGGCACGATGCTAATTGAAACGCATTATTTGCGTTTACAAAAGCAGCCTTTGAAACACTCAATATTCGCATTATAGGCCATTAAAAAAAGGATATAACAGAAAATTAAGTTTGTTATGTGGAACGAAATCGGCAAAGGAGAAAGAATAATCGGAATGTACCACGTGACTAAATAGGACACATTTGGAATGTGGCATTTATGAAAATCTTATATTATAATCAGTTTATACTTAAAAAGATAATATAGATGACAAAATTGCTAATAGTTTGTCTAATAAACAATGAAGTTATGTATAATTTAAATTTTACCCTAAAGGTAAAATGTTAAAAGTGAGAGCTCTCCTAAAGTATTTTTGACAGAGAGCTACACCCTTTTTTCTTCTTCTTATGTTGTAGGTAAAGGGATTGGGCTACATATATATTAATTAACTTTTAGAGTTAGTTTCATCAAATCTTGCAGCTTTTTTTATTTATGATTATATTAGCATGTGGATCTTCTTGGAAAATTGTCAGTTTCCAAAAGTTCCAACTTCTCGTTTAACCTTCTAGATTTTGTCACATTGCTTTTGTTTTAAAATTTTTATAGTTAAAATATAATACCACCAATCGTTTTTTTTTCACCCCCACCAGTCTTTCTTGGATACTCTGAATTATTTAATTTCTATTTTATACAATAATGTCCCAATTAGTTGTAAAATATCGTTAATTAGTGTTGTTAAAAGGCTCGTTTTGAGACGATTTTTGAAAACGGCTAACTCAATATTTTATCCAGAGTAATACTACGCAAGTCCGCCCGTTTAACAGCACTAGTTCGAAGTCTATCAATTTGTTATGATACTATTTAAATTGGTTCTAACCTACACTGGTATAAATTTTATTTTTTTAATTATTTTTATTTATGTTGACTAAACATACGCATAAAAATAAAACTTTAATTTTTTTTATAAATTTAAAAAAAAATTGTTAGTTAGTAAAAAAAAAAACCTGTGACATTTGAGCGCAATAATAAAGAATTAAAATTTTTTTTATATATCAGAAATATTTATATACTTGAAATCAACATTAAATTTGCATTTTAAAGATGTTGTATATCGATATATTATATTTAGTTTTTGGGAAAAAATTGACAAAACCATATTTCTTATTTTAAAAAAAATAAATATATATTTGAGAAATGATTTTGGAGTTAATTTTTTGTCAAAAATATTTATATATTTGAAATCATCATTCAATATGCATTTTAATGAGTGTATTATCTATATATATTTTAAAAAATATATATTTGAACAATAATTTGGAATTTTTTCTTATCAGAAATAAGAAATATTTATATATTTCAATAGAAAATGAACTGTATGCAAAACTTATGGAGAACCTCAAATAAGACCTTAACCTTTACCGAGTTTGGGTAAAAAATTTATATAATAGAGATCCAATATACTACCCATCCCACCCTTAACCCCTTATCATATGCTATGATTTTTTATGAAGGAAATTAATCAAATTGGCTTTAATTTATCAAAAAAAATATTCAGTAAGTCTAAAAATATTGAGCCTGTTTTTATTAAAAGGTTAATTATATAAAATGAAAAATTCTCAATCAACTTAGTCATAAACTATAATAGATTCGTTTCATATATTTAATTTTTTTTTTAAATTATAATGAGATGAAACTTCTATGAATTTACGACTATTGTGCCATTGTATTATAATAGATTTATATACTATAAAGATATCAGAATATATAAAATTTTAGTATACACTCTAGAAATCTTGCATACCAAGTTAAAAATATATAATATTTGCTACTGAATATGAACACACAACCCTCTATACATCATTAAATTTTTCTTAATCAAAATGTGTCTATATTATAGTTTATCTAATCAAGAATGCATTTTTTTAAAATTAATCAAGTAATTATTGTGGTATTTTCTGTCAAGAACATTTCTCTCAATTTGGTTGATTTTAAAATTAATTAATATATAGATTTGTGGTATTATTTGAATATATTTTAAAAAAATTCTTTTTCTTTATAAAAAATTGAGATTTATTGCAATCATTATAAATTGATTTAAGGTTCTGTTTCATGGCTAGTATGTATTCTCCAACCATGCAAATCTGATGTTTCTTCTTTCAATGCCTATAATAATATATATTTTAATTATGGTAAAAATATTACTATATTGCAAAAATAATTAATACTTAAATATAGATAATAAGTGTTAAATAAATTAAATAGAGTCCTTCCTTATAAGTTATTTCAAATTGATAAAAATATAAGGGAGTTTGAAAATGTAATTTTTCAACAATATGGGAAAATTATTTTGGGGTAGGCTGCTAAGGTTAGGATTAAATGATATTTATTAACACACTAAAAAATAATATATTATTATTATCAATTTACAAAAAAATTTTAAAACAAATTAAAATATCTTAAATTTGATATCTTGTTAAATGCATTGCAAATGGTATTTTTTTTCTTCTTATTAATAATATGCATCTCTTTATCAATAAATTATTATACCTCATTAACTAATTGATGTTGCTTGACTGATTTTAAACCTTTAAAATCTGGTGAACACACAACAAGATTATACATACCACCACAACCACCTTGTATTGATATTTTAAAATTTAATTAACAATTATATTTAACTTATTAAATATAAATTCAGAATATCAAATTTTTTTTAAACATATAAATTGGGAATTTAGTACAAAACCAAATTGTAATTAATAAAATATAACCAGATATATCTATCACTTCTATAAAAGTAGCATTGGGAAATTTATCTTTCAGTCTGTCATAAATCTTCTTTTCACCTTCTGTTAAAGATGTTTGAATTGATGAAACGGTATTAATTCTTTGAAATAAAGAGGATCTTATGAGAGAATTTATATAATATCTATAACTATTAAATATCGTATTTTTTAAAAATTTGATCATCAAATACCGAACACAAAAAGGTATTAATTTTTAAAACATGTTAGACCTAACTAATTACCAAAGGTAAACCTGGTTAACATCGAAAATTTTAACAAAATGATTTAGTAAATCATCGTCAAAAAAGCACATTACAAATTAAGCTTAAAATAAATTTGATTTTTTTCTAAGATATGACTAAATATTTTTAGATCTTTGCATAAATTATTTATGATTTGTTTGATTGAGTAAAAATAAGATTTTCTAGAATCAAACCTAAAAAACAAATAGTTATAATTTCAGGACTATAACAAAATATTTAATTTATTCTTCACTTTATGTAAAAAATATTTTTAAAATCTTTTGCTTAAATTATTTCATGTTTAATTTTAGGATCGGTTATAATTATTCTCAAGTTAAGATTTCTAGTGTGAATAAAATAAATAATTATTAATTTCAGGAATATGGTTCAAAAAATAATTATAATTTATTATTCAACTTATGTATTTTAATATCTATTGCTTAAATTATTTATGATTTGTTAAATTTTAAGGTTAGCTTTATTAACAAGTTAAGATTTTAGACTGAAGAAAATGAAATAAATAATCATTAATATTTCAGGAATATTATTCAACAACATATTATAATTTATTCCAAAATTTTAAGGAAAATTTATATTTTTTACACAATTTATGTAAAATATATGATGTAATATTTTTAATAAATATAATAAAGATTACAAAAACCAATGATCAAAAACTTAATATTAATAATCATTCTTAAGAGTTAAAAATTAGGAATATTTATGTATTTACTTATGTTATAAAACCAAATATCTGATGTGCTGCTTACCTATTTGATTTTACAAAACTACTTGGCTAAAACCAAAAACTTATGTGAGTTATCATTAGTGTTGTTAAACGGCTCGATTTAGCCAATTTAAAATTAAAGACAAGTACGCCTCGTTTCGGTAATAGATGTCCACTTTCTAAAATATATGAGCAAAATCCAGGTGCGTAATGTTTCTTTAGTAATTATTGTAAGAAGCTTAGTTAAATTGGTGGGTCGAGTAGGCTTGAATAAAAACCCAGGAAGGTTTAAGGGGAAAAAACGAAACCCGAGTCAACCTATTTAGCCATAGATCAGACCCAACCCAATGGGCCTCATGAACCTAGCCTCGGTTGGCTGTGTCAACAAGTTCCGGGTTTAGAATGGCTGATATTAGAAAAAAGTTCTAAAATCATTTTAAAATTAGCACTGCATTATATTTTACTCCACAATAAAAAAATAAATAAGAAAATTATTCAAAAATTTGCTTTAAGTTTAGTTAAAAGTTTTTGATGCTAAAAATAAAACTTGGGTATAGTAGGAAATTGGCGCTGCTCTTATATTTTATTCCACAAGTAAAATTTTTAAAATTTTGTTTTAGGTTTAATTAAAAGTTTTTATATTGTAAAGATGTTCTTAAAATATTTGAATTCATAAATAAATTTCTAGTGCCATTATTTTTTAACCCACGCTTAAAATGTAGAAATATTAAAAAATTATAATTTATTTTTTGAGCCCAATAAAAAGGTTCTTGATATTGGAAAGAAGTTCTAAAACCATTGGGGTTAGTATTAAATTAACACTGCTATTATATTTCATTCCACGAGGAAAATGAAATATAAAAAAATTTTTTAAATTTGTTTTAAGCTTAGTAAAAAGTTTTGATGCTAGAAATATCCTCTAAGACGGTTGGGTTTAGTAAAAAAATTGGCATTGCCATTATATTGTAATCCATGGAGAAAAAAATACGAAATTTTTTTAAAAAGTTTTAAGTTTTTTAATATTAATTGTTCTAAAGCCTTTGGATATAGTAATAAATTGGCAATGACATTATAGTGTACTCCACAATGGAATAAAAAATTATTGAAAAATTTAAAAACTTGTTTTAAAGTCTTGTTAAATATTTTCGATATTGAAAAAATGTTCTAAAACATTCAGGTTCATAAAGAAATTTATAATTCCATAATTTTTTTAACACCACGCTTAAAATGTAGAAATATATAAAAAAATTTAATTTATGTTTTGAGACCATTATCATGATATTGTAAAGTAGTTCTAAACTATTGGTGTTAGCATTAAATGAAAATTTTATTGAATTACATATATCACAATGAATTATAATAATGTATTAAATGTATAGTGTGAGGGGAAGTAAATTTATATAAAAATTAAATTAATCTATATCATTCATATTCTTGTATCGGCCCTGGCCCAATCTTTGCTTCACGCAGTCATCTTTTTGCCAATTGGTCATTTTAGAGTCGAGTAAAGCGAAATTAGGATAAACAGGAGATGACCTTTTCTCAAAAGGGGAAACGTCAAATTGTCGCAATTTGAGAGTCAGGACATCTTTATTTTTTATGTAGGGATCTTGGTGATAGTCTAAATAACTGAATGATATCGTTAAATAGTAATAGTAGTGTTTTCAACATATCTTTTTTCACAGATCTTCCCCGAAGTGTGGCGGAAAATTTTCAATATCTTACTATATTAATTACCCCATCTTCAATTTTATAAGAGAGGGTATTTATTTAATTTTATTTATAAAAATGAAAAAAAAAACGTGTTTTTTTTTGGTAAAAATAACCTTTATTTTGTTGTTATTTTTAAAAAACATGTTTTTTTTCCACATCCTTAAATAATGTACTTATCGAATCTTTTGCCTGAGGGGTATGTTTTTTGCCTCGATTTTCGAATATTAGCTTCCATGTCGTATTGGAAATAAGGGACCCTCATTTCTGCGGAAATACATTGTTTTTTTAAGAAAAATAAAATAACATTTCATATAAAATTTTATAATATTTTTTTATATATGATAATTCCATATTACTAGTGTTGATAACCGGCTCGATTTGAGCCGGTTTTTAAAAAACGGTTAAAACGATATTTTATCCAGAAAAAATATTAGGCGAGCCTGAAAATTTATATCACAGGTTGGGCACAAAGGTCTGAAAAATCTATTCGCGAAACCTCGAGGCTTTGGGCAATATTTATCTGACCAAAATAGCGAGTTAGCCATTTTTAAAAAAATCTGCTCAAATCGAGCCGCTAAAACAACACTACATATTTAGAACAACTATTCTAGAGTGGCATTTCGTAAATTGAAAAGACATCTCGTTGAATGATGAGATCAACATAGGGATTAAACAAACCCCCTCGTTTTTTTAGGTTAATGATGCTTACTACCAAGTGAATGTATGGAAATATTCTAAATACCAATCTAATTTGCTAAATACCGACCAAAATTTATTAAAATGTAATAAGACTTATTATTTAATATATTAATATGGAATCACGTGGTCAAGTCCGGCCTCCTATATATTATCCCCCCAAGGATGGAACCACCAAGTTAGAATAAGAAAAAAAACATGACCATTCCCGGGATTTGAACCCGGGACCATGGGATAAGTAAGCCAAGCTCTTGCCTACTAGGCCAATAGAGGCTTTCCAAAAATCACGATTTTTCAAATATATATTATAAATATATTTGGTAGTGCCTATCCAAATGAAAAATAAACAAAATTCAAATTTGATAGGTAGTACCTTAAGGTAGTAAGCATCATTAACCTTTTTTTATCATTTATTACTAAAATCCTCACGCAAAATAATTATTATCCACTCATTTAAATTTACCAATTTTTTTTTAAAAATATCCCAATTAATTGTACCTTTCTCATTTTTGTTAAATTTAAATCAATATATATTCTTTACTAAAATCCTCTAGGGTTAGGGTTAGGGTAAAAAAAAATATTATCTACCTTGTGTTGTTAAACAGCTCGATTTTTTAAGAATGGTTAGAGGTCTCGAGATTACGTTAATAGATGTCCAAACCTTTCTCCCATCTATGATCAAAAATCATCAGGCTTGCTAATGTTTTTTTGGCCAAAATAGTGGGATGGCGTTTTAAGCAATAGAGCGGTTTAACAACACCGTAATTCTACCCATTTCAATTTACCAATTGATTTTTTTTAAAAATATCGCAAAAATCAGCTCCTTTTCTGAATTTTTAGGCCTGTTTTTTTTTGTTTATAAAACATTTATGGTATAAAAAAACAAACAAAAACTAATATTAAATAACTTAATGTTTCGCGAAAAAATATCGGCAAGGAGTCGTCCCATATTGACTGATAAAAATTCAAACCGACCGGGGTAATATGATCCTGAAATCTCCTGTAAAATTCGAGCGTCGAAAAGGTCCTATCTTTTAGAGAATAGCTTTCGTTTTATTTTTTGTTAGTTTGTTTGATTTTGTAAATTTTATATTTTAAAAATAAAACGTTTACAAAATGGTTATTCGCCTTAAATATCCGTTATTACCCGTCCCAGAGTCGGGTTTTACGGGACGGGTTTCCCCGAATTTTTTATAATCATTTTTTCTCCCCCCCCCCCACCCCCTAAAAAAATAAGTGCGAATATGACTTTCTTTTACTTACGAAAAAAATATATAAGATATTAAAGGCCGGGGTTAAAAAAGGGGGCAGGTCTGAATCTTGCTGGGCTATTCTCTAATTTGCTTTCTCTATGTAAATGTATAAATAAAAGTGTGATGGTCGTGTCCTAGGTCGACTTTATACAAAAAAAGCAAAAATAAAATAAAAAGAAAAGAATAAAGTAATAAAAATAGCAATTCCACTAAAATACTTAAAAACAAAACCAAAAAAAATAAATAGGATGTTCCTCGTTCAAAAACTTTATAGCCTATATTAATAAAAAGCAATTGAGTATCCAAAATTAAGCCGACCCTATGACATATCCCATGTTGCTCGATACCGCCATTTTTAAAATTAATTAGAGCCTTATAATTCCTTTCATGGATCCAAACCGAACTTGAACCGAACCGTTAAACCGCTATTTTTTATTGAACCTAAACCTTTAAAAAAATTTATAGCCGAACCTGAACCGAACCGCTAAAATGCCTCTGAACCGGTTCGAGTCTCATAATTTTTTGATTATAAAATAATGTGTAAGTTATTACTAGTAGTATATTGCAAAAATTTTTATTTATATTCAAATTGTTTTAAAAATTATTATCAATCACAAATGATTGATAAACATCAATCATAATTTTTATAAACTTTAGTATATTGCCATTTTACAACATTTTTTATATATTTTAAGCTTATAAATTATAATGCCTAGAAAAAAATTATATCTAATATTATAAATTATTTACATATAGTATTATAAGTAACACATCAAATCTGATATCATACTGGCAATGCCAGCTGCCCAAGTTAGTGTGGAAAAATGTTTTTCAACAATTAAATTTATATTATCTCCTTATAGATGTAATTTGTGTGAAACGAATTTTGAAAATATATTAATTGTGCGGCTTAATAAAAAAAATTTAAGTAATTGTTCATATTAAAATTAATCATTGACATATTTATAAATTAAATATTATTTTATAATGTGCAAATAATAAAAATGAAGGTTTTATTTTAATTATGAAATAAAAAAAAATTTCCTTATACATAATCCTAATGTAGGTTAGATTACAAAAGTGTTATAACCGGTTTTTAGAGGTTAGAACCGAACCGATATTTTTATTTTTTGCGAACCGAACCTGAACCTTCAACCGTTATTTTTATCCGAACCTGAACCGATATTCGTTTCGGATCCCTGTATATTATAATGTCACTTATAAGCTTTTAATAAACCCCAGGTGTGAAAACCAACATATAAAAAATGATATATGATCGATTTCGAATAGATGATAAATATTCGCAGCCTCTCGGTGAGGTTACTCCAAAATAATCAAATTGGATAAATTAAAACACATTTCGATTCAATTTTTTTTATCTTTCATCTATCCTTTTAATTTAAAATAAAAGAAAATGTTTTAAATCTATTCTTGTTTCTATTTATTTCTTTTTTTTTTAAACTAATACTCTTTTTCATTTACCAAGGATTTGACAATTTCTCGGTAGTCATATCCATCCTACCATCCTGAGCATACAAAACGAAGACCATCCTATGGTAACCCGTTCCATGGGGGTAAAAAGGCCGCAAATAATGGCACAGGGTTTCTCCAGCTGATATATCGTTCCCGGGAATATTGCAGCTTTATAATAATAAAAAATTTACGTCACGCATACTAAAAAAGCATCGTACGGGACTATAATGATGTTTAAGATTAATTATGTATTAAATGCCAATCTGAGATTTTTATAAGGTCGGAATCTTATTTTTTTATGCCCTGCCACTTCCTCCTCTACAATATTTTTTTTTTATATAAAAATATTTATTTTTCCAGTCAAAATTTTTGAAATCCCATTATAAAAGAAATCACGAGTTCTACACACGTGATATATTAAAATCAGGCGACTATATAAATATGATAAATATTAAACAAAATAATTTTTTTTTAAAAAAATAAATAATTTTAAATAATAATATGACAAATATGACACTAGTAATAACACATATGCTTTCTGGCAAAACGATTAAGATAATGTCGATGACGTCTTTTTAAATGGAAAGTGAAAACTTTATCGCTTATTGAGAGAGAGCAAATGCTTTAAATTAAAATTAGATACCAACATCATAACATATCTCTCAGTGATACAAACAATAGGTTTTGGGGGGATTGTCTTAAAGAGTTATAAAAAAATAAAGATTTTGTTAATTGATACAAATAATTTTATTTCCTTTATATTTAGACCCGAGGGTAGCGAGTATTATAACTCTTCCATATCATGTATGGTATTATGCATCATAATATACTTTTGTTGATAGCGGCAGCAACTGATAGCATCTTTCTATCAAAGAGACAGGAGTCATTGTAAGGATAAACGATCCTTCTATGACAAAATTTAAGAAAATTATGGAATGTCATCAAGATAGGTGACATAAGAGGGGTTTAAACTTGTAAACACCCCACAGAATATTTTTTTGATTTATCATGTTGTTTTCGTAAATTCCAATTTTTTTTTGAATATTTTTTGACTGCGTATGTTCGCATTTGTAATACTTTTTCTTTTATTCCTTCATTCAACTGTTTGTTTCCCGCGTTATTATGTTTTTTTTTAAATATTATCTTCTTGCTTTTTTGAATAAATTAAATTTATATAAGTAATTTGGAGGGTTTAGATAAAGATCAAAATGGTTATTTGATAATAAAAAAAAATTAAAAAAGAACTTTTTTTTTCTAAGGATTACAAATAGTTTTTTTGGTACGGAAATTATATAGCTTTTGAATATAAAACTAATTATAGGTATTTTTTGCACTGCGCCACAAGAAAAAGTATGTAAGTGTTGTAATATTTATATTATTAAACTGTCAATCATTGTTTTATATATTATGTTATATATTCTAAACTGTCAATCATGATAAAATATAAAATCCTTTATTCGGATATTTCCTATGGACTCAATACTTTGGACTTTGCCTATAGGACAACTACATACCACAAAGACTTTGGACTCCCTTTCCCGATAAACTCCCTCCCCCTAAGGTGTAAATTAAATAACACATTAATATAACCTGAATAAACCAGGTATGAAATTGTCCAGGATTTCAAGCACCAAATGTACCGTTTTAACCCAAACGCTCTAATTACTGTGATGTCTGTAATTGTAACACTTGTAAATCCCAATTTTATTGAATATGTATGAGTATTGAATATTAATAAGTTGATCGAATATATAAAATACAGACTCTATCTCATAATATATATATTATCATGATTGACAGTTTAGAATATATAAAGAAGAGTTAAGCCTGCTAGAGGGTAATGTAGTTCGGGGATATAGATTGGTAATACCTGAAGCTTTAAGGGGGCTAGTGCTGAATATGTTACAAGCGGGTCATCAGGGAGGAAGTAAGATGAAGAGTGATGCAAGAAGATATATATGGTGGCCAAGTATAAATACAGATATTGTGAGAATAGTTCAACATTGTGATACGTGTAACGAGTGGAGGAATGTACCGGGTAGGGATAAGGATGATAGATGGGAGCCAACACAAAGGCTGGGGGAGCGAGTGCATGTGGATTTCTTTGAGTTGGATAGGAGATATTATTTTTTGATAGTGGATGCGTATAGCAAATGGATAGAATTTAGTGGGGTGACGGGATTGACGGCAAAAATAGTAGTAAAAAAGATTAAGGATTTTTGTGGGCGTTATGGAATAATTGAGACCATTGCTTCGGATGGGGGTCCAGCTTTTCAGGGTAAGGGGTTCAAAGAATTCTGTGCCAAAGTGGGGATAATACATCATATGTCTCCGCCGAATTATCCACGGTCAAATGGACGGGCGGAACGAATGGTGGGAATAGTAAAGGGTTGAGAAAAGAAAAATATGGGGAGGGAAAGGCATGGTTATCGCAATTATTTTATAATAATTCAGTAGGTATAAACGGGGCGCCGGCCGAATTATTTTTAGGAAGGGTGACAAGAAGACCGTTGGAATGCATGGAATGGTCCTCACAAGTGGGTGAAAGGGGTAATTATAAAAAATATTGGATGTAAAAAAAAGTGGAAGTAAGGTTAGAAGAAAGGGGAGATAAGGTGATGCGTCACATTAAACAATTAAGAATGCGGGTATAAAAAAGGGAAATAATATAGAAGGGATATGGGAACAAAGGGGATTGTGAGGAAGGTGGTAAAATTGAGTTGATTGAAATTGAGACGATTTTATTTTGGTATAAGGGTATGGTAATATATATTTTGAAGTCTTAATTTGAAGTAAATTAATATTATAGGTGGTGTAATATTTTAAAAGGAAAAGGTGGGGGGGGGGGGGTATAGAAAGTTAATTAAAGGAAATTAGGTTGATGATGTGGGGTAAGTAATACTGATTTTATTAGATTTCTGATTGAGTATAATAAAAATCAATTTTTAAGGTTTTAATCGAAAAGAGAATTAAAAGATTATTAGTAATCGTATAAGAAGAGAAGATAGGAAAATTATTGTAATCTCTCATAAGGGAAGCTTATAATTATCATTAGATAGATTGAAGACATTTTTATGTTATTTTAAATTGATAATTAGTGGTTTAAAGATTATAGTTAATAGTTTTTCTTGTTATAAAAAGTTAAGGAATAGTAAGGAGAAAGGCAGCTGTTTGTATTTTGTTTTTGTGTATAACCTAAATTTCGAGATAAATTTTTAAAGGGAGATATTATAAGTGGTGTAGTATTTTAAAAGGAAAAGGTGGGGGAATAGTATTATTTTAAAAGGAAAATGTGGGGGAATAGAAAATTAATTATTCTTGATAAGTTGTTTTTTTTTGATAATTTTGAGTAGGATTATTTTATGTTTAACGAAATGGAAAATCAAATATGTTACATGCTATTTGTAAGTGGTAATTATTGGTGAATAAGTTTAAAATATATACGAATATTAGAAAGGGATTTATTTGTTTTTTTTTGTAATTAATAATTAGAGTTCATGGGAAATTTGGGAAATGTTTAAATGGTATGAATAATTTTTAGATTGTTTTTAATGTTAATATATTATTTTTGTGGTTATTTATTGGTGATTGTAATTTAAAAAGTTAATTGTAATAATAATTGGTCGAATGTTTTATTTTAAAGAAATTCTGTGGTTTATTTAGGTGGGATTGAAAAATTTGGGAAAGATTTTGAAATTTAATTGGTTGTTGTAATTATTTATGGTGATGAAGAAGAATGGAAGGGAATGTATGTTTTAATATATGATTTGTATATGTATGATTTATATTTGATAGATGTAATTTAAATTAATATTTAATGTGAGATTGTAAATATGTATGTCATTATATACAACTTAGATGGCGGTGTCCAATTAGGGAATGGTTTATAAATATGTTTGGGATGAATGTAGCATTAGATATAAATAGATATATATTTAGTTTAGTTTTGGCGATTATATTATGTATATTAAATATTCACTCTGTTAATAGGATGTAATTGTTAGTGGAAAGAAAGAAATTTAAAAAAAAAGAAGAAATTAAAAAAATATTTAAAAAAAAGAAATTAGAAGATAAAAAAAATAGAAAAAGTATTTTAAAAAAAAAGAAAGAAAAAGAAAAGATAAATTAATAAAGAAAAAGAAGAAAAGATATAATAAAAAAAAGAAAAGAATAGAATAAAAGAAAATGAAAGATGTTAAAAAAAAATAGAAAAAAATATTTTAAAAAAAGAAAGGAATAAAAAATAATAAAAAAAGAAGAAAAAAAAGATATTTTGGGAATTATATATTCAGATGGTTATGGAATTTAGGATGGAGATTGGTCATATTCAGATGGTTATGGAGGTATTTGTTTTGGGAATTGGTCAAATGATTAGGGTATCAGATGGTTATGGAATGTTATGGTATCAGATGGTTATGGAATTTAGGATGGAGATTGGTCATAATCAGATGGTTATGGAGGTATGTTGAAGATTGAATGCATGAAGATTACTGAGAATCAAGAAGGGATGCAAGATGGAATTGAAGGGATGAATAGTAATGGTATAATGACGTATGATATTGGAATGGTCAAATGGGAAGCTGATAAAGATTAGGGAATGATAATATAACAGATGGGATTTGGAATGTTCAAGAGATGATGTGATCGATTATGGGTTAACTGATGGTTTGGGAAGATGTGCAAATGATTATGGGATGTATTGGGGAATGTTTAGATGTATGGGGTGCGAATGGTTATAATGGGGATGGATGATAAATGTGTTAGGTGTGAGATAGAAAGATGTTTGCAAAAGGGGGGAGGTGTTGTAATATTTATATTATAAAACTGTCAATCATTGTATTTTTATATATTATGTTATATATTCTAAACTGTCAATCATGATAATATATATATTATGAGATAGAGTCTGTATTTTATATATTCGGAGGGGGGGGGGGTGATTAAGGAGTAAAGAGGAAGAAGAATTAGTTTTTGTAATTTGTAATTTATTTTTTTTTGTTTTGTTTTCTCTTTTTTTTATAATGTTTTTTGATGTTATTTGTATAATGAGGTGAAAAAAATTATAAATGAAAAAAGAAAAAAAATATAATTCATAGTTAATCAAGAATGGCTTGATTAAGCCAAGATTTGAGGTCTAATTTATTTTGGGAAATATTTATTAAAAATAAATTGCTAACATTACAATTCAAATTCAAACTTAAAAAAAACTCAAGTTTTTATCAATAAATCTCTAAAAAATATTCTCAACATTAAATATCCTTTAATTATCTCTAACTTTAGTCTTTGGAATTTCTGCAATATTCTTCCTCTACATAGACTTCTAACCTACCGCAAATTGGAAATTTTCTGCCATTCCTTTAGACACTCCCATCAAAGCACCATATCTTTCGCTCTTAAACACAAACCTACAAACCAAAAAAATAAAAAAAAATATCACACATATCAAAAATCATGGTTTGGCCATGCCATCAAAATTCTAAGAATAAATAATGTTAGCAATTTATTTTTAATAAATATTTCCCAAAATAAATTAGACCTCAAATCTTGGCTTAATCAAGCCATTCTTGATTAACTATGAATTATATTTTTTTCCTTTTTCTTTTTTTCACTTATAATTTTTTCACCTCATTATACAAATAACATCGAAAAACATTATTAAAAAAAAGAGAAAACAAAACAAAAAAAAAATAAATAAATTACAAAAACTAATTCTTCTTCCTCTTTACTCCTTAATCACCCCCCCCCTTCTTTTCTAATACATATTCCTATCTTATCTTTTATAATAAATAAACATTATTTACAATGTGGATCCTGGCTTATCCACGAGTGGTACCCGTCATCCCACTCAAATTAAACGGGACCCTGACAGTAGGGTAAATTACTGCCAAACAGTGAATGCAAATTCACTGCACTGGAGACGCCCTCTATAGGGTGGTGGAGTGCCCACTTAATTGTGGGATGTCTCCACAGTGTATGATACGATACGATACGATCAACTTATTAATATTCAATACTCATACATATTCAATAAAATTGGGATTTACAAGTGTTACAATTACAGACATCACAGTAATTAGAGCGTTTGGGTTAAAACGGTACATTTGGTGCTCGAAACCCGGGAAAATTTCATACCTGGTTTATTCAGATTATATTAATGTGTTATTTAATTTACACACCTTATTAATTTTAACAGCAATTTTATTATTTTCAAATCAGGGGTTTAGAATTTATTTAATTAAGTTTTTGATCTCATTATTATAAGAGTAGGGATAATCATGTCAAAATTTATTTATTATACTATTAATCAATTGCATATTTTAGCACGAGTGGTAGTATTAGTGCTGTTGATAGTATACTATATAGGGTTTTGGGCAGGAAAGTTAGGTATGAAAAAAGTTTGTGAAGGTGGATGTAATATTGGATTTAGGATGGAAAGAAATGTTGAGATAGAAGGTAAAGGTAGTAATCGAGGAGTGGTAAGAGGATTAAGATGTTTTCGGTGTGGGCAAGAGGGGCATGTAAGTAGGTTTTGTAGGAGTGGGATGGAGATGAGGAATATAGAAGAGTTTAGAAGATGTTTTAGATGTGGGAAGGAGAATCACTTGATTAAAGATTGTCCTGGTAGTCATGAGAAATGAGAGTCATGACTGCAGAAGGGATTGGTGATAATATTAGAGTTTATAATAGTAAAATATAATTATTTTCAGATATTACCAATCTATATCCCCGAACTACATTACCCTCTAGCAGGCTTAACTCTTCTTTTAATAATTCATACCTTTTATCCCTTATATCCCACTCACTTTCTCCCCTTAAACTGCTCATCACTCTACCCAATTCCTCATCCTGACTTGTTGCCCTAACAATTTCTTCCCAACTCACACAATCTTTTACCCCCTTTGCTCTCACCTCATTGACTCGTCCTTGTAGACTACTTTCATCCCCACTCTCTCCCGTATTCCTACTTACTTTACTCCTCTCCTCCCGCTTAATTTGTTCCACCACACATAATCTGGACTTAACGTCAGGCATCCAATTCTCTTTCCCCTTCCTATACCTCAAGTCAATATTGAATGATCCCACCAATAATAACCATTGTTGTAACCTATCTGATAACATTAATTCTTGATTATCTTTCCTCACTAAACCCACCAACGGCTTATGATCTGTATATGCTACAAAACGTCTACCTATCAAATATTCTCTACATTTTACTAACCCCACTTTATCGCTAACGCCTCCTTCTCAATCACTGAATAATTCCTCTCAGCTTCACTTAATGCACTTGAAAAGTATAATATTGGACGCTCTCTACCTTCTATTATATGTAATAATCCACCCCCTATTCCCTCTTTCGACGCATCCACTGCCAAAACCACCTCATACTCTTCATTAAAACCTACCAAAATAGGATTCTTACCTATCTCCCCTTTTAATTCCTGAAAACTTTTCTCCTGCCTTTCCGCCCATTCAAACCTACTATTTTTCTTAAGTAATTCATACAACGGTCCTGCTATTCCCGCAAAATCCTTAATAAATCGATGATGATAATTCACCATCCCTAAAAAAGATTGTAACTCAACCTTATTCTTTGGCTCACGCATTCTAAGGATACTGTCAACATTTTTATTAACCGGCATAATCTCAGATCCCTTTATCATATGCCCTAAATATTCAATCTCCTGGACCCCAAATATGCTTTTCTTAACATTTGCCCTCAATCCTCTCTCTACAATTCTTGCTAACACCCTCTCCAATCTTTTATTATGTTCATCCCTTGTCCTACCCACTATTAACACATCATCCAAATAATAAAACACTCCCTTAATCCCTGCAAACACCTCTGACATGGCTTTTTGAAACACCGGTGCTGACAAAATTAACCCGAACGGTAACCTTAAAAAATTGAACAAACCTTTCGGCATATTTATTGTCAACATATTACTCATCTCCTTATTCACCCTTAACTGTAAATACGCGTTGCTAAAATCTATCTTTGAAAATCATCTAGCCCCTCCCAAACTAGCCAATATCTCCTCCACCCTTAGCAATGGATACTTCACCTCTACTAACCCCGGATTCAGAGTTATTCTAAAATCCGCACACAAGCGTAACTTGCCATCCGCCTTACGAACAGGTACCAAAGGAGTAGCCCACTCACTATGCACCACCGGTATTATTATTCCCTCTTCCTTCCACCTATCTAACTCCTTACTAATCTCCTCACGCCATTGGAAAGGTATCCTCCTCGACACTAAGAACCTTGGCATGTAATCCTTCTTTACTTTCATACTAACCTCAAAATCCTTCAACGTCCCCAACCTCTCTTAAAATATCACCCTATATTTCTCCAACATTCCCTTAATTTCTCCTTTCTCATTTTCCTCCAACTCACTTTTCTCTGTCATCACTTCCTCCCTACCCTTCACCCCCTGCACTGAATCCTCACCAACTACTTTTATAAATTCCTCTCCCCTTACAACCCCCATATCCTTAAATTTACCCCACCATCTATACAATGGCCCCACCCAGCATAAATTATCCCAACCCAGTATTATTTCGTCTAACCCCTGAACTACACAAAACTCAATAAAATTATTCACCCCTGGTATCTGTATATATAACTCCCCCTTATTTATCACGCTCTGTCCATTTAACAAATACCCTACCCTATCCGATTCTTTCAACTCTTTTCCTGGCCAACGAGCCAACAGTAAGTATCTATAAATTTTTTATCTATATAATTAAAAATTCAGCTTTCATTCGATAAAAAAGTTTTAATAAAAAACATTTATGACCCTCTCCCCCTGGACTAATCTCGCCAGTTAAGACCATAAGACCAAGAGTATCAAGACAATCATTATATAGTCAAAGAATATTTTAATTAGCTTTCACGTGATATTATAGAATTTTTTTTCGTTGATAAAACTATTCAACACCACCCTCTCCCCAACTCAGCCCTAGATTCGCCAAAGGGAGAGATGTTGACTTTCAAATGGGTTATAGATCTTTTAATTAGCAATCGATGCTATATATATTGCCATATTTTCTTTCATAAGACCAATGAAAAAAAACATTTATAATATATTAAGCAAAACGCGTTATACGTCATAACGATTTAAATAATTGTACTAATACCGACATTGATAACCGCGATGAATAGTATATTTACTTATCACATGAAAATATTTATAAATTCTGAAAAACTTGCATTTAGAAAGAAAAAAAAATACTATTACGCCATCTAATGGATATTAGTTCATTAAAATTTGCATAAATCTAAAATTATCTCTACAAAATAAAAATAAATGGACATGTCCTTGTATCCTAAATATGAAATTATATAATATGATTATTGTTTAGAGGTATATATTTAAACTTGACTATTCCATAAAATAATTAATTTTTAGACTTCAAGACATTTTTACCATGATTAAGGTAAATTTTAAAAATAATGTATAAGATAGACACGCCATATTTAGCTCGCAGACTAGATTAAACGATAAATTATTTGAAAAACTAATTATATTTATAAAATAATGATTTATTTTAAAAAATTTTTGTATTAAACTTTAAAAATTTATCATCGAAGGTTAAAAGATATTTATTGATTTCAAATTGTACTTTTATTAAGTATTCATTTATTAATGATTAGTAAAGATAAGATTAAAATGTATATAAAAAAACTGTAATTTAGAAATATCTATTTCAAAGTATTCTTCCTTATCTTATTCAGATGGTTGTGAAATTGCTTAACTTGGGTCAGCTCCGATGCGACTTAGCCAAACCTATAGCCTAAAAATAAATAGACTTAAATCTCTAAGTTTGAGACTCAAAGTAAAGATTGAGACAAAATTTTTTGGCTAAGCCGTTTTAAAGTTTGCTAAAGAGAGGCGATTTAACAACACTAAGGCCCATTGAAGTTTCTTGTAGTATCAGTATTCATAATGTATTTGGATGATATAAATTTTTTATTATGAGTTGGTGGTATAATATCCGAGGAAAGCTACCCTAAACTATATGAAATAAATAAAAAAATCAAATCAAAGCTTACATATGCCAATGCAGATATTCGGCCTTTGAAATCGTCATATGAGCATCTAAACTGGTGAGAATCAGGGTGTAGTATTCGTCGGGTTCTGATGCGAATGTAACATCAGGTGCATCGGCTGCCTGTAATATTTAAAAACAGCCAACATATACATCATCGAAATAATAAATCTATAAGTGAGGTTTTAACAAACCTTTGGTCCCCTATTTTCTTCGAGTGGTGCTCAAACCGAACTTATTTCTTATAAAAAATGAATTATGAGAAATAGACATATTTAATGTATGCTAGGCGACTACTAAGTTAGACCTAGAATGAAAATTGCCGTAGTTAGACGCTATTAATGTGATATTTAAGGTTTAAAGTATCTACATTTTAGTTTAAATTCCCGATGACGGTATTTCAATATATGCATACCCCCTTAGTCACATTTTAATGGATAAAGCAACAGTTTAGATTTGCGTTAATATCATGGGGTTAAGGTTAACTACTCATTCAGATTTAGCGCGAATTTGCCGTACAAAATATATTGTATTTTTATTTTTCGTCAAAAAATGGCTGTAAATGTGAATTGAGGAGTAAAAGGTTAGTAAAAAGAATAACATCGAAATAAATGCCACAAAGCAACGAAGATAAAAAAAATTTGGCCATTTTTTACAAGTAAATTTTGAGCGACAAAACGTCTTATAATACTTTTATAGAAATATAAATAAAATAAGCTGAGTGTTCATTTTTCAAGGTAAAACAAATCCCGCCAATATAAGATTAGGGCCGGAAACACGTGATATAATCACGTCACGCCCAATTAAATAGAAAGCGAATTGTAATGATAAAAAGGTTATAGACCTTTAAAGAGTATTGAGCAATAAATGTTAAATAATTTTTTAAAAAAAATAGGGAATACGTGTTGACATTTTTTAAGGTTCGCCGTTGCCTAGCTCAGGCTTAACAGATTTTAAACTGGGGATACCTTTAACTATGTACATTAGATAAATATTAGGGATGTACCGATATTTTATAATCGGATCGATATTTCACCCATTTTAAAATATCGGTTATCGGTTAAAATTTTCCGATCCGATCCGATAAAAAAATGGCGTTTTTTTAACAAAAAAAATAAAATGTTTATAAAAAGAAAATTAAATCTAAAATATCATTTATTTTTATAAAATAAAATAAAATCGATCGAAATCCATTTATTATATATTTAAATGACATATGTTATATTATAGTTAAATTATAAATATTATACTAATAAAAAGCATATTAAGCCATTGATATATCTTTACAGTATACTAAACTAGACATAATACCGGATCGGTAATCGGCCGATATTAATTGAATATCGGGAATATCGGATCGGCCTCCAATAAGTGGTATCAGTACATCCCTTAGTAAATATTGTACAAATTATCGTTACCAAGCCAAAATAAACCTCTTGCAAAAATTTAAGGGGCTTGACAATTCAAGCATGAAAAATCTTTTTAGGGCTGGGTCGGAAAATTTATGCCTAAAAATGCTAAGACAGGGATTCTCGTAATACGGAACTCAACTTTTTTACGGAAAACAAAATGAGTGATGGGCTCACGTGATAGAAATCCCTCTTATCGATAAAATAATAGTGTTTAAAAGGGGTGTTTCAAAAAATGGGATGGGTATTTCCCCCAGGGATGGCCAGTTATTAATGCCTCCCCTCAAAAAAAGAGACAAAAAATATAATTTCCAAAGCAATAAAATAAAATAAGATCCTAATCTTTTAGAAATTGTAGATAACATTTCCCTTGGAAAATTAAAATTTTAATGTAGATATTTTTTTCTTGAATTTCAAGTCTAATATATTTGTAATTATTCCTATTTGAAACTAAATTTACGATACGCTTGTTTCTTTATATTTTTATATAGCTGTTTAACCTAAATGACTTATAGGCCTATTAAATATCAATTTTTTCGAAAAATGACGAAGCAGAGCCACTTTGAGACCCTATATCTTCGGTTCCAGTAGAGTTAGAGGGGGGGCTAATATGTTTGATTCGTCAATTACAACCACTTTATTAACTTACACACCAAATTTTAGCAAAATCTGAGATGTTCGGGTTGTAAAGTGATTGATTTGATATGGAATGACCCGTAATTGTTTTTGGAAAAAATAATAATATTGACCTCTAAGGAGGTGAGAATGTTTCCTCTGTACACCGGTACACAAGTGTCTTGAAGATTGTGGGTTATCTTCAATGGCTTCACGGGGTAAAAATATGCCAGATCATAGAGGTCAGACATTATGTTGTAATGGTTAGCCAAATTTAGCAGCTGTTCTGGACCGATTGTCTTATGCCATTCATCCTCAGCCTCTTTCACATTCATTCTATCTATATATTATAATCAGAGTTTAGCAACCTGGATATAAAAAAAATTAGGAATCTAGTTCCGGTTCCAAATATTTCTAGAAAAATGGCGGCTCCCAGTTTTCTAAAATTTTGAAAAGTGTGAGTTCTGGATCTCGTTTTCTAAATTGGACGGGTTCTAAATATTACAGGTTCTATAAATTTTAAGAGGGTTTCGACCCAGATGTAAAAATTTCTATGAAGGGTAAAGAGGGGGAAGGGGGGGGGGTTGTAAATTTTTTTAAAGAAAATTTAATGTTTAAAATATTAAATTAATGTATCAATTTGTAGAATATTCGAATGTGGGGTGAGAGCCCTACTGTCACCATAAAGTTGGTGCTCATGTTTCATCATATGGCTCTGATTACTAAGTTTTTTTCCCCCAGTTATGAGAATTATTTAAGAAAATTGAAATAATGTTAATTTCTTCAGCAGATATATTCATAGATAATGGCTATATCTCAATGCCAAAAATTTAATTTCCAAAGATGAATTATACATCAATATCCCTCTATGAAAAATTCTTTAATATAGTTATATTTAAATCTAACCTTTGGGCCACTCAATTGACTTAATGATGACCAAATACAATTATAAAAAAATATTTTATATGTGTAAATATGGCCTCAAAAAAGTTGTTCAAATCTAAAGGCATAAAAATCTTAAGTCTACAAAAAGAATATCCTTTAAATGTGGAATCTTTATCCTAATGGACATAAGCAGAGTCATATTTGTGAATCCTATAAACCATACATTTTATTTAAGGTCTTCTCCAACAAAATAACAGGTTTTTAAACAAGCAAAAAGATTTATAGCCAATAAGGTGAAAATATAAGAATAAATATTAATTCTGGTCAATTGACGATAGAATTTATAATATATTTGCTTAATATTTATTTCATAAGTTAATCAACATTTTTTTGAGGTTTATGATATTTACTTTCCAGATTCTATTAAAGAGATATAATATTACAATGTTTTTCTTCAAATAATAAAAAAAAGCTAAAATATATCATCTTATTGTAATTATTTTTATCAAATAAATAAAATTTTAAAATGTATATTTGATCCATTAGAATAGTTCCTCTGCTGCACCAAAGCATCTATCTAATGCCTACATAAAATAAAAATGGATATGGGTTTGGGTGGTATTATTATGAATATTTATATTTAGAATTCAAGTTTCTTCTTTCAATAGTCACAATGATAAAAAAAGCCAATTTTAACCTTGGAAATACTTTTCCATAACCATTATTTTTATTTAGTCAGGGATGGGCTTTTATTTTTTTTTAGTTGCTTTGCCTCATGCATGTAGGTAATGAAAGCCTGCATAAAAATTGTGGACAAGCTTCTCACTTTGGTTACCCCTAATTTCTTACCTATTAGATGGGATTTGAAAGTAAAGCTATGCTATTTTATATAAGAGTTATTAGGCTTACTATGGCATATAACAAATAAAAATTAATCTAATTTATATCCTAAAAACACATATAAAATTATTTTTTTATGTGCTTAAAATATTATAATATTAGATAAATATATCATACCTTTATCAAGAAAAAGTAAAATTTATCAAAATATTACAAGTCCTTAGCCTGGCCTGTTCTTCCATTTTAGGATCTTTTTTAATTGACCTGACCATGTTAGATCTTTTTATGGCAACATCTTTGCTAATTTTTGTAGTATATTTCAATCCAATATTGACTTTATCATATAATTCATCATGAATTTCCTGAGCTAAAATATTTTGATAAAGTAAAGATGAACATATTAAATCTCGAAATAAGAAATTAAATATTTTTTTAGGATTTAATAAAATAAATCAATATAAGGTGAGCAATGGTGCAAATTTGTGGCTTCGTCTAATATAAAGGTTTACATGCAAAATTTTATAATGTAGCATTTAAGAATTTATAAGGATCATAATCATTTTAAATATTAAACCTTTTAATTTTTCTTTTAACGTAGGTAGTTCTAAAGGGTGGATTTGGAGAATATGTTTAGGCGGCATGCAATAACTGCGATAAGGTGTTATAACTTGGATAAATCTCTTCAGCATTTTTTCAAAAAAAATAAAAATCACATTTGTGATAGGTGATTTATTTAAATTATATGCAAGTGCTTTACCTAATCTTGATGCGATGTGTAATTCTATGATAAATAACAAATGTAATTTCTAAAATGGTAATTTGCACTTACTCAATATTTTGGCTAAAGGGGAAATCAAGATCTTACTGAAAAAAATAAAAGGGGACAACACGTCTAGATTAATCCTTAGCTTGAAATACTTTTTATTCCATAACCTAATAGGAAATTATATTTTATCGTTTGAGAGATGTGTGAAAAATATTTTTCAACGAAGTTATACATATTAAAAATTGTGCTAAGATATACTCGGCCAGTCTGTTAACCCAATCCGCCTACCAGCTGTGCTGATTTTTTTCGAAAAATTAGAAAAGTCCTGATCGTGATCAGGTCAAATATCTTTCTTAATTTAACGCGGGCTGGAAAATTTGTGCATAATAAATTTTCAGGCAAGACCGGACAATTTATGTATGAAATATTTAGGCAGGACCTCGCTAATCTCTAGATTTTCCTAAAATTTTAATAGGCCTGTAAGGGTATTAATTTTAATACATTTTTGAATTTCAAGCTAATATTTAGAATAATACTATTTAAAAATAAATTATAATATACTATATCTGGGCTTCGAAAGGGCTGAGCACGGCTGTGTAGAGGAAGGGGCAGCTGGTCATCCGCTCCGGCCCGCAGAAAATCTATAATTTAAGAGTTTCCAAATTTTATAATTTTACTTTATTTTTATTAGCTATTGAAAAATAAAAAAATTTTATAAACTACATAAAACTTAAGCAAGGATTAATCTTTTATTGTAAAAATGAATTTTGAAAAAATTGGTTGACATATCTAGCCATATGATATGTCTTATAAGGAACAAAAAATTTAATTTATATTTTAGTTCATTTATTTTTTAGTAAAGAAATTTAATTTTTTTTATCGAAATTTGATATAATATTATTCGGCCACATTAGTTAAATTAAGAGTAGTGAAGTTCATAATCATTACCTTGGAAATCAAATTCAAAATGAAATTTATTAACTTTATAGGGGACAAAATCGTAGAAAAAAAAATTGTTGATACTATTAAAAACTCATTTTTTCCCATAATATTAGACTGCGCACCAAATATAAACCACCAACTAGGGGTTCTAACCGAACCCGAAGAAGAAAACCCGGGTTTTTGGAAGAAAATTTTGAGCCCGAACCGAACCTGAACCTCGTTTATAAAATTTTCAAAACTCCGAACCGAATCTGGGAATCTTTGAACCCGGGTTTGGTGTATTGTTTAAATTAATATAAGATATTAGTATAATTGTAAATACATATATTAAATTTACATGACTTTTAATAATATTTTCAAATTTCCAATAAGTGAAGTGTTAATAAATTTTAAACAATTTAATTCATTTACTCTATTTTTAAATTAATTCTCAAAGATTCCTATTGGATTATTAATAAATTTTAAACAATTAAATTTGCGCTATTTATTTTTAATTTTTAACTTATTCTCAAAGATTATTAATTAGAGGAAAATGAAAGTGAACAAGTCAAAAAATTTACATTAGATATTGTTAATTTAAAGAAATACGTCTAAATAAAAATTTTTTAAATCTACACATGACTATACTTTGTATTCTTAAACTATATTTTGCCTATAAATAAAATAATAAATTAATTTTTTTTCTACAAAATTTATGTAGTTTGTTAATTATGATTTAAATATAGAATATATTTTTTTTATCAATACAAAAATTCTTAAACTCGAGCTGAACCCGGGACCAAAACCGGGTTCAAAAATATTTATCTGAACCGAACCAACCTAGTTTTTTTAACCTTAAACCGAACCCGGGCAAGTGCCGGGTTCGCATCCCTGTAAAATTCCGTTAAAATAAAAACAAATTTAGGTCATGCAACAGTAAACAGATGTAAATCAAGATTAAAGAAACAACAAGAATTTAAATTGTATGCATCAAATCGAGACAAATATTCATGAAAGAAACTATATTAGAATTATCTAATAAGTGGAGACCCAAAATGTTAATGGATCTTTGTCCCTCGTAAATGTGCTTTTTGAGCCCATGGATTTTATTGCAATTTTAATCCATTCTTTATTTGTTTAAATTGTTCACTCATTTTTTCCATTACTTTTATCAATAAAGTAGTTGCAATAATACACATCATTTTTATAAATATTAGCGGCTAAAAGGAGCATCACAGGAAAGCTCACCCTTCCCCCGGTGTAGCTCATCCTTTCCTAAACATATTTTTTCTGAAAAATCAATATTGTTAAATAAAAGTATAATTTTTTTTAAATATTATTTTTATAAAAATAGAATAAAAGTAAATAAGTGGAATAAACCGATACATTATTTATTAATTAACAAGTAGTTTTAATTTTAATTGATGTTTGCCTTTTAAAGCCTCGCATGCTCCCCTACTAATAGAGACGTATCCGAAAAAACGAATGATCTCAAAATGCTGCACAGAAACCTGTTTATTGGCTAAAGAATTAAAACAATTCATTTTTGGCGAGTCTTGTTGTCTGGTTTGTAATATTAACCCATATAAATTTAGTAAGTGCAAAATTACAATATTGAATTGGAAAGAGAGAGCCGTTACACTTAAAATTACGCAAGATATTTAAAATCGCTTTGTTAAACGGCTCGATTTGAGTGGATTTTAGCCAAAAAAATAATGTCAGCATTAAGATTCGTTAAAAGATGTTCAAACCTTTTCGCCACCTACGAGCAAAATCTTAAGGTTTTCTTCCTGATAAAATACTGAGTTAGCCGTTTTTGTTAATCGGCTCATACTAGTTAGAAGCGGGTTTCAATAATTAAAACCGAACCGATATGATCATCTTTAACTAATTTGGAACCTGAACCTATATTCGTTACGGATTTAGAATCTGTTTTATTCTTCATTTTCTTTTCTATATGAGTAATAAATGACAACAAATGGGATAATAATAATAAAAAATTGTCCCTTTTGGATGTTTTAATCAATATTTTTTTTAAAAAACTTGATATATCCCCCCCCCCCCCCCAAATAAATATATGATATTATTCTCTAGTAAGTTATAGGATAAAAGTTATTCAATCTAAAATATAGTACGCACCTCACCTTATCCTGATAACTCTAATCGCGTTTATATAAGTCAGCATGGGCGGCCTGCGGAAATTTTTTAAAAATATTATTCGGCACCTTTTTGCACGACCTCTCAATTAATTTTGTAATAATTTAATAAATAAGTTTTACATTTTATCACTAATTAGTTCCAAACAAAGATATACCTAAAAAAATATAACCGGTATTCTAATAGATATCATTCTCAATTTTCTTTATTTTTTCTTTGTAAAATGTCTAAGTAACTTCTTTATGAATTTAATATGATTATTATTAATAAAACTCTGTATTTTTAAAAAAAAACAACAACACCGGTAATGAAAATATAAAATCAAATCTGAAATGCGTTATATAATAATGAATCGAAGAGGGGGGGGGAGTCATAATAAGTCGTATAAAAAATAGTAGATCTACAAAAAAATAATATTTAAACAATAAATTACAAAAAGAAAATCTATGGAAATCAAAAAATATAATAATAAAATAAAAATAAAATAAAATTCTAATAAATAAACAAAAAAATAAATATTATATAATACCTTTATTGTAAGGGAGAAAAGCCTTTTTATTTACATAAATTTATATAATATGCATGTATAATCTAAGGTTATATTCATCGTGATTTTATATCATTTTTAAACTCAATTATTACTATTATTACTTTTTAGTATAAATTTTTTTAACTTAATCAAAGTTATTATTTATATATTTAATTTGGTAAAATTTTTCAAGTCAATCAACGTCACAACTTAATAAAGTTAACCAGTGTTGTTAAAAGGCTCGATTTGAGCCGATTTAAAAACAGGCTTAAGGCAGCATTCATAGCGAATCCGATCCGACACGATTTAACAGCTGATCGATTTTTAAAATCTGTTTATGAGATCAGTTTTTTTGTTATAATATTAATTTTGTCTTTAATAATTCTATACACGATAATAACTTAAGAAATATTGGTTTTAATAAAGAAAAATTGATTCTCATAAACCGATTTTAAAAATCGATCAGCTGTTAAATCGTGTCGGATCGGATCCACAATGACAGAAAATTACCGCCTAAGCCTCGAGATTATGTTTCAAACTTTTATGCCATCTTATGACCAAAATCTTCGGGACGTGCTCAATATTTTTCTGAGTATAAATATAGTTGGTCATTTTTTAATAATCGGCTCGAATCTTGCCGTTTAGCAACACTAAGGTTAACCCATATTAAATGATAAATTATCGATTAAATCAGAAATTGGAACGGACAATTCAGCTTACAATATCGCAAATTTTGTTAAAATATTCAAATAAGATGAAATATTATTACATGTTTTGGATAATTGGCATATTTATTAGTGATGCCCTTTATGGTAAACCTACTGATTTAACTAATATTTCTATCCTCTAGGAGACTCGATAAGGTGATAAAATTTGATGTTTTTTATATTATTTATTTACAAATAAAATATTATGCGATCATCTGTATTTAAAAAAAATCATTTGCTTATAGAATATAGGTCCCAAGATAAAAAAAAGTAGTAGTCAAAGGAGGGAAGAAAAGGATGGATTGATTGCATTCTCGCGATTATATTAATTTAGAAAAATATATTCTTTTCTTATCAAACTTTGATTTTGCATAAAAAACAAGTATTTTTGATTTAAAAAAATAAAATTAAAATAATAGAGAAGAAATTTGATTAAACAAATTTTTTCATCTAATCTTCCTTCTTCTTCATGCACTTTGTAGTTGTAAAGTGTTATTATCAACCGCGAGATTTTGTCGTTTGTAGACCCACTTGGAAAACATTTCCCTGTATAATAAAAAATATATTTAAAAATCAATATATTATTCTTTCATTCGTTTGAACCAAATGTAATTTATGAAAAATAAAAACGTCATTCATTTTGTTTAAATCAATCAAAATTTATGGTGTTTTTGGGCAAAAGATTGTAACGGACCGAACCGGAAAACTTGCGCAAAATTCATAAAGGGCCAGGCCTTTGCAAAACCTTAACAATTCTCGATAATATATTTATAAAAGAAAAGTTAAAAGCGTAAAACGTCGCAGATTTTGAACTGGCACCCGATATCCGAGCGGGAAAAATGGGTTAATTGAACAAAAAGGGGTAAAATCAATGAAATATAATAATACCTAGACTGCGATGCGTTCATAATAAGAAATTTTAAAGCGTCGTTGAATGCAAATCATCTGGACCCGCCATTTTGGTAACCCATATAGTAAATTATTCTCATGTTAAAAACTACCATCAAATCGATAACTTGAGGCGATTCTTTAATAAAGTTTGCGTCAGACATAGGAATAAATTGGCCTCACGTTTAAAATTAATAATGATACGGGTCACCAAAATGGCGTCCCCAGCTGTTTTTCATTGATGTACACTTTTAATAAAAATGCATCGTCAGTTGTCATTGGCTAAAATAGAAGATTGCGCGATCTTCTTTTATTTTCCCTTAGCAGCGTAAACTATATAAACACATTTACTTGCAATGAGCTACTACGCAACTTTCCCCGCAATACTCACTGTCCCATTGAGGGTTCGATATTGGCGCGTTTTCGCACCCACCTTTAAGGCATTTGGCTTGCGTTTCACGACCTTTATAAAAATACAAAAAATTTTTTTTAAATCTATGGAAATCAAAATGGATTCATATTCCTTAACCTTATATCATTTTTACCAATTTCAAAAAATATTAATTATTTCCTTTTTCTTTTCTTTATTTTATTTCGATTTCTATTCTTATTTTATAATTTATATTGTCAACAATTTTATTAACTATTTGGTTCTTTGTCATCGATGGAGGTGAATTTTTGGATATAGGCCTTTTCTTTATCCGCGTCTGTCAAAGTAGCAGTAGAGGAAGGCGGAAAGGGGGCGAAGTCGGGAAGGGCGGGAGAATTGGAAATCGCTGTCGACGAATACAAAATGGAGGAAGTGGACAAGGAATTGGAAGAATTCGATTTATTCTTATATATTTTTTTTTTTAAAAAAAAATTAAATATTATACAATGCGTATGCTAATAAACCTTTTTTAACCTATTGAAGATCCTTTAAAACTGATTGATATCTCACAAAGTAGAGGTCATACTTGATTATATCTTTATAAATGATTATTAAAGTCTCATAATAAAGTCATAGGATATCCGGGTCTGAAATTTTTTTTTGAAAATCCGGGCCGGACCCGAAAACATAAAACCCGGGCCGGGCTGAAAAAAGTTTTTGATAAAAATCCGAGCCGGACCCCGCAAATGGTACCTCTGCAGGTCTCTGATTTACGGAGCGTATTTTTAAAGATTTGATTTTACCAGAATCATAATTCGAGATGCCTTAGCGTATATTATATATGTCGGGTTCCGCGCTGAAATATTTCTCGTCGGCTTTACGACCCGGTCCGTAATTATGTTTAACCGACCCGGCCTGTTCCAGCAAAATCGAGACTCGGTTAATAAAGAAAATGCGCCCCCTTAAGTGATTTAAATCAGGGTTAGGGATATTTTAAGCGGAAATTTTAATAAAGTAATCGAAAACTGATCTTCTGAAAGAGGTTGGAACCAGCCCGAGGTCCATATTGCCTCTGGTTTGATGGGTGGTCTGTGGTTTCAAAATGCCCATCTAAACAATTTCAAAAACCCGAATTTGAATCCAGAACCCCGATTTAAATGTTAAATAATTCCAGTATACCCTCTATGAAATAATAATACTATGTATAAATTAATAAGAAAAATAAAAGAAAGAAAGAAAGTAAGATACTTTTATGGTCCAAGACAATCTTTATGTACATGAGGAAATTATTTAATTTGCCAAATATATTACTTTGGATGCCATTTTGTTTCTGTATTCGGCTAATTTTTTGATATATTCCTTTTTGGCTAAATCCGTTTTCTTTTTGTAAACCTATAAAAAAAATCAAAATAAAGATTGAATGGTTAACTATCGCGGTTATTTTTTATGCCGAATAACGCAAAGTCGATTATACCGCCATTTTTAAAGGCTAATGGATAATGCGCAGTTTATTTTTTTTAAAAAAAAATCAACTTATGTGAGCAACTATCTAACCCGGCATTCGAAGTTAACGCGAATTCGTGGCGCAAATTCGCGCTACCTATGAATGAGGGATAAGGGTTAGAAAGATAAGGGATAACCCCCACTCCCCATCTCCATCTTCCGTTACATCTTTTCTTTCGAGTTCCAGGGTGTCCCACATGGAAGCGACGATCTTGCTAACTTCGCCAAAGGTTGCGGTCGGGTTTTGCCCCTTGATGGCGGCTTGAGTGTCCCTGAAAAATAGGGCGTAAGCGGAAACGGGCCTAATAGATTTTTTTTTAAAAATGATATCATATTAAATTTGACCATAATTTTTATGTAGAAGAAGTTAGCGCTGTGCCGACTGCCAATATCAATTTGCTCCGATATTTCCGATATCCGGTCAGAGGATCGATTTCGGGCTAAATACTTGAAAATATCTGATCGCCCAAAAATTTAATAATAAATTGCGGATCGGCAGAGCCCTAGTTATTAGTTAGAAACTTTTTAAAACAGTCTTAAGAAGCGTATATAATTGTTCCATCTACTTTAATGTTGACATTAAAAAAAAATGTAATGCTCGACCTTTGCCCATAAAGTCAAACATCAATTCGCAAAACGAAGAATAGTAATGGTAGGGCAGCTTAACGATCTTAGCCCACGACCCCCATCCCCGTTATAACTTTCTTTCTAAACCAACATATTTTCGTTCGCAGATTAAACGTACCACATAGAATTTTAAACCGAATTTACCAATTAGTTTATTTTTAAAAAATAATAAATTATTAGGGTTAAAATATAGATCACAATATATAATGTAAGGAGTTTTTAAACTGTAAATTGATAGAGTTAAAATCCCGCGAAATTAACATTCAAAAATTAGCTTCGCGTATACTAATTTTCACCGCGTAAATCGGACAATTAGCATAATATCTCGCGAAAACTGTCGTCTGAAATTTATAGGAATCGGTATTTCTAACACCGGGGATATATAAATGATTTAAAGTTGGTAAATAACGCGATCTTTTTTATTTGAATAAAATTTGTAAAATCACAAATTTATCAGTTATCCCCATTAATTTCAGAACAAATTTTGAATCGTGAACATCCGAGTCGTTTTTCCTAATTAACAAAAGCGGAAATACGCGACGCGAAACGAAGTGTAACAAAATATAATAGCGTAAAAATATAAAAAAAATTTTAATGAAGATTACTTTTGAGGTTCATTGGGATCTTTCTTTTTCTTTTTCTTGCTAGGGTTGGGGCTAACCGAAGGTGTGGAAGAAGAAACCGAAGTCTTAATCGGACCGGTCTTCGATGGGGAAGAGTAAGTTGCCGGAACGCCACTATTCCGGGTCGAACGCAAGGGGGTCAACGATTGGCGTGGTCGTTGACGGGGCGGCTGGCTACGATTAACTTTTTTGGACGCCTCTTTGAGGGTAGACTTAAAAAGGGAATATTTCGAGAAAATAATTAAATAGTTAATAACTACATAGAGTGGGAAGAGAACCTTAAAAAAAAGAAGAGATTCCGACCTCTTATATTATTTTTTTTTGTAATTTAGCGATTTTAATAAAAAAAATCGGTTATTTAAAAAAATCAATTATTTAAAAAAATCAATTCGATCCGATAATCCTATTTTTTTTATTGTTTTGGGGGTTATTTCATCATAATTTCGTAATAATAAATTACATGAAAGGAACTGAAATACAAATTTTTATTTGTTTGAAATGTTTAAGAAAGAAAAAAAATTTGAAGTTTACCCTTTTTGTTTATATTTATCTGGAATAAGGATGAGGATTTTAAAATATCTAATGAGCCACATCCGGCTAACGTTGTTAACCGGTTGGATTTAACCGATTTTTTTTTTTAAAAAAAAGCTTTTATATTTTGAATTTCACACAAACCTTAGAAAAATATATTGGACAAGGTGTCAGTCTTAATACTGAGGGATTTTTAAAAAAAACTTTAAAAAATAACAACTTCATAGCAACGCGATTACACGAAGAGGGGCTCGTTTATTACCATTTCATAAAAAAAAATGGACGACCAGGTTAAAAATTGCCTAATTTAAACTCTTCCTGCCCATTTCCATAATGTGAACAAAATACAATCTCCATGGGGCAAAGCAAAATAATACGGTATTTAAAAGGGAATAAAATAATTTTCGATATTTTTTGTTTAATTTCCACTATTCCTAGTATCAGCTGAAAGATTAAACAATTCATTTATAAAAATGGAAAAATAAGAAATATTCCTTCTTTGAAGGTTGTAAAAAAAATTTTTTTTATCAAATAAAATAAATTAATGAATGTAACAAACGTCGTTTTCCTCCTCGGGAGAGGCGAATCCGTTGGAGCCTAGGGAGGACGTTTCGCTTTCCGCTGCTACGTCGCCATTGTTGGTTATATTGGCGCTATCCATGCTGTAGCTACCAGACGAAATGAGCGGAGGACCGGCTGACCGAAAATAGGTCATGTTACTACCCATCACCTGTTGCGTTTGTCGAACCATGTGCTGGAAGGGAAGTTGATTTATTATGGTCGGTTGATATCGAATATTATCGTTTATCGTATGCATCGTCTGCGGAAAGGAAAATTGATTATTAGCCGTATGAGGGTATGGAAAGCTGTTAATCATGGGCTGGGAAATATGGTTGTAAATTGGGTGTGATACGGAATTATATATTGTCTGCTGAGACGGAAATCGGTATATATTGGTTTCGCTTGTTAAGGCCGTGGGGGATCGGAAGTAGCTCATAGATGATGGTGTTTCCGGTTCCGAAAAAGATTGCAGTTGTTGCATTTGCCTGATGTCGGGAGGCGGTGGTGGAATATCCGTTTGATTATACTTTTTTAGGTTATCCGCTACTGCTGAGATCACAGAAGACGTCACAGGATATAGGGAATAAGGAGACGTGTTCAATGATTCCGTCGGCAAGGCATTGCACTCAGAATGATGATGTATAATACCGTCCGCTCCCATCGACATGACAGCGGAAGGAGGCTGAAAGTGTTGTAACATCGTCTGTTCTTGATGCAGGGGCAAAAGGTTTCCATCGTAAATGTTGACTGTTACCGATGGTGCAGCTATCGAAGGCGCGTAGGATCTGATATAATAATAATAATAATAGTACTTGTTATGAAGAAATGTGCAATATTTTCGTCACAGTTTCAGAATTCATGAGATCGGTATCCATAAAGCCGACCTAAAATGCGCCATTCCATCAAAAATATTCTAAAGGTGCATTCAACAATTCTGCCAGTTCGGAATAAATGATTGCTAATAATATATTGCTTTAGGGAATGACGAGACTTACGTATTAAGAAAATAAAAGATGGATAAAATTCTTGAAATAAATGTATCCCTACATTTATAAGGTTCCATAATTATAAAAAAAAATGTAGGCAATATATATATGTCGTATGGGGATTCGGAATCAAAGAAAGAAAGAAAGATAGAAAGAAAGATAGAAAGAAATAAAAGAAAGAAAGAAAGGATTTTAAATCCTTTACCGAGGGCGATTTAAAAAAATTTTAAATTCCTATTTAACCGGAAATGTATTAACCGGAAATGATTAACCGGATATGAATTAACCGGAAATGTATTCTAGCATGTGTAGAGTATTTACCCTTGCCAAGAACTTTAGAAACTACTTCTAATTTATATTAATTTTACGTGAATTTTTCATATAAATTTAAAAAAATACTAAAATGTGTATGGCTGAAATTTATGGGGTTACTCTGCACATACTAGAATCCATTTCCGGTTTAAGATTTTAAAATTTTTTTAAATCGCCCTCTGTAAAGGATTTTAAATTGAGAGATTCCGAATCCCCACGGATTCAGAATCCCCATATGACATATACATAATTTGTCACCAAAAAACATGTGGAAGAATATATACTTGAGCTTGAGTTAAATGGGTGGAATTGGCAATTTTATTTTATTTTTATAAGGATGGGAGTTCGAAAAACATTTTACATCACATTAACTTATCAATGATGTCTAATATCTAAAACTAGAAATTTTGCCTTAGAATCTAGTAAAGTCTGTAGAATGATTGAAAACTAATTGTTAAAAATAATTAAATTTGAATGAAGTAATAATATTGCAGTTCATTATTGAAACTATATCAAAAATGTTAAAAATCGCTTGGTACTAAGTGCGATTTCGTTGACTATCAGTCAGCTGTTTAATCGCATAAAATCCAATTAAATGTATTTACCTTGCGTAATCGGAAGAAAGGGGCGACGGAGGAATACCGGTTACGTCCGGTCGATAATTATCGTCTTTCGATGGCGTCATCAAAGACATTATGGTGGAAGGGTACGTCATGCGCATCATAGCTTCCAGGTGGTCGTTGCTGTGCAAGAAGACGGGATTAAGTGATGTTACGTTGATCCCCGATGCTTATATAAAAAAAATATATATGACGTCATATAATATATAAATTAGAGTTTGGTGGAGTCTTGAACTAAAAAGAGTTTTGGTTCAGAATATATATAAAGATATCCGGTTTCCGGTTTTAAGATTTAACCGGTTTCCGTAGGTAAAGGTTCCAAATTTAAAATATGTATAACGATATGATCGAATTAATTTTTGCGATAAAAGTGTCGTATTCGACCATATGATTTTCTATTTTAATAACTTCTAATAATATTATTAATTTTACAGAGTTAGTATTAAGTGTAATGGTTTGAATTTGCATACATATTTATCTAGACAGACGATTTCATTAAATTAAAATGCGTTTTTAAGCGTCGTTTGAATACAAATCAGCTGATAACACGCCATTTTGTTTTCTCGTATAAAATATAACTGCTCAAAATTTTAATACAAATTATGTATATGGGTAAACCAAAATGGCGTGCCATCAGCTGTTTTGTATTGATTTGGCCTTTAAGACTGAATAGTCAGTTTAGGTGATATATGTCATTTACATTAGCATATAGGTTAAAAATAACTCCGCGGCATCAAAAAAAAAATTATATACCGAAATTCGAGCCGTCAATAGCGACCGGTGCTGTCGAAGAGAAAATGTCGAATATATTGGACATATTATTAGTTGAGTGGTAGTTAGACGTCAGCGGATGTGTTGAATTAATTGACGGGGGAAGATCAAGTATCTCTAGGTCTTCGTCGCTCAAGTTGGGCAAGTGAAAATCCTTTGGAGAAGGGTAAAATAGGTTGTTTTTTTAAATTATTGCATATTAATTATAAAATATGATGATAATTGATTGGCATCCTTGACTATTTGTCTTTTATTCCTTTTAACAATTTCTTTCTTTCCTTCTTTTATAAATTTTATTTTAAATATATTTCGTAAAATTTATTGGTCAACAATTTATATATTTACTTAAATTGTTTGGGTCATATTTTCCTAAGTATAAAAAATGGGATAAAATATAAACATAAACTTATTTAAATACTCTTTCTTTACTTTCCGCAATTTTCTTATGACATATAGTAATACCTAGACTGACGATGGGTTCATTAATAATGCACTTGAAAGCGTCGTTGAATGCAAATCAGCTGGACCCGCCATTTTGGTAACCCATATAGTAAATTATTTTCATGTTAAAAACTATCATTAAAATTGATTGACTTGCTTTCTCTCATTTTCTCGATTTATCGGACACATCTTTAATAAAGTTAGCGTCAGATATAGGAATAGATTGGCCTCTCGTTTAAAATTTTTAAATAATGACATGGGTAATCGAAATGGCGTCCCCAGCTGTTTTTCGTTGATGTCCCCTTTTAATGAATGCATCGTCACTCTAGATATTATTTATATAAAATTATAATTAGGAGTGGGTCTCCAGGTTGGGATCGGATCTTTTGATAGAATCAGTTGGAGGAAAAAAGAAGAAAAAAAAGATGCAGTCGACGACTTATATCTACCAACCGTAAACTTAATCTTAAATTTTTGATATCCAAAGGTGTAGGGGCAATGTGTCGAGACGTTTTTATGTATCAACAAAACCTTGATCCAGTTAACCCCGCTTCAAATCTGTTTTCATTCATAAGAATTGGGAAAAAATTACATTTGGGAATATTTTTAATGGCGCAAATCACAATTATTACAAACTGTTCTTGTTATATGTGCCCGTTAACAATATCTCAACAATATTTGATATTTAATTTTCCCTTGAATAAGATTATTCGAATTATTTACTCTTAGATTTGTGGTATTCATTATCGCATTCTATTTATTTATTTTGGTTCTTTGTAAAGCTCAAATATTTGTTTTATTCTTTACATTATTAATCTATTTAATTCTATTTTATTTTTTAAGGGAGAGAGGAGGGGGGGGGAGCTGTGAAAAACTATGTCAAGTGTATAGACGTATTGTTTAGGAAAAAAAAATAATATTCTATTTAGCTAACCATTCTTCCTCAATCCTATTTCGTTAAAATTAAATTTTAAGCATTTCACTAATCTGTTATTAAAATTCTGATAAATAAAAATTTTTAAAAAAAGGTATTTATAATTTCAAATAATATTTAAAAAAACATCAATTCGAACAAAAGAAATGTGAGAAGAAGAAAAGAAAGAAAAAAAATGAAAATATGTAACCCCCCCCCCCCAGTACCATTTTGGTCGGATAGTGATATCGGTTATAATTGGAAGTATTCGTTATAAGTTAAAATTGAAAGGATTCGACATCGGTTAAAATTAAAAGTATCGATTATCGGTTAAAATTGAAAGTATATCGCTATCGGTTAAAATTGAAAGTATTCGGTGTATCGGCTAAAATTGACCGAGAGAATTGACCCGATATTAAGGATCGGAATTAGTGGGTCTCCGAGAAAAATTTCCTTACTCATATACGAATCATTTTATTATAAATTCTTTTCTTTTCTTTTGGCGGGAGAAGGTGTGCTAACAGAAAAGTAGTAGCCTACTAGCTTAGTGAAATCTTCCAAAAATAAGGGGAGATGGAGGAAGGTCTAAGGCAAAAATACTAAAAGTTGACCTCTACAAGGTTTCTGAATAAGCGTGTTTTTTTATAAAAAAAAATAGATGGCTATAGCTGGAATTTTCGTAACGAATATTGAATCGGTTTTAGCCGTAACAAATATTGATTCGGTCCTAACCGTGAATATTTATTCGGCTCGAACCTGACGAATATTGATTCGGTCCTAACCGTAACGAATATTTATTAAATAACCGGTTAAAACGGTTTCGTAACAAAGATTCTAGATTTATATGTATAAAAGAGTGGGGTTAAACTAATAAATAATAGTCAATTTAAGACGGGCGGTCTTTGTCTGGGTTCGATTCGGGATTACGGGTTAAACGTGTCGCGAGTTGATTGGCTAATAATTAATTAGCATCGCGCGCATATTAAATTCCTATATTTCCTCAGAAGTCCTCGAAAATAATGAAGCGGTTAAAAAAATGACCGGAACTTCAAACTAAAATTGTTTGGAAGAATATTTTATTTTATTGATTTTTTTTTTCTAAAAAAATTTTACCGGTAAAGAACCTTCGATTAGGAAAAAGAATAAAGAAGGGATTTTTATGATGATTTTTTTTTAGAAAATGGATAGAGATTTAGAATATAGATGGCGGAAAGGATTGGCGCAGCAGATTTCAGGCCCGAGTGATATTATTCTTTATTTTATTTTTTATGCTAAAACCTTGATTAATCGGCTAAATCGAGGTTTTTCGATGACGCCAATAATGGTGGGGTACGCTTCCAAATCGCGCGATAATAGTACATCGGGAACAGCTGATATTCGGGATTTAAGTCGGCTCAATTCGATTAATCAAAAAGAAAACAAAAATTAGACAAAATTCTCTTAACAATTTTTTACATCCCCTTAACCTCAATTTGAGGAATGTTACCACAACAAAATGTTCCCATAAATATAATTCCAACCAAGATATAGAACTTAAAGTTGGAAAAAACATATCGGACCTACAAAATTACGAATCGAATTATTTGTTATACGCATCCGATATTCAACCCGAAAATTATAAAGGGTTCATTTAATCGCTTTCATGCACAAGAAAAAAAAAATTTTTTTAAAGCTGGAGTACGATTGATAACAGACAAAGGTGGATAAAGGGTTCAGCCAGTGGCACAGCCTGATTCCCTGATTCTGTTATACTACTTGTTAATAGTGTTAATAGAAAAATTATACTTGGAGGAAGGTGCCAAAAAAAACTTTAAGGTGGGGGTTTAGATTTTGGCCTAGCGCCAATGAAATCGTTAAATTAGAACTCACCAAATAATTCCGAACATTCAAACGAATAGAATATTTCACCGAATAAATTTCGAATATTTAAACGAATAATATCGAATATTTAAACGAATAATTCCGAATATTCAAACGAATAAATTTCGAATATTTAAACGAATAATATTCCAAAAAAAATAAAATGATCCGGTCTTAAAATAAGAAAAGAATAGGCTGCTTTTTAGCCCCACCATCATTATTCGTTATAATCATATCGATAAAACACGAATACCGGATAACGGAATAAAATTAACATTTAAAGTTCCTCTAGAAAAATAAACTCGGCGTAACGAGTGAGCGGCCGGTTACCCGAACCTTAAAAATTGGGAAGAGAGAATGTTCTGTCATAAAAAAAATTATTCAAACCGAAAGTAAGGAATATCGATTTTATTTATTTTTTTTTTTTAAAAAAAAATAGATAAATTTTAATATTATCAGGAAAAAAGGGGGGAGGAAAAATAAAATCTTATTAAAGCCATATAACTCCATTAAACAAATAAAAAATTTATTTATTAGGATCTTTGTTCAAAATCTTCGCGCCATTAAAAAAAACATTTTTCAAGGGGGGGGGGGGGGGTGGCCGTGTTAAGAGGGCGCGGTTCGAATATTTGTTCGAAGATTAAGGAATTAACGCACCGGGGCACATCGGACTATGACTTTTAAAGTGGGCCCAAAATCCTGATAGAATTATCGCGTCAAAAGTTAACGGTTTTAAGTGTTGTTAAACGGCTCGATTTGAGCAGGTTTTTAAAAAACGGGTCACCCAATATCTTAGCTAGAAAAAAACGATTGGCTAAGCCTCGAGATTTCGTTAACAGATGTTCAAACCTTTTGTGCCATCCCTATGAGCAAAATCTTAAGGCTTGCGTAACATTTCTCCCTAATAAAATACCGAGTTAACCGCTTTTCAAATCGGCTCAAAATATAGCCGTTCAACAACACTTGACGGTGAATCAAATAAATATTATAACTATCATATGAATTCAATCGAATCGGTAACAAATGGTAGCCTTACGGTTTGGTCCCAATCAGACGAATCCAAGGGGAAAAGAACGGCATCTTCGCGGTATTTTCGCTCGGATTCGAGATTCGAAATCAGAATAAATTCTTGGAATATCGACATTTTTTTTTTATTTTACGAAATTTTTAAAAATCATATATTTTTTTTTTTTTAAAAAAAAATTATTTTAATTTAAATTAAAAAATTAAATTATTTTTTTATATTTTTTTTTAAAAAAATAAATAAATATTTATATTTTAGAAAATTTAAAAAAAAAGCTCAAATTAGCGAGTTCCGAACAATACGTAACGCTCAAGTTAGAAGTAGCTGTAAAATTGTTCATTATATATATATATCGACATTACAGAATTACAGGTTAACGACAAACGACAAAAGATCGCTTCCTTATTTTTGACAAAAAAAATAAAATAAATAAAAAAAATAATATTTTATTTGTCGAGTCAAAAAAAAAATTATGACAATGTACCCCCCCCCCTCGTCTACCAGTTCAAACGAACAAAAACAAAATACATAATATTATGTATTATATATTTGAATAAAGAGAACAAGTTTATCCACCTTTTAACTCCACGAGGGTAATGAATAAATGAAATGAATCACAATATATATCCTCTTATATCATCTATTCCTTTAATTTTTCTATTTATTCTTTTCACTCATATTTCTTCTTTGCATTAATTTTAAATTCTCTTCTTTTTTTATATATATATTTATTTTCGCGGATCGTTCTTCTCGTTTCTTCCTTTCACTTTTTTCTCGGTGTTCTCTGATAGAACAAAAAACCAGCAACTAGTATCTCGCCAAATGTAACTCGAAATGTAACGAATTACAGGGAATCATAGGTTTACCGATACTATTTTGGGGCTACCCCCCAAATACAAGATAGAAAATCGCAAATTATTTAAGCACGGCCCGGCCAATGGTTTAAACAGAAGAAAAAAAATATATCGTTATCGTAATCAGAAGTTATGAACCGGAAATAGCTAGAACCAAGAAACATCTCGAAGGCGTTAAATCCAAGAAAGGGAGAACAAGCGATTTTTTTCAAAATTTAAAAAAAACCCGAAAGCAGAAACCTCCCCCAGGGTATCAGACTCTGATTTAAAAGGGTAACGATCTGCGTCGGTTATAATATAGCAATTTGCTAAAAAAAAACCCCCATCAAATTTTTGTCGAAATGCAATAAGAAGACCCATTTTAATTTTAATATTACGCGATTGGTATCGTATTGGCCCCTTGGGTACACAGTAGCAGTACACGTCCCAAGGACAACTTTAGTTTATAGTATACACTTTTTGAGTGCAATGAATAGGGAAGATCGGGGGGGGGGGCGAAAAACCGTAAATTAATTTACAAAAGTTATTTTTCGAGGAAATATATAGAAAAAAAATATATATATAAAGTCAAAGTACTAGGATGACATTTGAGGGAAAAAAATAAATATATATATATATAAAGGAAAATTATGAACCGTTTTAGAAAAATAATAAAAAATATAATTATTTTTTTTGCGCAACGTAACATATAAAGAAAGGCATTTTTTTTAAAAAAAAAGGTCAAATTTATTTTATTGAACGAGGAAATGAAAATGAGATAAGCGATAAGGTACACGCACTCAAGTTCGCGCGTAAATAAAAAATAAATAAACAAATAGATTACGTTTTAATAAAAAGGCGGGGGGGGGGCGGTAGATGCGGAAATAGGAGCTAAATGAAAGAGAAGGAAAAAAGGGAGAAAGGCAAAAAAAATGAACGAAAACTCTTGAATGAAAGGTTGTCGTGGTTATAAAGGGTGAGTGACGAGTGTTAAATGCGTAGGAACGAAATTGCTAATCAATTTTAACTTTTCGTATCGTAGTGTTGTTAGGTTTGGCAAATAAAGATCCTCCAAACTTTTTTGCCCATCTGTGAGCAAAATCTCCAGGCTCAGGCAATATCATGTTGGCGGCTAAAATCTTATTAGCGCCGTTTTTTAAAAATCGACCTGAAATCGGGCCGTTTAACAAAACCGTTTATATGTGAATCCAGGCATTAGTATGCCGGGAATGATATATTATTTTTAAAAAAAAACTCCTTCAGTGGAGTACCTTAATTAACGTTTGGCTGCTCATTTCCCGCCAAAAATTTCTATCGGGATTAAAATGATATTTATGAAACATAGCAAATTTTCTGGGGGGGGGGGGGGTGAAGGGGGATTTCCAGCCTCTCACGCCATCTTGGTTACGCCAGTGGTCCTTCAATTTTTATTAGGTAATTATTACATTTATACATCGTATATGCATCATAGCTTCCGTTTTATTATCCCTTTTTTTTGTAAAAAAAAAATAAGAAATAAAAACAAAAACAAAAGAAGAAGAAAGTTTAGAAATAAAATGGAAAAAAAATTTTTTTTTTTTTAAATTAAAGGATGTAATAAAACGATAACCCTATTTATCTGACCTGGTAAAATTATTGATGAGATGATACCTTTTAAAAACTATATTGGCAAAACGTTAAATTAAGTGTCCACACATATAATGTTGTTAAACGGCTGATTTAAAAACGGTTAATTCAATATTTTAGCCAGAAAAAAATATTGCCTAAGCCTCGATATTTCGATTATATATGTCTGGACCTTTGTTTTTTTATATGAGCAAATTCTTCAGGCTTGCGTGATATTTTTCCGGATGAAATATTGAGTTAGCCGTTTTTAAAAATCGGCTCAAAACGAGCCGTTTAACAACAAGCACTACATAAATTAGAGCCAACTGTAGCGCCATTTTGTGGTTTGAATCTCAATGCAAATTAAAAACCACAAAATGGTGCTACAGCTGACTCTTATGTATGGCCAATTTTAAGTGTAATTAATGAACGAATGGTAAATCTAGTGCATTGAACGAAAATTAGGTGATTTGAAAACATTGTTTATCTATGTTCATCATCATTTTTTAAAAAATAAAAATAAAAATATTTGTTAAAATTAGATTATTTAATATAAAAATTATTATTTATTTATAAAAATATCATTAAAACTTATATATAAATTTTATACCATTAAATAATTATATGTTTTTTTGTAAATATTTTAAGTCAGTACAATCTGACTTAACCAAAAAGGATTATCAAGGTAGAACAGACAAATTATATGCAAAATATTTTCATGGGCCTGGCCAAAATTATGAGAATGTTGTTAAAGCCGATAAATAGGCAAATTTATGTCGTATATACCTTCATAAAAAATTATTATGGACCAGATAGCTTGTACAAAATATATTTTACAGGCGATTAAAATAATTATGAACGGGGCCAATTTACATAGGGTTGGGCCCTACATATAACTTAGAAATATAACAACACAAAATCTTAATCCCCCCCTCTACATAAAAAAAAATTATGAGATCATTTCGCATATATATTGGGACCCCCCCTGTATTTGCAAAAATTTTGATGAGGTCCTTTTGAACACAGGAAGTGTTTTACAAGTTTAACCCACACTTATTTTCTTTAATATGCTTATTTCTACTGTTGTTAAACAGCTTGATTTTGCAATCTTAAATTATGATTATCAACAAAATATTACACAAGCCTCAAGATTTCGATAGATGTCCAAACCTTTCTACCATCTATGGGCAAAATTTTGAGGTTTGCATAATATTTTTTGGCTAAAATATTGGGTTAACCATTTTTTAAAATAGAGCCATTTAACCACAGTACTTACTTTCATTATTCCACTTTCTATAATTATTGTAATTATAGGGTATTAATCTATAAAATAATAATTTTGGCAAAAACAAAATTTTATAGCATATATTTTTAAAATAATCAGATATCAGAGACCTGCAGGCCCGGCCCTAAGCCCGGCCCGGGTCGGGCCTAAAAATTTTTTTTTAAATATATCCGGGCCGGGCCTAAGATTGTTAAACCTGGGCCGGGCCGGGCCTTAATATTTTTTATAAAAATTTTTACATTATGAGTTAATGGTTATAAGATTATATTATATTATAGTTATGATTAATATAATATTGGGTAATGGTTAACACACCTAACACCCACAGATCGATCTAATTATTAATTTCCTGCAAATTTATTCAAAGTATTAATATATTTTTTTATAATTCATATCTAAATTTTTACAACATATTTTACCAAAACAATCAAATAAAGGAATACCTTAAATAAGCCCCAATATTCAAGTATTAATAATATATTTTTTATAATTCATATCTAAATTTTTAGAATATTTACCAAAACAATCAAATAAAGGAATATCATGGCACAAAATACTAATGATATAATTAATAAAATTAAAAATAATATTTATTCTTTTAGAAATACAAATAATAATTTAAAATCTGAAATATGGGCTAAATTTAACATCATCATAGATGAAAATAAAAAAACATTGGCTACGTACAATGTAAGAATTGTTCAAGTATATTATCTTATAATTATAAACATGGTACATCACATCTAAAAAAAACATAAATGTGATGGTAAATCCATGAAAATTAATAATTTTTTTACACCTGAAAAACCAACCTATAAATGTAATATAAAATATTTAAAAATTATAAAATAAATTATATTAATATTGTGCAATTAGATTATATTTTCAAAATACTATTTATTATACATGCATTTTTTTAAATAGTGATTTATTTTTATTTTATAAATTAAATAGTAAATTAAATACAATATATTATATTCTCAAAATATATTTTCTATTTTTATAAATTAAATATTAGTTTTATTTTTTTAAAATGCAATATAAAATATAGTATATGCTCAAAATATTATTACCATTTTTATGAATATTAGTTTTATTTTTATAAATGCAAAAAATATAGTATATGCTCAAAATATCCATTTTTATAAATAACAGTTTTATAATTTTTATAAATTCAATATAATATTCTCAAAATATTAGCTTTTTTCATGTATTTTTTAAATAATAAGCGATAATACTTGCTGAAAAATATGGTAAAATACCTCATAGGTGAATTTTTGTATATACCAGGTCAAATATAATTTTAAAAAATTCCGAGCCGGGCCTGAAATTTTTTTTAAAAAAATATCCGGGCCGGGTTAAATTTTTAAATCCGGGCCGGGCCGTAAAAATTTTTTTTTAAATTTATCCGGGCCGGGCCTTAAATCTTTAAATCCGGGCCAGGCCAGGCCGTAAAAAAATTTTTTAAAAAATATCCGGGCCAGGCCTAAAAAATTTAAATACGGGCCGGGCCATGCAAATGGTGCCTCTGCAGGTCTCTGATAGTTACAAATATGAATTTTGCCAAATTATTTATAATGTATTCATCCATCTTATATCATTTTTTTTTAAGTTACACATCCATAAGATAACTACGTGGTTATGACAAAAGTAAAGAAATAGTAAACATGTATATTAATAGTGAAGAAACTTTTGTTGATATATTAAACCTCTTAAAGTAAAGGTAATATTTTTATAATAGACACAATTTTCCAATTTTATTTATAATTTTAAAATATTTTACTATAATAACAATAGGTATATATCATATCCCAAAATAAATAGAGTTCACGACAATTTAATGGGTAATACAATACACGTGGTTTAATTAATATCATAAGAACCTAAAAAATAAAGTCTATAGTCTGAAAGTGCTGAGTAATATTCTGTAACCATTTCAAAAAACAGCGATAAATCACCCAAATATAATCTCAAATACTATCATAATAAACTTATTCCATATAAAGAAAGTACTTTATTAGTTTTATTGAAGGATGATGGCTGAGAATAAATTATAGTAATATCATCATCCTCAGGTAATGGACAAATCATTTTTGAACCGTCAGTTAACATATATTCGTATCCAAGATAAGATGGGGGTTTAATATTTCGTTTAGATCTCCTCTTCAGAGCTTCATCATCCATTAAATCTATATAATAGACCAATTGTGATTAGATGTATTTTTAAAAAAAAAATTGCAAATTTGGTGAATGAATGTTGAATTTTAATTATTTTACAAAAAAAAGGCTTACTAGACGTTACCTCATGATCAAAATAATAACTTCTTAAGACCCAGAGATTTCTATTTATATTTTGGAAACCATATCTAATCAAACACACGGAATAGTGCTGTAAGTATTTATATAAAAATCTAAAGCGTTAATTCATAGATAAAAATCGAACGCATTTACGTTTAAAGTTCGCATAAAAAAAGGAACGCGTTCATTAAATGAATACACTATTTATATTTATATTAATATAAATAAATACTATATATTTTATAACAATATACTAGCCATTAAAATTAATGGTTTATATTTTTATTTATTTTAAAAAAATTCTCATTAATTTTAAATATATAAAACTTTATTATATTGTATAAAATTTAATTATTTATAAAATGAATAAATTTATAATATTTTTTAATTGTATTCAAGATATTAACTCTTTTATATCTATGTATATTATATTTAATTCTTTTTACATTTTGTACATAGTTATAATTATTTAATAGGCCTATAAAATACAATAATCTAAAATAAACTATTAACAGGATACTTATAATTATATTGTATAAAATCATTATATAAAAGTATGATAATATTATTTTTCATCGTCATTGTTTGGTTGGTGGTGATATTTCCATTATTTGATTTGAATGTGCAACTTGAAGGTTATAAATAAAATTGGTTATCTTAAATAATGAATAAATTTATTTTTATAATGTTACATATTAAATTGATAACCTTACCTATTATTACTTTTATTTTTCGTAACCTTACTTTTTGTTTTTTTGTTTAATCATATATATTCTAATTTATATTTTTAGATAATATATATAAAGTATGTGTAAAAAGAGAAAAAGTAGATAATAATAATAATATATATTTTTACTTACTCGCACGTTTATCATGATTCTCTTCATGGTGCTCCATGTTTGGCAAAAAAAACTCGCCTTATGGAAATTTTTTTTAAAAATAAAATTTTTTTTTCTCTCTGTAAATATGAATAATAAAAAATCATAAAACGATACAAATAATTTCTATATAAAGAAGGAAAAAATAAGGTAAAATCATTTTGATATTATTTCCATCATGTTTGCTTTTAAACTCATCAACATTCCTTATGAAATTTCCATTTACGATATATTGTTCGATTTGACTTATAACTGTGATGTACACCACTCTAGAATACTGGGTACTGAGGATGTTTTGTTTGAGTTCGCGAACCTCAAAGATATAATAAATTGTTTTGAATCTTTGAATGGCAAATATTATGTGTATAATGTGTCAGAATTTATACAATTAAATTGTATGTTTGTCAAAATATAAAATGTTAAAATATAAAATGTTATAATTTCCAATACATATGATTTACTAATAAAACATGGAAATAAAACCAGAGTTTATACACAAAATTCCTAAATTAGTTGGACCCCTTACTGAGATTTACTTAGACAGAATATTAAGTTATTTTTCGACCAGCACATTATCGGACTCTATTAAAATAAATACTTTGCTTAATAATTTATCAGACGAGGTTTTTGACAATATTAAATCAATTTGTTCTGATACCGACATACTAGATCTTAAAATTGTGACTAAAAAGTTAACTTACCTTTTACCTGTGCAAGATAAAAACATTTTAATAAATGAATTTAACTTATTACAGCACTAGTGAGAATTTCATGCAATGGTACATAAGAGTATCCGAAACTACATAAAAAATGTAATTTTTCGGACGACAGTAGATTAAAAGAAAAACTACGTACATCTACCTTAAAATATAAATTTTGTAAAAATATTAATTTAACTTTAAATGAGATGGTTGAGTTAGGGATTAAGTTAGACAGCATCAGCGATAAGTCAGATGTTGATAATATAAATTATATGAATAACGATAAAAAGTCCGATAAAGATAAAAACTTTTACAATAAAAATAGAAACGACAACAATAATTATTTTAGACCTGATAATAATTTTAGAAATAATTATGATAATATAAATAGAAATGGGAATAATAATTTTAGATACAATGATAGGAATTACGGTAATAATAATTCGAGATACCACGATAATTATAACAACTATAACTACAATAACTATCGCTATAACAATAATAATCAATCTAATTATGGTAGAAATAATACATGGCATGATAATAATCAAAGAAAACAGATCCAATACGGTGATGGAAATCGTAACAATTACCAATCCTATTAAAACAATTCAAATAATTATAGAGGTAGTGACAATAATCAGAGAAAACAAATACAATACAACAATAACTCAAATAATTATAGAGGTAGCGACAACAATAATAGTAAGCAAATACAATACAACAATGATTATAATATGAATATTGAAGAAATTATTGAAGAGAAAGTTGACTCTACAAAGAACAAAGATGATAATGATTTCAATGTTAACAACTTATCTGGTGACATGCTCAATGACAAAGATAATGCATTTATGACTACTTTAAAAGTGAACGATATTGTTACATGTATGCAAGTTGATACAGGCTCCAAACATACTATTATACCTCATGGTCTGGCTAAAAAACTTGGTATTAGAGATGTTAAGAAATCCGAGCTACAACTTACCGCTTATGACGGTAATTTAATCAAGATCATCGGCACCACTCAAGTTAAAGTGACTTATGATGGTATCTCAAAATATTTACAAGCGCTAGTCGTTGAATCAAGTAAAAATGTCTTGTTGGGACGTACATGGATCAATGCTTTCAAAAATATTTTAAATAAATTTATAGCAAATGTTGACACTAATTACGAAGATGAAATAAAAAAATTGATTATAGAGTGTGAATCCAAATTGACTAATGGGCCAATCAACAAAGCAAGTGTCAAGTTACATTTAAGAAGAGATTCCCAACCTAAAATAATACCGTCTAGACGTATTCCTTATTCAAAAATTGATCTTGTTAGCAATGAACTTAAGAAATGGATACATGATAAAATTATTGAGCCGGTGAATGATGTCCGATGGGCAAGTCCTGTTACCGCTGTCTACAAAGATGATGGGAGCATTAGGCTTTGCGCTGATTTTAAGGACACTGTAAACCCAGCTCTAGAAGACTTTAGATACCCTCTATCACGAATTAATGATCTAATTGCTAAACTTTCGGAAGGAAAGAAATTTACGAAGATTGACTTTAAAAATGCTTTCTTACAGATACCAATTGATAAAAGTTGCAGAAATATTTTAACCATATCTACGCATAAGGGATATTACCAATTTACTAGACTTCCTTTTGGGCTTAAGACCTCATCTGTTTTTTTTTCAACAGATTATGGATCAAATCTTCGGTGACATGGATGACGTTATATTTTATATTGATGATTTACTTATAACTGGAAAAAACGATGAAGCCCACCTAAACAACATAAAAAAAGTGTTTGATAGAATATCATCGTTTGGGCTAATACCTAACTTTAATAAAAGTGTGTTCTTTAAAAACAAAGTGAGGTTCCTGGGTCATGATATTGACGCTAAGGGGATTCATGCTAATCACGACAAAATTGAAGCAATAATTAACATGCCAGAACCAAAATCAGCTGCTGAATTATCAACATTTCTGGGAATGGCTGGCTACTATAGAAAATTTTTGAACAATTTTGCAGATATTGCCGATCCTCTATATAAGATTGTCAACAAAGAAAAATGGGCTTGGAACCTTGAACACTCTAAAAGTTTTAATGATCTTAAGAAGTTGATTAGTCTTCCACCTGCTTTGACATATTTTAACTCTGAATTACCTATAGGGATAGCTACTGACGCATCGAAATGTGGTTTAGGAGCTGTACTATTTCATATTGAAAAAGATGGTAAAGAAAAACCTATAGCTTTCGCGTCGAGAACTTTATTAAAATCCGAAATGAATTATACCAATATTGAGCGTGAGGCTCTCGCCATTGTGTTCGCTATAAGAAGGTTCCAGGAATACTTAATCGGCACAAAATTTACAATTATTACTGACCATAAACCTCTAGTTCACATCTTTACCAAGGGTCTTACCAAGGGTCTTAAGGATAATAGCACCATGTCCTTAAGACTCCAGAAGTGGAATATTACATTAGGAGGATATGATTTTAATATAAAGTATAAAGCCGGTAAATATAATGTTGTTCCTGATTGTCTCTCGAGATTACCACAAGAATGTCATGATGAAACTATTGAAAATATCACTATAATAAATGAATATGGGGATTTACCTATTAATTTTAATCAAATTCGTGATGAAACTTTGAAAGATATGGAAATAAAACAAGTCATAAATGATATTAAAAACAACAGACCTATAATGAATAATATTTATAAAAACATTGAATTGGAATTAAGTATAATTAAGGATTGTCTTTACAAAAGCAACAGAATCATAATTCCGTCTTCTATGAGAAAAAATATACTACAGTCATTACATGAAGGTCACTTGGGGGCAGGAAAAATCAAATCCTTAGCCAAAGATTACATGTGGTGGCCTGGTATAAATAATGACATAGTTATGGAAGTGAAAAGTTGTGACGATTGTAACATATATTATGATAATCCTATAAAGATACAAAAACCATGGGTTTCGGCAACCAAACCGTTTGAAAGGATACACATAGATTATGTGGGTCCGTTTTTCACAAAAAATTGGTTGATAATAGTCGATGCCTACAGCAAATTTCCAATTATTATTCCTGTTAAAAATATTACGACTGATGTGACTTTAAAAGAAATCTTTAAAACTATTTCGCTATACGGAATACCTGAAACTATAGTTACTGATAATGGTACTAACTTTACGAGTAACGATTTTGAAAAATTTTGCAACAATTTTGGTATTAAACATGTGCTCACATCTGCTTATCACCAGCAATCCAATGGCCAGGTAGAACGTATGGTCAGAACGTTCAAAACACATATGAAAAGGAATATTAAAATTGACCTAGACATCGCGCTTGGCAAATTTTTATTTAATTACAGAAATACGCGTAATGATACTACAGGAGTTACACCACCTCAGAGAATGTTTAATCGAGATATTAGAATTAAATGGGACTTATTAAAACCGTTGGAGGAGAAGGAGAATAAAATAAACGTTACTTTACCACGTAATAGAACCTTTAACGTAGGAGATTTTGTTTGGTACAAAGTACAAGGTGATGATAAATGGTGCAAAGGTATGATCACACATAAAGAAAGTGACATGATGTTCCAAATTAAGACAGAGAAAGGTATTTTGAGGAGACATTTAGATCAAATAAGAATTGGAAACTGTTTTAACACAATTGTTAACTATGACTCTAAGGATTCTTTTAAGGAGGGAAGTGTGGACAAAAATATAAAAATTACTGTTAATAACGATATAACACCTATTTCTAGACCTGTGCGAATTAAACAAAAACCTGTGTATTTAAAAGACTACATAACTTAAAATATTAAATAAATAGTAAATTGCATAAAGTAAATTAAATATTAAAACGCTTATACTAAAACGCAAAAAAATTAAAACGCTGAAAATATTATATAACATTCTTATTGATTTATCATTCTTCGTTTATTTTTATATCCAACCAATATGATGAACTATTATTTCGTATTATTCGCAACTTACTGATGATATTAACAATTTTGAAAATGATAATAATAGCAACTGAGTACAACCAAGCAAGCTATATGACAAAGTCACGATTTATAAGGACAACTTACGATAAGGATATCAAGATTACGATTTAAACAAACCAACGTACAAACACAGTAAACGATTGGGACAAGCCAACGATATGATAACTTGTGAAACAACTTGATGACCAAAACGATAAACTACTTGGACAACAAACTCTCCAGGACTTCATAGATGAAATTATGGGAAGGCTTTTTAGAAGGAGGAGAATGTTACATATTCAAAATTGATAACCTTACCTATTATTACTTTTTATTTTTCGTAACCTTAGCTTTTGTTTTTTTGTTTAATCATATATATTCTAATTTATATTTTTAGATAATATATATATAGTATGTGTAAAAAGAGAAAAAGTAGATAATTTTTACTTCGCACGTTTATCATGATTCTCTTCATATAAAAAGGGAAGTTTCCAGGTATACCATATGATTATATCTTGCCAATTATTCACAAAATTGTTTAATGAAAAATAATGTCTCATTTAAAAAATTGTACTATTTATTAAACAAGAATTCATTCGAAAGAATGGTTAATAGGGATATAGACATTTTATTATTTATTTTCTATGATGTTAGAATTGAATTTAAACCTAATATAAGAACTATTTTTAAACTTATTTTTTGCTCTTATAATATGTGTTTCTGTTCGAAAACAACGGCAAACCTTCTATCAGGGATAATTCCGTTCCCATTTTTTTAGGGAAAAATTCTGATATAGTTCCGCTCAAATCAGAGACCTGGAATGGAACAACGTTTCAAAATTTGACAGGTATTAAAGATTGGTTGTTTTATTTTTAAAGAATGTACTACATTTTGTAAATTTCATTTTAGTCTATACCTAATATCTAAATACCTTTTAATTTAATAAAATAATTAATATTTTTAAGTCACTAATAAAATGTTTGTCATAATTATCTTTTATTCATTTATGATGTTATAAAATTAATATACCATATTTTCTGAAAGAAATTATTTTTTACAATGAACCTCCTAAAAATAAAAAAATAACTTTACATTTTTTTAAATATTTTTTTTGCTTTCTAATTTAATTTAATAAAAATATATCTAAATATAATCGCCTAAAATTTTGTTCCAATATTCTAGGAGAGCATTATCAAAAATTAGCAGATTTCAATTTAATACTAAAGCAATCTATCATAAAAAAATTATCTTGATTATGCCCAACATATAAAAAAGATAGAAAATGAAAATTATATTTAAAAAATTGCCAAAAAAACATATATGTAGAAATTCTAGTATATAAATTTTTTCCCCTTAAAATTATAAAAATTATTATTGAAGAGAAATATTATGTTAAATAATCTATACTAATTACTCCGCTTCAATAAAAAAAAACAAATACTTTAATTTTTTCCTGCAACATTATAATTTAGTTTATAAATTATACAGTAGCGTTAATATTCTTTTGTAAAAAATGAGCTTTTAGGGACATTATAATCTCATATTATTATTTTCTACGCATATAAAAACCTATGCAAATATGTTTTCGCATGCCAATTGAATAATATTAGGAGGTAGTAAGGGATGATACAATATTTATAAATGAAAAAACAGCCATTATAAATTAAAATAATCGTATTACAAACCTATCTCTTTTTAGGATAATTAAAGTTATTTGCTTCTATAATATTACCTAAATAATATTATCTAAACTTTTTCATAATTCGTATATTCTTCTGGTCTCTAATAACTATAGTTTGGTAATCGGCTTAACTTAGACAATTGTTTTTTGGCAATGGCTATTTCTGAGCCAATTCATTTTTGGCTATGGTTGAACTTAAGCTGATTTTTATTGGTGTAAATTTAATAATAATTTAATTTAGAAGGGTGATAATTGTCATATTCGTCATTTTATAACTTTTCCAATGTTTTTTTTAAATGAAAATAGGTATTGGTAAATATTTTAAATTTGTTTTAGTGGGAATTCTATAATAATGCAATTCAGAAAACAATTGTCATATTCGCCATTTTCAAACAATATTTTTTTTAATGAAAATAGGTACAAAAATATCTTATATATTTTTTAGTATAAACCTAATATAACATAGGCGTAGCCAGGGGGGGGACAAGGGGAAATTCCCCACCCCCCTTCAGAAATTTATCACTTTTTGTAAATATCATTTATAGCTAATAAAAAATATCTCCCTTAGTCCTCTCCCCACTCCCTGACCCTCATATATGTATGCATATATCTTAAATAATAATTTAAAAGAAAGAATGTAAAAGTTGATATTTTTTTATAAAACTATTCATCATAATTTATAGATTTTTGAGAAAATAAATTTATAAATATATAAAATGAACCAAAAATGTTTTTTAATAAATGGAATATAGGCCAAGGATAAGTCTTAAGACAGAAGTGAAATGTATTATAATTATTAATAATAGATCTATAAAATTACTAAATAATATAATATATCAAATATAATTTTTTATAAAGTGAGTAATTTCAATTTATTTATCTCAATAAAAGTAAAATATAATTATAAAACTATTGATAAAATTAAATCATAAATTAAAAAAATATTAAAGCACAATATAAACAGTGGAATATTATATGTCGTCGATTTACAATATATCTAATTATCAAATGACAATCAAGTATTTTTACCAATATAGCGAATTATATATTTTACAGAAAACTATAAAATATTGATAAGGACATCAGAAAATATCTTTTAAAGACATTGTGGGATGAATAATATGAAGATTAAATTTATATATACTTAAATAAAATAGATGGCGTTAAATAATTGTATGCATATTGTTGCTATATTTAATATTAAGAGCATTGATTAGTAAATTTTGTCAGATTATTAACTGTAATATATTCTGTAACTGTCAAATATGTCTGTAAAATTGGAATTTTACCTAGTATTTTATAACTAATTCTATATAATAGGTTAAAATCAACTATATGTCTACTTACTTATTATAAATAAATTTCTTATAATTGTTTGGAATAAATTATTACCATGCTTTTATATTAAGGTTTATACAATACAAGTAATTTATTATATTTTATTTTATATAAACTGATAAAAATATATTTCATATTTGTTCCAGGCTTATTTTATAATTAATTATTAATATGAATATATTCAAAAAATATATAAATCTATTCTCTTTATTAAACAAATGAAGAGATAAGGATAACTTTAAGGTATAAAGACTAAACCACCAGCTGTCCATGATTAAATCTTAGATAAGTTTTGTTTTGTATATCAAGAATCTTTCAATATAAAGTAACCTTTAAACATAATCATACATAACAATAATATGAACCATGGTGATATGTCCCACATGCCTTAAGAATGTTTCCTTAACAAAAGGAAATAAAATTATATGTCATGGTAAACGAGCTAACAGATGCCCTTCATCAGGTACTTTCTTTAACAACAATGAATCTGTTATGCTTCCTTCTTCTTATCCTGCTCTTATTAATAATATTAATTTTAACCTATACCTACAACTTCAAGCTCCAACAATACCTTCAACATAGAAACAATCCCTTTAACTATATCTTCATGCCCAGATAATAACATTAATTCAACCTTTATTGCTGTGGCACAAGAATGGGTGGAAAAATTTATGAAAGAGTCTCCCCCCCCCCACAATAGCTCGTAAAAGGTGCCAGAATTATATTTTCACAATTTTTTTAAAGCTATTTTAACCACCCTAAATAAAAATATTGAAAGCTTAGATAATTGGATGAAATTATTATCATTTATATATTTAAATCTACATCTTCCAACATCAAAATCAAACTTAACACAAAGCATAAAAAAACACTAAATTCAAATGATATTAGTTATTTTTATATTTCCAAACAACCTCCACATTCTTTCAATAAGCTTTTGGCAGATAAAAAAAGGCCAAGTTTATTGAAAATAAAATAAACCTATGCAATGTAAATTCAGCTATCATCATAGCCTGTTCAAGTGATACTATGGCCCCCAATAATGATATAACTCTCATGCATGCAATCTAAACATCCTCAAGATTTTTCACAAATCATCCTTCCACTATCTAATAATCCTATTCCACTATCCGAAATGGAAATATTGGAAGTAATAAAGACATTCAAAAAAGATTCTTCAGGAGTCATCGATGGCTTTCGAGCCATTTATCTCCAAGATATAATTAAACCAACTATACCCCTATATCAAAACATACTTACACAATTCACCATATTGCTTAATCATATCTTTCATAATAATATACCTAATCTCATTCAGCCCATCATTTTTGGAGCCCGCTTAATATCCTTAAATAAAACCAATGGGGACATCAGGCCTATTGCAATAGGGTCACTCTTCCAGCGAATCATTTCCAAAATAATTTGCTCCCGTATAAAATCTAACCATCCAATCTACTACAACCAAACCAGTTTGGTTTTAATGTTGCTGGAGGATGTGAGGCTGCATCCCACTCGACACGTGTCATTCTCCATAATACACATGATCAATGCATTCTCAAAATCGACCTACATATAGAAGGGAACATTTTATACCCTCCTTTTGTGAAACTTTCCCAGATTATACAACATACATCGCTGCATGTTACAACCTACCCACCTTTTTAAAATTTAATGATTCTATTATTAATTATACATAATGACAATAATATTACCCCTCTGCCAGATCCAATAATTCCAACTTCACCCATATGCCATCTAGGATATAAATGGTTAGAAACTGTACCTAGTTCTAATCTAGGCTTGTTATTAACGAAGAACTCAGAATAGGCATAGGCCTTCGCTTAGGATGTGAAATCGTAATACCTACATCATGCGTCCTATGTGAAACCCACATCGATAGTCTTGGACACCACCCCCTTCACTGTCGTTTCTCAAAAGGCAGATTACCCAGACACCATGTCCGGTAGTTTCAGATACTGTGGATCATTTGGACCCCAAGCCCTAAAATTATTCAAAACAATAGGGCAAAGGTTACGCTTAATCACAGATGACCCAAAAGAAGGCTCCTACCTTCGACAGAGAATATCAATTGAAATATGCCGTTCTAACTGCATATCCATACATGGGTCTATAAGCCCCGTTGATCATACCTAATTAAATGTTTAATTATTATTTTATTTAATATAGTTTTTATATAAATTTTATGAGCATTATTTTAGTTAAAAAAAATGAAATTAATTAATTAAAAAATATATAACTTGAATAACCTTTCACAATTCAATAAAAAATAAATTAAGTAATATTTAACAAAAAAAATTATAATTTGAATAATTTTATCTTTAACAATTATCAATAGGTAAAAATTGTCATAATAGTCATTTCATTAGTATATTTTTTTAGAGTAAACTCAATATGAATAAATTAACAAGGATGACAATTGTCATATTCGTCATTTTAAAAAATAAAAAAATGTTAAAAAAATGAATATTTTAAAATCTGTTTGGAAATTCACAATATAATTTTCATAATTTTAGGAACTTTCCAATTTTTAAAATAAAAAAATAGAGAATAATCAATATTTTAGATCGGTTTTTTTAGTTGAAAATTCAATAATGTAATTCAGAAGGATGTTAACTTATTCTCTATCTTATTAAATCTATAAATTTTTATTTGAAGTGGAGAGCAAAACATTAAATATTTTTTTTTTTTAAATAATTTTTATTTCATATATATATATATATAGATATATATATTAATAAATGTAAATTGTTTAAAATACAACCCCAAATCACTATTTCATGTCCATAAATTTATATCCATATGATACACAATAATAAAAAAATATATTACAAAGCAAAGGTTAATAATTGTAAATATTAAACTCACGTGATACAAAACAAAGATTAATAAATGTTATCTCATATCTTCTCGAAACATATTGAAAAATGTCCATATCTGTCAATTTCAAATTGACAGACACAATCTAAAATTATTCCATCGCAATCCCAAAATAATAAATTTATTTGAAAATATGGATCTAAAATTACGACTTTTTTTTCCAGTATTCAGAAGAATATACTGTTTAAAAATTAATTTATGAAAGTTTTATTTTATTTTTTTGTTAGGATGATTGAAGATATTCTTAATATTTTAAATCCATTATTCATTTATTTTTTTTAAAAAAATGAAAAATATTTTTGTTAAAATAAATGAATGAAGATATATCATAATAAGTGTTGCGTAATAGGATAATTTTAGCCGAGCACAAAATGGCTAAGCCGAGATTTTTAGTGTTGCATAATCGGATAATTTTAGCTGAGCACAAAATGGCTAAGCCGAGGTTTTTAGTGTTGCATAATCGGATAATTTTAGCCGAGCACAAAATGGCTAAGCCGAGATTTTTAGTGTTGCATAATCGGATAATTTTAGCTGAGCACAAAATGGCTAAGCCGAGGTTTTTAGTGTTGCATAATCGGATAATTTTAGCCGAGCACAAAATGGCTAAGCCGAGATTTTTAGTGTTGCATAATCGGATAATTTTAGCTGAGCACAAAACGGCTAAGACGAGATTTTTAGATTGGATATTATAGTCGAGCACAAAACGGCTAAGCCGAGATTTTTGTGTTGCATAATCGGATAATTTTAGCTGAGCACAAAACGGCTAAGACGAGATTTTTAGATTGGATATTATAGTCGAGCACAAAACGGCTAAGCCGAGATTTTTGTGTTGCATAATCGGATAATTTTAGCTGAGCACAAAACGGCTAAGACGAGATTTTTAGATTGGATATTATAGTCGAGCACAAAACGGCTAAGCCGAGATTTTTGTGTTGCATAATCGGATAATTTTAGCTGAGCACAAAACGGCTAAGACGAGATTTTTAGATTGGATATTATAGTCGCGCACAAAACGGCTAAGCCGAGGTTTTTAGTGTTGCCTAATCGGATAATTTTTGCCGAGCACCAAACGTCTAAGCCTTGATTTTTAGTGTTGCTTAATCGGATAATTTTAGCCGAGCACAAAACGGCTAAGCCGATTAGGTTTAACCGATTTTATAGGGCTTAAGCGTAGTTTCTAGCCGATTACCCAACATTAAATGTTCCTGTATTTATAAAAAAAACAAATTAGGTATGCTAAAGAAAAATTATCTTTTTATATCTAATTATATTTCATTTTAGGTTATTCGAAAATTAAGAAATATCAGCTGGAGAAGAATATTATTTAAGTATTTAATGAAATTAAAGAATTATTTATCTCCGATAATTCAAAGGGATAATCAATAAAATATGGAGGATATTTTTTTTCTTTGTGCATTAAATAGTATCTATAACAGCATAAATGATATACAAGCAATATCAGATGGTGTAGTAAATGAAGCAGCTTTTAAAAAAAATAGCAGCCAAAATAAAGGGTTATTTAAAAGATAAAGATGGCCTAACCTCCAATACTAGCTGCGAAGCCGCTAATAGAGTTAAACCTTCTCGGTAGGTAGAGTTAGGGTGTCAATTTCTACGTGTATTTTTTCATCTGTTTTGTCATATAATAAATAATCATCCTAATATTGGCAAAACAGTTATCTTCCTTTCCTAATATATAAAAATTTATTAATTATTTCTATCACATGTCCCCATGAGCAAAATGAAACTAATTGAAACAAGACTCAGGCACTGTGAAAGATTTATTTAATAATTATACCCAATTCCAAATTAGTAACATCTCTTAAGATATAAATGCTTTTAAAGATTTTGTCTTGATGGTAATTTTCACACGAATATTATGCTTTTGTGGCAGTTGTGGGGAAATTTTTATCCTTATGAATTTCATTATCATTGAATTTTCACTAGGAAGATTTAATATATTCATTTATACCTGATTTCATTAAAAAACATTGAAAGGGTTTTAAGATGACCAATGACAATTGTCACTATTCTGAATTATATCATTATTAAATTTACATTAAAATAGAGCATTTGTAGCCAGTCAAAATAGCTCAACTTTAACCATTAAAATATGTTAAGCTAGGCCAATCAAAATAGCTTTAAGCTTAGCCTTAGCCAATCAAAAATTGACTTAAACTTAACCTTAGCCAATTAAAATTGGCGTAAGCTTAGCTTTAGCAAATTAAAATCTTCTTAAACTTAGCCTTAGCTAATTAAAATTGGCTTAAAATCAGTCTTAGACAATTGTAATAGGCCTAAGCTAATTCTTAGCAAAAAAAAAATCGGCTCAGGATTAACCTTAGCCAAAATAAATCGGCTTAAGCTTAGCTAGCTAATTGAAACCGACTTAAGCTCCGCTTTAGCGAAGAATATCCAGCCTTTAGCCAATTAAAATAGTCTTAAGCCTAACCTTAGCCAATTGAAATAGGTCCAGGTTTAGCCTTAACAAAAATTAATCGGCTATCCTTAGCCAAAATAAATTATTGCCCAACTATACTAATGACTAACAGTAGGCGTTGAAAGGTGGATACTCCTTTTTATACGCTAAAATCTTTGCTGAATTATATATTTATAGAGTTAGGGTTCAAAGTATTATCCAAATATGGCACATTTACTCATTGTTAAGTAGAGTTATACTAGAATCATACGAATCATTTAAAAGGCGCATAGATATAATGATTTCAAATTGGTTCTTTAGAAAGGTTCCTTTGTAATTTACATTTATTAAAAAGTCGTGTTGAATAGAAATCATCAATAAAAATCTTTGCTGAATTATATATTTATAGAGTTAGGGTTCAATCAAGCACATTTACTCATGTTAAGTAGAGTTATATTAGGATAATACGAATCGTTTAAAAGACGCATAGATATAATGATTTCAAATTGGTTATTTAGCTACAAACAAAATTTTATTTATTTTTATGAGGAATGAAACATTAATTTATAATCTCGCTTATAATTCTACTTTCCTCATAATAAAATCAAGACGATTTGAACAAAATTAAACATTGTAATTACTTCCAAAAAATATAATCGAGTAAATATATAGAAATGCAATCCGATTATAAAGAAGAGAACACGATTACTAATGCTAATATCGCTTGTGAGAAAGAAAAAATGCAATTGAATGGCCTATGAAATTTCCAAAATTGTAATTAGAAATGGTAATAAGGGGGGGGGGGGTTGAGGATGGTATGATATCAATCGCATTGTAAATATCAATGCACAAATGAGAAAATATCCATTACAAATATTAATATTGCTGAAATCGGGTGAAAAATTTAAATTTTAAACTGTTTTTATAAAGAGAAAATAATTTAACATCGCTTCAAGTGAGTTGGATCAAAAACTTTTACAAAATTTAAACCACAAAAACTGAACTAATAGAGAAATTTAATTTTTTTTTTAAAATTAATTTGTATAAATTCAAATTCGGTATATTTCTAGAAAATTCGTACAGTTCTAAAATAATTTGAAAAATATTTATAATTACATCTGATATCTATTTTAATATTAGATGTTGTTTTTACATTTATTTATAATAAAAAAAATAGATTTTTTCGTTTTCGGCTTTGAACTAAAATAAAATGGAAGGAAATTTAACTGAACGATAAGACATTTATTATCATAACTTTAAATGACATTTGGAGTTAATCTCCTGATCGTATCTGCGATCTTATCGCTTCTAGTGCATCTAAGAAACTGCGCCGAGATCTTGAGCATAAATAATGTGGGATCTAACGACTTAAGTAAGCCAACCAATAATATTATATTATATATAAAATAAATTCAATAATATATTATATTTTTTAATACCGGGGGTGAGGGGGGGGGCATAGTTCAATAGTAAACGCGATAATTGCCGCGATCTCGTTCACATGCGTAATTTATAAAAATGCGTTATTATTAAATTATACAGCAATGCTATCATTTAATTACGAAACGCGTATCGCATGGGCGATATCGCTTACGTATATACTATAAACCTAGCCCTAAGCAACGACATTTTATTTATACACATTTTTTTTTACCCTTTTAATTTAGTTCGATTGAAATTGCGAAAGATCAGGGATGGTCCTTTAGTGTGCGTTCTAGAGGCGGAGGAGCCAGTGCGATGCCACGATTGCCCTTACGCCATTTACGAGAGAAATTTCCAAGGGTGCATATTGGGATGTCATTGCGGTTTATTAATATATATATATGAATTACCTTACGCTATTTGTGAGAGAAATTTCCGTGGGGGGTAAATTGGGACGTCATTGGGGTTTATTAATATATTACATTAGCGTCAATGTGTTTATTCCTACAACCTTAAATCGTTTTTGGAGCGCGTTTTTCAAAAATTTAAAAAAATCTGGGTCTTTACCGGAAAGATATTCTGTCATGGTTGGGAAGAATAACCTATCTTATGAATTGTAGACAATTTTGCTGTGAACCTTTTGAGTCATTTATGATATACGTAACTTAAAAATATATATTAAAAATATCATGTAAACTATTTGTAAATTAAAATCTATATAAAAAGCTGTATAATAATAATAAAAAAAAATTAGTATAGTAAATTGTATGTTGGGCGGGAGGAGGTCAAGAAAGAGAGCCGTGGATGGCAATGTAGTTAGATCTGCATATATCAATAGATATGCGCTGTCTGAGATAGAAGCCTTCCCGTGGGTCACCAGTGATGGCGCGAATTTTTTTTACCAAGGGATTTGAACAAGGTTAGGGCATGATTGCCAAAAAAACCGGTTGTGTCGGACACGATTGGTATGAGATTGCAATTGGTTAGGGAAGTGTATTTATTAATTTTAGAGTTTCCAGATGGCATGAATGAGTTGTAAATGTTGGTGGAAAAGATTTTCTGAAATTCATAGGGCAGGTTATTCCAAAACATGACGACATACACTTCCGGTAAAATCAGATTTTTAAAATTTTTTAAAAATGTGCTCAAAAAATGATACACATCTAACACATATATATATATGAAAGGAAAGGAAAGGAAAGGAAAGGAAAGGAAAGGAGAGGAAAGGAAAGGAAAGGTATATATATATATATATAAATAATTTAAAGGAATAATTCAAAAAATATTCTAATTTAATATTATTTTTATTTTAAATCGATCAATTATGATGATGGAAATAAACATTATATTTGATTGAAAGAAAAATTATATATTTTTATTTAAAAAAATTTTTTTTTAAAGTGGACCAACCGCCGGAATGCAAAGAGCGAGGTTGCCCGACGTGCAACGATCATCGCCTCATTTATACCCGAAACGAGATGGGTTGTCTGGTCTGCACTTGCTCTGGGGCGAATCTTCAACCACCCGAAGATGGGCCATATAGCCCCATCGGGCCAGGGATACCCGACGGAAATGTGCCTTCTTATCTCGGCGAAGATTACTACAGATTACCGAACGCTCCTAGCGAGGTTAGCCATTATGGGTTCGGTGGTCACGGGCATATCAAAGTGTTTTTTTTCTTCTTTTTTTTTTTTAAAAAATATTCGGGCAGAAATTTATACTATGTATACTTTTTTTGTTCTGGTTCTCAGTTTTAACCCTAGAATAAGCTTTTTATTTGGGAAACATAACATCTGAGTCGAGGAAGCTATTGGGATTTACTTGCGATCATGTTAGGGAGGAAGAGGGAGAAAGGTCAGATCGGAAATAGTTCTTTAGATATATATAATTCTAATTATTGGGAAACAATCCATTTTGAATTGTCCACGTTATTTGCGAACAAAAATTTACTTTAGATTTGGGAAACATAACATCTGAGTCGAGGAAGCTATTGGGATTTACTGCTGATCATGTTAGGGAGGAAGAGGGAGAAAGGTCAGATCGGCAATAGTTCTTTAGATATATATAATTATAATTATCGGGAAACAATCCATTTTGAATTGTCCACGTTATTCGCGTATATAAATTTACTTATAAGAATCGATTTTTACTTGCCAGATGGTTTATTTGTGTAATAAAACGTATATATTTTGGTTTTAGAATATATTGGCGCTTGCAATTTCATATCCAATTTTCGTATATCGCTTAAAAATACATTTTTTTTAACAAAGAAAGAAAGAAAGAAAGAAGAAAGAAAGAAAGAAAGAAAGAAAGAAAGAAAGAAAGAAAGAAAGAAAGAAAGAAAGAAAGAAAGAAAGAAAGAAAGAAAGAAAAGCTAATGGGATAGTTGAAAGCTTTGTCCCAACGAGTATAGGATGCATAATCCTCATATTAAAAAATACATAATATTTTCCAATAATGATAAAAGAATTCCCTTAATGCAAAGAGAGATCTGAAATCGGAGGTAGACCCGAAATATATTTTATCAATTATATTCAGAATTCGAAGTTTTTTATACAAGTCGATGATAAAACACTTTCTTTTAATAAAATTAATTCAATATTTTTTTAAAAAAAAGATTTAAAACTCTTCTCTTCTCTTCTCTTCTCTTCTCTTCTCTTCCTCTCTCTCTTCTCTTCTCTTCTCTTCTCTTCTCTTCTCTTCTCTCTCTTCTCTTCTCTTCTCTTCTCTTCTCTTCTCTTCTCTTCTCTTCTCTTCTCTTCTCTTCTCTTCTCTTCTCTTCTCTTCTCTTTCATTTTTTTAACCCCCTTTTCTTGACAAAAGAATAACGAAATCATGGTCAGTTTTGCCTAGTTCTTCTCTCCCATATTCACTTTGGGGATATGTCCCATCGAATTTAATGGACAAAGTTTATACAATACTTCTTTTAAAAGCATGAGAAGGTTTAAAAAAAAAATAATATTTAATAATTTTTATCTTAAAAGAAATATTAAATATATAATTTGCGAAATATAATTTTATTTATTTAAAATAATTATGTTTTGAATTATTGTATATAATAAATTGTCGTAATACTTATTTATATTTTATGATTACCGACCATTTTTGATAGATTAAGCTCAATGACGTATAATGACCATACATTCATAATAATGCATTTGAAAGCCTCGTTGAATGCAAATCAGCTGGACCCGCCATTTTTGTAACCCATATAGCAAATATTCTCATGTTTAAAAAAACTACTATCAAATTCATAACCTACTTTCCTTATCGTTTCAATGATGAGGCGATTCTTTAATAAAATTTGCGTCAAGACATGGGAATAAATTGGGGCCCTCCTCGTTAAAAATTTTTAAATAATGATATACGGGTAATCAAAATGGCGCCCACAGCTGTTTTTCATTAATGCGCATTAGTGATCTGCATCGGGTCCGATTTTTCAAGTCCGGCCCGGCCCGAAATTTTAAGTTTTGCCGGCCTGGCCCGAATTATAGAAATTAATTTAAAAGACACGTGTGTTATATGTCGTTTAATTTCGGTAAAGAAATTCATATTTTTATTGTACAATTCAATATAAAATTGATGACCAAACCCAGCCTGATTTTTTAAAAAAAAATATTAGACCCGACCCGGCCCGATACCGGCCCGAAACCCGTTCGGGCCGGGTCGGACTCGGACTGAGGTACGGGCCGGCCCTAACTTCGCAGACCTCTAATGTACACTATTAATGAATGCATCGTCGGTCTAAAAGGTATTATTATTATATGTCGTTGATTAGGTATAACTTTCGTGGTTTATTATCATATTTTCTATTACCCAAAGTAATGGCATAAATATATTTTACTTGTGTTAACGAATAGGAAATCATTTATGGCCAAAAAATATTGTAAAGAAAGAAAGAAAGAAAGAAAGAAAGAACAATGCTAAATATATAATTAATGATAACAGATTTTGTACAAAGTAACTTTGATGGGTGAAAAAAAGGGTATATAAAAGATTATAGAAATTCCAAAAGATGATTCCTATAAAACGTGTTAAATATTCGTTTTATTTTTAAAATATAGATTGTGAAAATAAATCGTAGTGTGGCATAAAAGATTCAACGATTTTTAATTTTTATTGGCTTGATTCCCACTTGGCTCTTCCCATTCCACTTCTCACTTTTAAATCTTATTCGGGATCAATTATTCAATTCCCAAAAATTTTAAACTTTTTAAATCTCGTATTAAGATGAAATGGAGGCGAATTAAGTTTAGGTTATTAAATAAAATTGACTTTTACGCGCGGGTGAAAATATTACACAGGTTCACCAACCCGATAAAATATCTATATCTACGGCCGACATTGATGAAGGAATAAGCCCAGGCAACCCAGATGATTATCCACCGATAGAGGATCCTGGTTTGGGTTACGATAACTCTCAAATTGTTCCGCCGGATGAGGAAGAGACTCCTGACATTCGAGACGGAGAAGATGACACTATTGATAAAGAAGGTATAGCATTCTATGCCTTTGGGATTCGCGATATTATTAAGGCTACTATTTAGAAAAGAGGGTATATTAAAGGAGTCGTATTATAATTATAACTATTATATTCATACAGTTTAATATTCATTATCATTACCCATTTAATTAACTTGCCGTTTTTTTTAAATTGTATTTTGATATGCCTTTGATTAAAATTTGATATGCTTTTAATTACATTTTGCTATGAGTTTAATCATATTTTGCCATGTTTTTGGGGCTAATTAAATTTGCAATTTGTTAATTTACAAATCCTCGCAGATTATCGATCTAAAAATTTGACAATTTTTGGGGAAATGTTTTGTTTATTTCTACTTATTATTTAAATCAGATCCTTTGGTATTCCGGAACCTGGGGACAGAATATATTTTCTAGATTGTTCCTAAAAATGTTAAAAAGTGGTTTCTGATTCCAGTTCTTTATTGTCATACGGTTCCAGAGGTCCGCAATGGGGGGTGGGGGGAGGGGTTAAAAATATTTAAACATCGAGCTAGCAGGTGAGTTAAACAATAGGTCGGGCCGAAATAAGCTGAACAGAAAAGCCAATGCGATCAATCATATAATTTTCTAAGCATTAGAGTGGGCGGTCGGGTTACAACATATGTTTTTGATAAATAGGCAGGAGAGATGGTGGGAGACAACTAAGAAAAATTATGGGCGGGCTGGTCAGGAGATTAAATTTTTTAAGCAATTAACTGACTGGTGTCTTGGAGTAAAAAAACCTGTCAATTGCAAACCTCTACTTGCAGGTTCTGTTTCCGGTTTCAAATAAAAACCCCTCTAAAATGAATTGCGCAGTATTTTTAAAAACAACTTTACTATATAATATTACTTGCACTTCCGATTCCAGAAACATTCCCAAGAATTAATATGCTCAAATAAGAGGGGTCAGGTTTTGATTCCCAGATAAAGTCTCCTGGGTTCAGAGGATATTAGGTTTGGGTTTTCAACCTCTGAATTTTTGTTATTTTAGGCTGTGTGTCCTAAATCCGGCTTGAAAAGTTATAGAAATAAAAAAATACTTCCAGAAGTTTTTTTAACATTTTCTAGAATTATGTTTAAGGGACATGTTTTTCATTTTTATAATTAAAAATAGATTATTTCCTTCTTTCTTTTTTTTCGTTAAATTTTCGTAATTTTATTTTTGATATTTAGGACACAACCTTAAAAAAAATATGTGTTAATTATTTTTCAGATAATGTTCAAGGTCTGGGCGGAAACAAGGTTGCTAAACTTGATATAACCGGACGTTTGGCGGACAATACATTCGGGAAAAGGGAAAGAAAGATAGCTCAAAATATAGGATCGATCGGGAAGAATTTAAGGGAATACGGAAGATTGAACGGGAAACGGCGTTTAACGGAAAAAAATAGGAACAGTAATTTCAAAAAACGTCGAATGTCTCCAAGGAGGATATATAAATTTAAATATTGAAAGCAAGAAAGAAAGAAAAAAAATGTTCTCTTACTATAGTATAATATCGTATTAATAGTTTTAAATTTACCGCGTTACGAAATTTTCTATGATTTTAAACAATGTTTGCGTGAACATCTAGTGGATCGATTTATGATTTATACGGCGTTTCATCTGATCGATATTTTTCATGAATTTTTTAATCGTTTAGCCGCATAAAAATAAAAAAAAATAACTTTTTGAAATTGGCTACTTTTTTTTTTATGAATATGGAACTAATTTCTTTCGAAGAAGTTAGCGTTTGTTAAACAGCTCAAAGAATGGTACCTAGACTGAGTTGTAGAATGCAAATCAGCTGGATCCGCCATTTTGGTAACCCATATAGTAATTATTCTCGGGTTAAAAACTAACTATCAAATTGAAAACTCGCTTCCTTATTATTTCGACCATCGGGCGTTTCTTTGATAAAGTTTGCGCGAAGACATGGGAATAAATTGGCGCCACTCGTTTAAAATTTTTAAGTAACGATACGGGTAATCAAAATGGCGTCCCCAGCTGTTTTATTTATTGATGCGCGGTTTTAATGAAGGCATCGTCGGTCTAGGTGTTATTTATATGTCATTGGTCAAAAATATTGTATCGTGCCATACGTGTCAGAATCTTTATACCATCCGTGAGCAAAATCTTCAGGTTGGCATAATATTATTCGAAAATCTACCCAAATCGGGTTTTTTAACAACATTATCCACAACACTTTGCATTTTTAAACGAATTCCCGTTTTATTTTTCAACGCTTCATTTTACCGATCTCCCTCTCACGGGGGATTCCATCCATCCATTTTCATGACTAATATCTATCGCTAATGCCGTAGTTAATAATAGTGTAGTTAAATTACCTAACTTTAGCCAAATATAAAACAGCTATCCAAAAATATTCGAATAAATCTTCAAGTTTTGAGACTACTCAAGTTAGAGGCTTAATTCAATTTTTTTAGGCTAAAAGCTTGACTGAAACCACAATAGAGATGGTCAAAGTTAGTTTAACAATACTATCTTTTACATTTATTAATTTGTTGTTGAAAAAACTACTTAAAGTGTAGCTACCTCTATATATATCTTAAGAGTTTGGTTAAAGAGAACGGACAACATACTAAAAGGTTAAGTTGTTTGTTGCACGATATACGCTTAAAAGGTCATTAATTTAATATTATAAAAGTGTTGGAAAATATTACGTATAAAAAGAATTTGCAGAATATTACACTTCAGTGTGAAATGATACACATTTCATGGAGTTATAAAATGTTTGATTCTTAAAAGATAAGTATTTCATAGCTTGGTTGCCTCTTCAATAGTTTTAATTAAAGGATGATAGTAGGATCAGGGAAACGTAGAAAGGGGTCCTTAGGTAATAAAATTTGGAGATGTCCAAAAAATGGGATGAGGATTGATATTTTATAACACCTTCAGTTGAATCAACATTAATATCGCGTCTCGATAATCGCCTAGGTGCCAGGGCTTCAATTAATGCTGTATCATATAAGATTTATGCTTTCGATTCCACGTCTAGATGAATGTAAGATGAAAATATTCATCGACATTCATTCCTTAGCGTATTTTAATTCTCTTCGCATATATTTTCCGCCAAAATCAAATTAAATCACCTGAACCAAATTTAAATTTGTTGGTTTCTCGTAGATTTCTACAAAGTAAGTAAGTGAGCTATAGGAAAATAATTTATTAATGCTACTAGCAGCAAAATATGAATTCTGATTGATCTATTGAATTTGATAATAATAATTTCGCATCTGATCTATTTTAGTAAATTCGTGTAAAGATATTCTGATCAATCTCTTCCAGTTCTATAGGTGCCGAAACTGAAGCATGATGTAAAACCCATCAATGTTGAAAAGATAGGAAATTAATAATGGTTTTTCTAAATATAATTTATCTTCTTTTATTACTTTTTTAATTTTGTTGTATTTATATATTTTTACAAAACTAAAATTAGAATATAAAATCAAAAGGTTAAGTTATAAAACGAAAAGCAAAACTATAAATAAAAGTATAATTTGTACAATTTGAATAAGTCGGAATTAATTTAATGAATGCGTGTTATATAAAATTTTAACATATATTACTATTTAATAACCAAATGTATAATATTTTAATATATTAATTCCTATTATATAACAGTTGTAGAGCACATTTTATTTGAAAAATTTCTGATGATGGCTTTTCTGGTTCGTTTATTAATTTAGTTCGATTTTAAACATCTGACCGCTTATGGATATTTGAAATAAAAATCAATAATTTGGGATATAAATATAATGGTCAATGTGATAGTTGGTTATTAAGTGCCTAGAAATAAAATAGAAGTCAAATTAAACCATAATATAAATTCTAATCCCCTTATTAAACTCTATTGATTATAAATTAACATAAAAGGAAAAAGTAACAAAAAATAAAATAGAAAAAGATTAAAAAATAAGAAATTTATATGGGAAAAATAAAAAAGTGAATAAATCCAATTGTTAAAACTCTTAAAGTATAAAAAATCTACAATTATCACGCGTTTTCATCTCAATTGCATAGTCTAAGACTTAAATAATAAAGGCAATAATTTTAATAGAACATTATTTTTGTTTGAATATTATCACACTTTGAATAATATATGAATATTTACAACATTTAAAAATATATCTAAGGCATCGTATTGTAGAGTTAAAAATTTAGATAACAAATGCCTAATCCCCGATTTTCATATTATGTCACCTACCTTTCATTACCTGTTTGTCATTTAATTAGAACATATGTTCAATTATTTTTCATACTCAGTTCTTATTAAACTTTTGTATATTTAAATATATACAAAAATTATAGTAAAATTAAAAATATTATATAAATAAAATACTTATTAATTCCTAACTGGCTAACAATTTTGAAATTTGATCAAAATAATTACAATAGATATAACTTTTTAGAAATCCATCCAAATCACAAAATAAATCACCTTTTTATTTCTATCTACTTTCATTAAAAAAATTTATCCATTATTATTAAATATTTTTGAATAATGTTAATGTACACTATTTATAGTTTGTTTTTTTATATCACTAGGAAAGGAAATTTTAATTTTTATATTGCGAAATTGATATTTAAATAATTTTACAATTTTAACTGAAGGGGGAGGGGGGAGAGGGATATAGGACAAAAGCTTCGTGTAATCACATCTGGTGACCCGATTTGGGTCATTCTCGATGAGGATTTTAGCTAAAATAATATTGTGCTAGCCTTAAGATTGGGCGAATAGAAGCCCGAACCTTTCTGCCATCTACGAACAAAATCAGCTGGCTCGCACAATATAGGGCTTTTTAACAACACTAATCAATCACTATACTAATTATGCCGAATACATGGATCATTAAGTTCGTATGGGTGTGTTCCTGATTCGACTTGGTACTAAACAGCCTTCTAAGTAAGATAAAAAAATAACATTTGCTCACCAAAACACTCAAAACAAACCAAAATTGGGTGTCCAAGTTTGAAAGACTGACTAGCCTAAAAGTATCAAAAAATAAATTTAACTAGCACATGGCCTACTTCACTTAAATAGTTTTAGCTCTTTTATAGATAGTGGGGGTTTAATTCATCGTTAACGTTATTATATACTTTTAAAATAAAGTCATAAACATCTATGTATAATCCCTTGAAAATTATATTTATTCCATCGAAATTTATCCATCTTTTTTTTCTGGTATTCCTATATCGGATTCAAAACAGTTACAATTTTTGTAATTTGTAACTATAAATCTAATTACTCATAAAAAAAAAATGAATTCATATTTTAATAAAAGTAATTGGTAATTGTTAAACATTTTCAAAAAATTGGAATAAATGTAATTAATAATCAATTTCGTTTTAATAAGTTATTATGTAATATATTGCTAGATAAACATGAAAGAAGACTAATTCAAAATTTTATAACGTTGACACTTTTTTTCCCTTCTTTCTATCTACAATTTTTATTGAATACTTTAACATAATAATTATATTATGGTATATATATGAATAATTAATTTACAGCTTTAAAATGCTAAATATAAATATTTAAAAAAAATATTCATGCATTTATAAATAAATATTGATGGCTTTTAAATTATTTAAATACATTTTTCTTTTGTTTCAAAATAAGATCATTATATAAAAATATTTTTATTTTTTTTTATATAAACAAGAATTTTTAAAAATAATAATCTAACAATTTATATCTAATTTTTAAAATAGAACTTAGTAAAAACACAATTTTCACTTTAGTATAATAACATAATAATTATAAAATCAAAACTTTAAAGATGCTAAATATAACGTATACAATAAAAAAAAATATACAAAGAATATATGTGATTTGACTTATTGGGGAAAATAAAAATTGCTACAAAACTAAGACTTGATCCTAAGGTTATTATACAAAAACATATGGACCCACAATGATATTCTAATGATATTATTATGTATAATGTATTTTAATATCTATTTAAATTGATTAATTTAAGAAATAAATAATTTATTTATTTTAAAATATGGAAGCTTGCTTATTATAATACACTTAAATAGGCTGTCGAAAATATTTAACTTTTTTTTTAAAAAAGAAAACCAATCTATATTAATAAAATATTTTCAAAAATTATTTATAAAAAGGAATGTAATAAATTTTGTTAATTTCGAGTTGTTTTGAAAACGGCTATAATTGATGTTAATTGCTCAAGTCTTTGAGATCTTGCAGGAACATTTCAGGCGTTATGATGTGGGTCGAACCTTGAAAAAGTTAAAAAAAAAGAGATACCATAAATAAACCATTTGTATGAGAGCACAAATATTTAGTTTGATCAATGGCTAAAACATATCTAAAAAACCTAGGATTTTGGCTGAAGAACTACGTGCTTCCCACGTAATAAACTAAGTAATTTTTTTTTGATAACTGTCGAATACGTGAAAAGTTATTTAAAATTTTAAAAGAAAGAGTTTACATGAACCTAAAATTTGTAAGGATCAATAATTGAAAGGTTTAAAATTGTGAGCAAATTAAATTGACAATCGTATGTGAAATCATTAATTGATGGTATGTAAATTTTAGTAGTATAAATAGATTAAAAATGTAATGAAAAGAAAAAAGTTTTATAATTTTTTTTACGTCATATATTACATTTTATAATTTTAAGTTTTAGTTTTATAACTGATTTTTTTTTTGATTAACTAATATTATATTTTAATAAATTAATCTGTCCTCTTAAATTCTTGTTCGTAATAACCATTACTTGTTCTAAACAATAACCTTATCCGAAGAAGTATGTCTCCCTTCCCTGCTAAAAGATTCTAATGGAGGTGGTGGGGGGATTGGGGGGGGGCTCTTATTAACTACGATTACTTTACTTTTAATCAGTATCCTATAATCTAAAACGTAAAATATAAAGAAACCTATGATGACTTCCCAATTTTTGTAGGACTGGGTAACTTCGTACGCTGATCGCATTTCGGAGAACGTGACTCCGCCCATTATGAATATGATGAGGCGCGGAACGGATTTGAAAGTGGCTATACCTTTCTCCTTGTGCCAATGCCCGTATCTGGCGCTTTTTGTGAGAGAGAGAGAGAAAGAAAGAAAAAAATTAAGAAAAAAGATAGGATCATGGAGAAATACCTAGTAGGAACGCTTCTGCCGTACGAAGTGGGATTTCTGATCCCGAAGTACGGGAACGTTTTCATGTCCAATTTATCTTCTATAGAATCCTGAATCATTTTTTTGAAATATATATTTAAATAAATATATAAAATTAAACTTCCATGATATCCTTAACGATAGGTGTCCATCTGGACATTTGATAGGTGTTTTCGTTTATTCGTTCCTTTCTTGGGTAAGTCCACATTTTTTTCTTGGTACCCTGGAAAACGAGAAAAAACGCATAGTTATACAAAATAAATCAAAATGTCAATTAAATCGATTATCCAACATATTTCACAAATTAGGGAGTTCTGCAAGTAGAAACAGTTCATTTTTATACATATTTATATTATATATTCTAACTCGACATGTTAAAAGATGAAAAATATTTTAGCGACCCGAACCCACCCCGGTCCAGATATGGTATCGCTAATTAAATTCAAAACTGTAATAGTGGGAACAAATTGAGCGTTTCCGTTTTGCCGTAACTATTAAATTTAAAAAAAAGGCGTAACGCGTCTATTGTTTAAATTGAGGTTGTATTTTTTTTTTATTTAATATCCGTCGATTCTAAATTTTAAATAAGTTTCTAAATAAAAAAAAATAGGATTTGTTTTTTGAAAAATTATATTATCGTCTGCCTTTTCTTATTTCTTTTAATTTTCTAAAATATTCCTTTTTTTAGGATGGATAAAAGTAAGTTATTTTATATTACATTTTTATATATTAATATCACAAAGCGAAGAATAAAAAGAAGTAATGAAAAAGAAAACCTTATTGCGTTTTTAAAGCCAAACGGTAACTTTACCAATTTGCGCTAGGACATTTTGAAATGTATTATTGGCGCTTGCAACGCGGCGTTTGAAATGCTCAATCTGTGCGCACCATAAAATATTTCTATACCCGACGGATACCCCAAGTGAAAAATATGGTCCCGGCCCCAAAATGAATCGCAATGTATAGCCGGGGGGTACAGGAGTGGGTTTTCGAGGATTTTGCAGACCTCCATTAAAAATACATAAATGAAATTTTTATCACGGGTAGTCATCTATTTATTCATTAGTGTTAGTTTCTTCCTTTCGATAGTAATGAAAAAATTAAACAATATGAACTGGCAGGGGGGGATGATAGGTTGATTTGACAGCCGTATATCAAAATCGACTTACATTTTGAATTATAGGAACGCCGAGCAGTTGCATGTTGACTATAAGGCTTTTCTCGCTAATGGGCACTTGGGCGTGTTGGATCAATTTGGCTAAGTTTTCTTCCGATATACCTTTTGTTGATTGGTTAATATATTTTACAGATGATGGGGGAGGAGGGTCTTTTAAAAAAAATTTCATGTCTTTTCCTTACTATCCCTTCTCTCCTGTTCTCAAGCATTTGCATGGTATAAATGATAAAAATATTCCTAAAAAAACCATAAATCATTGTTACTCTTTTTGCTACCATAAAATCCAAAAAAATACCTTTGCAAGGCTACAATGTTTAAAAATTAGATTTAGGACACTTGCATATCAATATACTATGGCTTTACGAATAATAATAAAAAAAATTTGGCAGAGGGTTAAAAGGGGGGTACTCTTATCAACGTCAATGAGGGTTGACTCATTCACTTTAAAAAAAATGGCAAGTCAATCAAGTTTATTTTAATTTTTTTTTCTAAAGAAGAAGATATATTTACCGTTTTTATTGATAATGTAGAGGGAGATTATTCGAATTTTGTCATTGACAGCCACGTTTTGGTCGAGCAAGATGGGCACTATGTTTTTCATGTGATCTTTAATTTTTTCGCCTTCGGCATCCGTTCCCATAGCTAAATCCTAAATTTTTTGTTGTTTATTTTCATTTTTTTTCAAAATTGGAACCCACATAAAAAAACACGTTTTCTTATAACTCCAAAGTCTGACTCAGTCTAAGTGAAATGACCACACCATTTTTGCCAAATGATATTTGGCAATAACTGTGAATTTTAAATTGTAATTGTTAGGATATTAACATATGTTTTATGTTAAGTGTTGAGCAGGCTAAATCAGGCCCATTTCGCTTATTTTGAGTCAGGCGACTTATCTGATTACAATCGGATGTAACTCATGCTCAGTCCGGACGATATTTTTTTTGGAATTTTGACGTAATAACTCTTAACATTGGTTGAGAATCGGAGTGTTGTATCTGAGCATTCACTTTTTTTTTAAAAAAAAGAAGAGATTGCTGTAATCATAAGATGATTTATTTCAAATTTGTATCAGTATGTCTACAATAATCACGTGTACCATAATCTTTGGTCACGTTATCAATAAAAAAATTAGTAAATCACATTACGAACCATTTTAAATATTATATTAACCTTAATCCATACAGGGACTTTTACTACGGGAAAAGTGATTAAAGGGGTTTAAGACGCTTAGATGGCCATTGAAATTGAAGAGGGCTAATTAGAATTTGGATATCACTGTTGGCAAATGAGGGTGCAGAACTCTAGAAATCCCTGCACCCATATCTCTCACACACGTTACATGTTTTAATTTTAAATAAATTTTATTTCGGGCGAAAGAGCTATTATTATATATCATAAAAGTAAATAAGCCAAAAATTTTAAATATATATATTATAGTTTTTTTTTTGAGGCCAACCTGGGTACCAGGAAATGACCATTTTCGCAAATTAGATGAAAATAGTTAAGATTATTATGTCTTCACAAAAAAAAAAATTAAAAATAATCAAACCTGCTCGACCCTGCAAAGCTTATCAGTTCTCCCTTGGTAAGTCCTCATGCAATCTTCGGCTAAATGAAGTTGCGTCGCGTATTTGGAGAGTTCCTTCTGGTACTGGGGCATACGTTTAAGCATGTGGGTAAGATCGCGGAGGGTGGCTTTGTCGCTAGAAGGCGCTAATGCGCCGGCATTGGCCCCGCCGGCGGAAGTGGACGATGAAGAGTTGGTGAGCCTCTTATTTTCGGCGAATTTTTTTAGTTGTTTGGTCACGGCCCTAGAGGAGGAATATGGAAAGGAAAAAAAAAGCGATCAATAAAACTACGGGGCGAATGCTATCTAGATCATGTTAAACTTTGGGCTAGTGTTGTTAAAATTATGATAGAAAAAAGCCAAAAATTGAACGCCGTCAAATTTTTTTTTTCATCCTTGTACTTAGTGTTATTGAACCCCTCTTATTTGAGTCGATTTTTAAAAACGGCTATTTTATCTAGAAAAATATTATTCCAGCCTGAAGATTTTTCTCATCTATGACAGAAAGGTTTGGAACAGCCTTAATCAGAATTTTTTTTGGCTAAAATATTGAGTTAGCCGTTTAAAATGAAAAAAAATGGGAAAGTAAGAAAGTTAGGAAATAATAAATGAAGACATTTTTTTTTGTTGTAGAATAAAAATAAAGGAATGAATGCTCACTGCGAAACTATGGCGATGTGCTGATGCCTCAGCTGGACCCATAGCTCATCGTTCTCGTCTAGAAGAACTTCTTTATCCTTAGGGCCCTCAGTCCCAGCCGTTTCGTACCTAAGCGTTTTTAAGGGGAAAAAAAATTAGAATTAAATCGATAGAAAACGCGTTCACGATTGCATTGATCGGATCTGACTTTAATAGGCTAAGTTTTCAGCCTATCCTCGTTAATATATATACATATACTATCACCTAAATTTTAACCTGCAACTAGCGAAAGGGCGCACTAATTATAATCAAGTTAGAAATGGACGAATTACGTCAAAGGGAGAAGAGAATCCTTTACGGTTAGGAGATAAAATAATAAATAAAAAAAATACAATTTTTGTGTTAAAAAAGAAAAATAGATAATAAAAATGAGAGGGGATTTGAGATAAGAGGGGATACGTGCTTAAACATAATCGCAAAAAGTTAGTTTCGTATTTATTATTGTATGAGTCGTTATTGGGATATGGAATCCCTGGAGGAGGGATATAGAATCTCTTAATTTATATCGTTTTTACTTGAGGGAGATTTTTTTAAAAGAGTCGTTATTGGGATATGGAATCCCTGGAGGGATTTAGCATCTCTTAATTTATATCGTTTTACTTGAGGGAGATTTGTTTTAAGGAAATTTTATTTGAACCGGAAATGTATTCCAGCAAATGAACTTTGTATATCCTACTGAATTGGCGATTCATTATTTAAAAGTGTCCGTCCATACATTGGAGTCAGCTGTAGCGTCATTTTGTGGCTTCAAACTTCGACCAATTGCCTTTACTTATCATCATATGAATGCAATGCACATTAAGGTCATTTAATCGGCATGCAAATCACAAAATGGCGCTTACAGTTGACTCCTATGTACGGACATTTTTATGCATTTAAAAAAATGAATAGCGCCAATCAAATCAAGTTAGTGATATATATATTAGAGGTCTGCAACCGTTTGGCTGGTTTGGCTACTTGTTCATTTATTTTAATGTATTTTTTTAATTTAAAAATAAATATGCAATATTATGAAATAAAACTATTCTTTTAAAATAAATCGAGGTCCGTGTTCTGCTCACTTAACCTAGAAAATATTAAACTCACCCGCCCACGCCCCGCCCAATACTTTATAAAAAAATTTCCCAACTAGGCGGCCATCCGCTCAATGTGGAAAATATTTTAAGAGACCCGACCATTGCAGACTTCTAGTAATATACCCTTCACTGATTGCAGCATGTATAGAATACCTATATCCTATAAATTTCTGATCAATTTTGGCAATAAACCTTTGCAAAATCTATTTAAAAAATAAAATTAATATTAAGAATACTTACAAAGTTCTAAGCAAAATTGTTAAAAATTCGACAATATAAATAATGCAAAATTGTTAGAAATTCGACAATAAAAATTAAGCAAAATTGTTAGAAATTAAACAATGTGTAAATTTCCCTTCAAATCAGGTTTCTAAATATTTAAAAATTGCCTTTGGGTACATCATATGATTTGAAATCGATAAATTCCAAATCCCAGGATGATATATATATAATAGGGGGAAAGAGAGAAAAAGCAAGCGTTTGTTTTTATCAATTTATTTTTTTATATATTATTACAATCCTCATGGAAAATACGTAAATTTTATAAAACATAAGACGATTTAAAAAATTATTAAACTGTCCATGTCCACTTACTTGTAAACGTCGTTCTTGATGTCGAGCAGGTCTTCCGCCATGGCCTGGAACGTGAGCTCGTGTAGCAAGGGGGAAATGGGATCGAACCCGCGGTCCAGGACAAGCAGAAGCGACCGGGCCTTGTCCGGACCCTCACCCATGCTAGGGTCGTCGGCTTTGTACGCGTCCAACTTTTGTTGCATTAGCTGCACCAGTTCTACGTTGCGATCTAGCCCGCTTAAAAAATGAAATAAATAAAATGTTTATTTATTTCATTTTTTTTTTCTTCTCCCTCTCCCGTTCCCTCCATTTATATATATAAAAAAACCTTCTATATCTGAGCATAGGGTATTCTCCTAGGGTCGAACACAAAGTAGCCAGCTGTTCGGCAACCCTTTCCAAATGGGCGAGTCGACCTGCGTTCCGATGAGTGTTGTAAAAATATTGAAAGGCCTCTCGACAATCCAAAGAATAAACCTAAAATAAAGGGTTAAGGATGAATGAATGTATTTTTTCCCCCGGTTAAATAGTGCCCTCCAATGTGACAGCTATTCATTTTAAATAATAGGAAAGGGTAATGGGTTCGGTCGGTCCAATAGGTCTTAGACTAAAACCGTGCTAATATTCTGGGGTCATCGCATTAATCCGTTTTTATGTCGGATCTTTTTTCCCTTCCGACCCTTCACTATTTTACGAAAAGGTTTAAAAGAAACTAAACAATTTAAAAAAAAAAAAATACTAATTAGAATAGTTAATTATTGATTAGGTTAAAATAAACATTCATTCATCTCGGTTATATTTTTTTTTTATTTTAAAAAAAATTCTAAACAATACCTGAGCTTCGTAAGGGAGGAAAGCTATATTGATCTCTTTGAGGGTTTTAATCATTTTGCCTATGCCCGATTTGCAGAGGGTATTGAAGAGTTCGTCTGGGCAGGCTTAAAAAATAATTGGTTAAATTAAATTGGGTTACATACATTTCATACATTCACTGGCGTAAAAAAAAGATGGCATGCTTCTTTTTTTTTAATACATGTAGCAAGGGGCAATCATATCAAGTCACATATTAAGCTAAACGAAAAAATAATTGACAAGTAATATAACTATGTCATGAACTCAATAAAGTGAGCATGCTCATCAAAGTAGGGTTGCTAAGAAGCCAGATTAGAATTGTAACCAAAATAATCTTATTGTAGTAAGTCAAAAGATTTTGTTCACAGCTGGCAGTAGTGTTGTGTAACGGCTCGTTTCGGATTTTTAAAAAACGGCTGACTCATTATTTCATCCAGAAAAATCTTACGAAAGCTCTGAAGATTTTGTTCGTAGAAGGAACGAAGATCTAGACGTATACCATCGAAATCTCTCGAGGTTTAGAGGCGATATTTTACCGGCTAAAATATTAAAGTTCTGAAGATTTTGTTGGTAGAAGGAACGAAGATCTAGACGTATACCATCGAAATCTCTCTAAGTTTAGGCGATATTTTACCGGCTAAAATATTAAAGTTCTGAAGATTTTGTTGGTAGAAGGAACGAAGATCTAGACGTATACCATCGAAATCTCTCTAAGTTTAGGCGATATTTTACCGGCTAAAATATTAAAGTTCTGAAGATTTTGTTGGTAGAAGGAACGAAGATCTAGACGTATACCATCGAAATCTCTCGAGGTTTAGGCGATATTTTACCTGCTAAAATATCAAAGTTATGAAGATTTTGTTGGTAGAAGGAATGAAGATCTAGACGTATACCATCGAAATCTCTCGAGGTTTAGGCGATATTTTACCGGCTAAAATATCAAAGTTCTGAAGATTTTGTTGGTAGAAGGAACGAAGATCTAGACGTATACCATTGAAATCTCTCGAGGTTTAGGCGATATTTTAGCGGCTAAAATATCAAAGTTCTGAAGATTTTGTTGGTAGAAGGAACGAAGATCTAGACGTATACCATCGAAATCTCTCGAGGTTTAGGCGATATTTTAGCGGCTAAAATATTGAAGTCAGCCGTATTTTAAAAATCGGCTCAAAACGAGCCGCGTTTAACAAGCCATAGGCTGGCAGCAATGCTTGGACATCTATTTGCCTCGCTAAAATCTTAATAGGGCTGTTCGGGAAAATTGAACCAAAGCGGGCTTTAAAAAAAATAATATCTCTTTACACTCCTCCCAAAAAATATATATATTATATAACCTTCTATAAAATAGACATGCTGGGCTTTGTACATTTTACGTTTTTTATTTTCTTGCATCAATATACGAATATTCTTTAGTTTTTTTTTTTTTTCAAATATAAAAAAAAAACAAAGGAAAAAAAAAAATTAAATTAAATCCGCATTTAATAAATAAAAAACAGGGTAAAACCGGGGAAAAAAACGTTTTTTTCGTCATCTTTTCGTACAAAAGTATAATGCAATATTATGAAGGGGAAAAGAAGATAAAATTCTGATGGAATCTACAATTCACTGACCATATTTGACCTTTCGGCTTAGAATGAGCCTGCTAAATTTAGGTGCCCACGCTCATGTTTTCGTTATAAATGCGGATTCAAATCTGACTCTATTACAGTTTTGGAGAGTATTAGCAGCAGGTTTCCGGAAATAATTGAGTACCGATATGAATATAATTAATCACAAAGTTATAAACCCACCCCCCCCCTTTATCGTTTTAGTATATTAATTTAGAATATCTAGTCTATCTATTAAGCAAATATCAGATTCTAAATAATAAGCATGCTACCAAAAAAAAAAATGACATGTCATGCACTTTATATATTTTTGATTTTCTAGTATCGCGCGGTAAATTTTTCTTACAAAGGAGGTTAATAACGAAATATTACAATATATCACCCTTTGGACAATCCTATCTCTATGAGATTAGGGTTCTTGGGATTCCAATGAGATGAATAAGCCTCTGCCTACGTCTTTTGGCGACTAATGGAGGTCTAGAAGGTTCCCTGTGGTCTGGGTCTAGAATAGGATCACCGTCTCCTCGACCGGGGTACCACCTAAAAGGGGGGGGGGGGGTGATGTCAGGAAGGGAATCCGAATTGTAAAAACCTTGCTAAAAAAATTTCCTAGCGATTAAATCGGAGGGAAAACGTGGCCAACCTGGAAATCGCTATTAAACGGAGAAGAAGAGGAAGATGAATTAGTTGAATAACAGCGCATTATTTAATCAAAAAAAAGTAAAAAAAAAATTCAAAAAGTTTCACAGCTTTCGCGGGTAGAAAGGAAAGAAAGCGAATGATTTTATGTAAATAAAATTTATGAAGATTCTAATTTGCATTTTGGATGGGTGGGGGGGGGGTTAGAATGTTGAAAAAAACTCAAAAGAAAAAACCGAACTCTAGATTGTTATATTTCTTCAAATTCCACCATTTAATTTGGAAATCGTTAGGGTTTGTTAGCGTTTTTGCGAAAAAAAAATAATATTTTTTTGGTTGTCGAATAGAATTCAATTTTTTTTTTTTTAAAAAAAAACGATACAATACAGAACACCTTAAACGGGTAAGGCAGGCACATTCGTAAAATAAACAAAAAAAAAAAAATCATGCTAAAAAAAATTTTGCGTAAATAAAAAAAAAAAAAAACCTTCAGTAAAATAAACATGGGCGCCTTTGTACATGTAATGAAGTGGATTATCGAAATCCCTGATGAGAACGGAAACAGACTATAAATATAGTATGACGTGTATAAAAAAAAATAAGAATAAGAATACATAAAAAATGGCAGTTTTTTCAATTGCCATTTTATTTTAGATTTTAAAAGAGATTAATCCGCCTTACCCTGAATTCCCAGTTAGCGCGAATTCGCGGCGAAGTATATAAAAATTACCGCCAACCGCAAATGCGGGGTTAGGTCAAGGCTATGAATTTGTTTTTATTAGCCGCTATACCACGAAAGTAAAATAAACCTTTCAATCATTCTTCCGAATTAATATAGTATATTTTATATTTTTAATAAATAATTTCGCACAAAAACCAGCCCATCCAATATTTAAAAAAAAATTTAACACGCCCGCCCCGCTCAATTCCTTACCCGCCCGCCCGTCCGCCCATTGGTCTAAAATTTTTTACCCGCCCGCTCATTATTTATAAAAAAAATTTTAACCCAAGCCCGCTTGTAAAATTTAATTATGGTCATTCTTTCATTTTTTTTAAAGCATCTAATAAAAATATTTCAGCATTGCAACCTCTGCAAAAAGTTTATAATTTAGGAAATTAATATAAAGTATAAAAAATAATCAAATGTAAATTATGGACAACTTATTTGATCAAATTGAATATTCATTCATGAAAAAAAATATAAATGTAAAAATTAATATTGAATGTAATTATAAATGCAAAAATAATAATGAATCGACATTTTCTGGATTCAATCAAACACGTTCTTCTTTGTTCTAAAAATCTTCCAGAAATGCTAAATCGGCTTTCGGAAGAAGCACTAATTGCAAGAATTGCCAATATTTTTCTTGCTAATCTTGATAGCTTTGGCAAATCTCTTTCTTGTCATTTCCACCAAAGTAGGATATCCTCTTCCTCAAGTGAGACCTTTAAATAAAAGTGAAAGCAAACCCAAAAAAAGGAAATTTTAAGAGAAAAGTTTTATTACATTCCCATAAAAGGAAATTTTTAATAGACAAAAATGTTTATTTATTCTAAGAAAAATGTTTTATCGTTGTGTTTATTACATAATATAGTTAGGTAAATGTTCTTCACTTAAAAAAAAACGATTGGTACAATAAAAAAAAAGAAATATTGTTATAGATCATTTAAACAATTATTTTGTTTTAGTTTGTTTTTGAACAAAAATTTGAAATTTCCTTAACCCGCCCGCCCGCCATTCTCGAAAAATTTTTTACCCGTCCATCCGCCCACCCACATAGATGGGTGAGTGTGGGCGGGCGGAAACCCCGCCCAAAGCAGACCTCTAATAGATACTACCAAGTTTTCTAAATACCGACCAAATTAGAATGCGAATAAGACCCTCCTCACGGAATCACGTGGTCGAGTTCTACCTCCTATACGTCATCCCCCAAGGAGGGAACCACCAAGTTAAATTAAGAAAAAAAACATGATCTTTGCTGGTATTCGAACCCAGAACTTCAGATTGGTAAGCGACGCTCTTGCCGACTAGACCACAGACGGTTTTCCAAAAATCACGATTTTTCAAATATATATATTATAAATAAATTTGGCAGCACTTATTCAAATGAAAAATAAACACACCTATTAGATATATATATTTTATATGTATTCAATAAGTTTAAAGAAAGAAAGAAAGAAAGAAAGAAAGAAAGAAAGAAAGAAAGAAAGAAAGAAAGAAAGAAAGAAAGAAAGAAAGAAAGAAAGAAAGAAAGAAAGAAAGAAAGAAAGAAAGAAAGAAAGAAGAGATGATCTATTTTATAGTAAATTATAAAGATATATAGTTATAACGGGCAGGTCTATAACCCCCAGGTTTGAATAAACATTCTTTAATATTCTCAATTCAAATGTTTATTTAATTTATATTTATCCCAACTTAAGCATAATAATTTATCGAAAATTGATCACTCAAAAAATCGTTTTAAGATTAAAACTACAAATATCTTTTTAAATATGATTTAAATTAATTTTTTTAAAAGTTCAATAAGTAAAAATTATTTGGCCCTTTTTCCTATGCTTTAAAAAAAAATTTAAAATTTTTTTAATCAATTTAAATTTGATTTTATATTTCTTATTTTAACACTAACAAACAAATACTCAAATGTATAAAATAACATAGATTAATCATTAAAATATTTAAAATGAAAAAATTGTTTCTCCAGCTTTTTCTGGTCTAAGCCTTCTTTCTGATTTTGGCATTGTACTAGGAGGCCAAAAGAGTAATCAATTTTTTTTCTACAGAGGCTTAAAGAAGTCTATCACAACAAAGAGGTTCTGATTGCAGATTAGGAATATGTATCATCAGCTGAGCCAACTTAAGTGAGCCGGTCGCGGCTAAGTCGACTCTGCTTAGCTATTTAAACAACCCTTTATCGCCAACAAAAATTCCTATTTTAGGATGGAGAAATCATTGGCAGCACGCTAAATGATAAAAGCGTACGTATAAGTCAAAATATGTTCAGCTGGCTGTTTAGCAATGAGTGAAATCGTGAACACACTAAGATTGGTATAAAAAATTTTATTCCATAAAATCCTTAAATATAAAGCCTTTTAAAATTATATAAAATCGAAAATTTTCGAGTAATTTTTACAGGGTAGAACGTTAAAAAGGGGAATATTTTAAAAAGGGATAAATTAATCATTTAAAATTAGCTTAATAATATGCCTATAACTAGTGTTGTTAAACGGTTCATTTTGTGCCGATTTTTAAAAAAAAGGCTAACTCAATATTTTAGCCGGAAAAATATTATGCAAGCCTTAAGATGATTTTGCACGTAGGTGGCACAGAGGTTTGAACATCTATCAACGAAATCTAGAAGATCAGACAGTATTTTTCCGGCTAAAATATCGAGTTAGCCGTTTTTAAAAATGGGCTCAAATCGATCCGTTTAACAAAACTACCTATAAAAGTCATCTTCTTATTTTTTTTTAGTAACATAGCCTCCCAAAATCGGCGTGAAAATTGTGCGTTTTTTTTTAATCGCTTCAAATCAATGTCATTCCAAAATAGTATATGATCCTAATATAGGAGAAAACTTTGAGAATGCATCTTTAAGGCTATCTTTTTTTTAAAAAAAAAATTTCCTTTGTTGCCCTAATATATAAAAAACTTTGGTAAAAACGATAATGTATTTTAAGATGCCAACCGTACAGAAAAAAAAACAAATAAAAAAACAGCTTTGGGGAAATGTTTTTTATTTTTTGAAATAAAAAGGTACAATTTTTGGGAGGCAATAATAATCTCATAATTGGCAAAAGTCGGAATGCCCTGTTCATTGCTGCGGCGGACAATTTAAATAAGAAAGGACATTTTCAGTTGCGCGATCTTCGAAACCAAATATGATAGTAAGCCATCACTTTTTAGAAAATTTATAATAATGAATTTAAGAGTGGCATCATCAAAGCCCAAATTAATAACGAATGAAATGACGAAGGTGGGGGTGTCACGGCGGGTTTATGAAAGGAAAAAAATAGTTTGTTTTACAATGTACGGCCCGGCCCGGTTTATTCTTTAAAAAATCTTTGTCGGTCCGACACGGGTTTTATATTTTCAGGCCCGCCTGGCCCCTGTACCCGGTCCGGGCCTTCAGGTCTCTATGGTCCGGGCCTTCAGGTCTCTATGGTCCGGGCCTTCAGGTCTCTATATAAAAAAAAGGATTATAATTATAAAATCATGAATAAATAAATAAATAGTCGATCAAGATGTAAACCTTCTCAGTCGGGGTTATGAGGTATATAGCTTCTAGCATTGGTAACGGTTCCCTTTGCTTATCTATACTTTCAACAACTATTTTTATATTTTTTTTTAAAAAAAGGGTATTATAAATTAAAGCGTACAATGAAAATATGTTCAAGTGATTTAAGAAAAATTAGGGTGTACCATGTCAAAGACCAATGATTTTTTTTTGTTCTAAACAAAAAAATTAGTGATTGGTTACGCGTTGGACGAATCAAATATCAATTTTTAAAGCTTTCTAGCTTCATAATAAGTCGGGAGTTATGGGCTTTCAAAGTCGAATAAGGATGCGATCTCGATTTTTAATAAATATCAAATTACTTGATATTCTTTAAGATTATGTCCAAAATCTCTCTCTTTTTTTAAAAAAGTTTCAAAACTTTGGCAAATTTTAAAAATTTTAACGAAATCGTATACGTTAAATTTTTGATAATTTATATTATTTTCTACAATTAAGTTTTAGGAAACGTTTTTTTTAAATTTTTTATATTTAAAATAGCTTATTTATTTATATTTTTATTAAATTAAAGTTTAGAAAAGTTTGTGAAATTAATTTTTTTTTGATATTCTGGACGAAAATGAGTTAATCTATAAACCATATATTTGACACTGAACTCATCAGTTATTTATTGGGATAAAAAGGACAAATATAGAAGATTACCTGTTAAGAAAATAATGATTGTAACATAATTTTTTTTGTTTTACAAAAATATAAAAAATAGACATTTTATATTATAAAACTAACCCTATAATCATTTAATTAAAATACCCGTTTTTATTATCCCAATTCAATTATAATAAACACCTATATTTAAAAATTTCCTGAAGCTATCTATACTACTATGTTACATCCCCGATATATGTTTTACAGCCATGACTATTCATCATTCGGAAACTCTTGGGCCTAACAACCAGACCGAACAGGTCTTAAGATATCTACCTCAGCAGGTGTCCGCTAATATTTAACCGTATTATTATTGTATACACTGAATCATAAATCGGAAAAAAATATTTTTAAAAAAAGATGGTATTGATTATTAATTTTTTATTCCAAAAATTTTTTGAAATTCTCATTTATAATTTCTCTTAATTATATGTATTTCGAAATATATCGATAATAAACATCTATGGAGAGTGAAAGAAAGAAAGAAAGAAATAAGTGTCTCACACATTTTTATTTTTACCGGAAATACATCTTTATTGGAGAATTTTTAAGGGCTACATATTGTTATATAATTTATAAATTTCGACTAATTTCTGATTATCGAGATCGAGATGGCACATCTGTATTAGACTTTGAGAGCCCACAAATTCCAGATCCATTTTAGTTGGAGCTTTCAAACTTTGATAACTATTTAAGTTTAACTTTATATAAACCATCATAAGAAAAGTTTTTACGATGGTCAAAAATCTCATGTTTTTATTTGATTTGTCACTGGCATGACCAATAAGGTGCTCTACATGATATTTATTTATTTATTGCTAATGTTCTCGATTAAGTTTTTATGATGGACTTGCCTATTCAAAAACTAATATAAATCGAATGAATTATACGTTTTCGATTTATGATTAGAGTTTGGGGGGAGGGAGCATGCTGGATAGATTAGTTTACGGCAATTCTAATAAATTTCCCTGAAGTAAAAAGAAAATCCCCAGGTATCTTAAAGACAGCAGAGGTATCCTCCTGAATTAGGGGGTGTACAAGATGTTTAGGTATAATCATGTTAAACAGACTAAAGCCAATAGCTGAAACAAACTATGTAGGTTCACTGGCCTCGTTAATGAGGGTCCTAATGCGCTCGAAGCCATTATGGCACTTAAAAAATTGAATTGTGAGAGTCGCGATATGAAAAAGCCAGTTATTCATTGTTTGACTACAAGAGGGCATTTGATTCTATTTTACGTACAAGTTTTTTGAGAAGCACTGGAGAAGATAAGGACACCAGTTCAAATTTCCAAAGATCCCGATAATAAATAGGTGGGCTGGAAAAAGGGTAGTGTCACCATTGCTATTCAACTTCGTTACTAATTATACTATAAAATATGTAAAAATCACGTGTTCGGTGTAATTGGTGGTGGGTGACATAAATATTTTTGCTTTTATCGGACGACTCATGTCCAATGGGGACACCCATGCCCGCACTTCGATACCTAGTTAATAAAATGGTCAATAAATCAAGCGTCGTTCATGGCTTGAAAATTAATAACGAGAAAAACAAAGGTGTTGCTCTGCCTTTTATGCCACCTCGTGATAATTTATGGATAAAGGATAAAGTATCGAGGAGGTTGCATGCACAAAATACTTGGGAGTTATTCTTGAAAGGAAAGGACAAACTAAACAAGATCTGGTGTGTAAATTAAATAAGGCTGGATTTAGGTACCGATCATTTATGAAAATATGGTCCTCAGATCAATTTATTTATTCCAGTAAAGTCTCAGCTTTTTAAAATTATATTCTTTCCTCATAAATTATGGCAATGAGATAAGTGGATCATGGCTACGTCCCATTATAAAAGATGCAATAGTTTATTAAAAAAATGCCAGAGGTATATGAACCTTTTTTTAACTGCCTCCCATTGTGCAAGTTAATAGAATATAGAAAAATAGTTAATGGGTGATGTACTTAGCTCTAAATAACAATCTATTAAGCACTAGATATAGTATAACATAGAAGAGACATCCATAAAACCTTTCATGCCATATAAAAAAAGTTGGTTTGGCTATGTTCAATAATCAATAATTTTATAAGTACTATAGTTGAGTAATGGCTAAATGTTGGCTAATTCAGCTCAATCCCTAGGCACTAGCTAGAAATTTGTTAACATTAAATTTGCATTAGTTTCTACAAGATTTGAGCTGTTATCTTTTTAAGAAAAAAAACCAGGGCCAGAGTTTCAGCTAAAAACTAAGTTTACAGCTAAAAAAAATTGGCTTTAATGGCTAAATGTATAATAATTACCCAACTATAATAAATACTTAAGGCCATCCAATTGGAGTTTTTTTTAAAATAAACAAAATTAATAACACTATTTAGAAATATTCTAATAAGTTACTAATTCTCACTTATTAAAAATTATAAATATTAGAATGTATGCGAATAAAAAGTTATTTGTTTAGTTGGGAATAGTGGAGAGGGGCAGATTCTAAATTAATTGCTTTAAAATTTTAATCTGTATAATAAAAATAATTATTAGACCACCAAAAAAAAGTTACAATTCAGATATGAATTTAATTTATTATTAACCTGTGATTCCTTCTTCAGATATATCTTGCATTTTGCAACAAGAAGAAAGTATTCTCATACTTAGATGATCAACTACTAATACTTTCCATTCACCTTTTTTATGTTGGGCACTAATGACATCATTCATAATTTCTAAAACAAAATTTATATCATATAACTTTAAAAATAAATGGGTTGATTAATTTAAGATTGTTGAATTAGGTATAGGTTTGATTATAAAGATTAATTTGACATTAAGATGACTAGCTTAATATTAATAACTATATAATACAAATTTAATATTTAAATTAAAAAGAGAATATTAATATTATCTACTTAGTCCTACTATGTTTTTAAGTGACATAATGAACTACGGAATATCGATTGAAAAAATTAAAAAAAGGAATGTATGCTAAATATAGTATCTCAGTCATATGACTAAGTTACAATAAAAATTTTTGCTTGTAATACTCGATAATAACTCACAAAGAGAAAAAAACCATAATAAACAATTAAATAACAAATCTATATAATATAACAAAGCCAAATTTAAGATATTCAGATAGGCTCTTACGATTTCTTAAACTGGATCTTGGTATTTAATTTTCTTATGATGTTGACTTAACAAACTGCAACACATATAATCACATATTAAGGTCACTGAGTCAAATTTATTTCAAAAAATAAATATTGTTTCAATTTCACCTTATATAGGATAGTGGATAGAGTTTTGGTTATGTTTTATAATGGAGTTATGAACATTTATTTAAACCATATTATTTTAATTTAAATGGTTCATTTAATTATCGTTTCCATGTTCATCAAGTTGATAAGTAGCACTATTTCTTAACCGTTTTTCTTAACTGCCTAAGCGACTATTTTATTATCTTTTACCACCTATTCTTTAAATCATGCTATTTAAAAAGTGTCAAAATCTTGTAGTAGATTCGACAGCCTTCTTATTAAATGCGCCAATAAATGTAATAACAATTTATACAAATTGATTTTATTAAATTTTTATGTTAGGTTTTAGGACAAAACATTTACACAATTCAAGAAGTTGTTGATGAAATAAAAGATGAGAATACTAGGCAAAGGCTCTCTGTTTTACCATATAAATTACTCATTAAGGAACCACAAAAGGAACACTTTAAAGCTGGTATAAAATATTATTAATACAATTTTTTATTTATAACCAACTGTTTAAATTAATAACTAATTAATGAATATATTTTAATACAGTATACAATATCTATTTTATGCACATTTATTGGAATTGACTAGCATCTAATATTACATTTTTAATGATTTGGTCTTTTCTGAATTATGTATATTACCGATTTTTATATATTAATTTTTACTGGTCTATAAAACTCTCATGTCAGAAAATTGTGATTAATGGTGATTTTATTAAACTCTCTAACTCCCCTCTGAGTCTCAACTATTTTTAAGTGAGTTGGGATTGTAAATATTTTTTTAAGCTATTTCAATTTATAACTAATAAATAATAATAATAAATTATGGTATGATTTTATATTAATTTGTTCATTTTACATTATTTTATAACATTATAAAAAAAGAGTTTAAAAAATTTTTATATTGTAGATTTGGTTAAGTCAGAAAGAAGTTTTTTTTTTCTATGGATTGGGGATGCATTGTGTTAAAAAAATTATTTCTTGCATATCTATTAATTAACCCTAATGTGCTATACTTTGGTCTTCTTGAAGAAATACATTAAAAATTGAATTTTCAATAAAAAAAATTGTAGTCCACCAAAAATTTTTGCCTGTTGTCAATTGTATTTGGATAATAATTATATTTGACCTAGACTGGCTGATTTTTAAACCCAACACGGATATTTATAAACCATTTTTGGGCTTGGTTCTGGGCATGTTGGTCTCTGTTTATTAGATATAAATGTACAAAAATGTGAGAATTAATTTATTAAATTTTTTTTTAAAGACAAGGAGATATATTCTATTAGTTATTTATTTTTTATTTATATACAACATTTTGAGTTGTTTTGTATTATATTTTTTGATATACTTTATAATTGATTAAATATTGTTAAATATTTTTTCTTAAAGTGGTTGAAGCTGCCAAAACAACTGGGGATTTCTCTGTCCTCTCATTGACCGACATAAAATTGATTGCACTTGCTTATGAATATTATCTGGAAGGGATTCGAGATAAGGTTTAAACCCTAAATTTGATATTATAATTAAAAAAAATAATGATTATTAATGTTTCATATAAAATAAAAAAAATGAGAATTTAAGTTTATTACTGTCAGAGATATTGAAATTTATAAAAAGTCTGATTAAGACAAATTTTTCTAAGCTCTGGACTGTGCAATTGGCTTTTTAGTCTGGTACAGGCAAAAAAAAATTGATAAATATATATATATAATTTAATTTATGGGATAATTTATCAATAAGTATGTTAATAATAAATGTTTTGCAATCTAATTTGTAGGGCTGTGCCGATCCACATATTCACCGATCCGATATTTTCCGATAATGCTTCATAACCGATATCAAGTACCGATCCGATATTTATACTGATTTTTAATCACCCCCGTTTGAACCAAATGTAATTAAAAAATCAATATTTTTTATGCAAAAAATCGAATTATGAATTTAATTTTTTTATTTCTACAATTAAGACTATAATAAAAAATTATGTATTTAATAATAGTTGGTATGAATTATAATATATTAGATTTTTTTAATAAATATGAGAGCCTCCAGATTTTCTGGGAATAAGCTTCTACGATATGGACTATCTATATTTCCTGCCGTGCTGAAGGCAGACTCAGATGATTCCACAGATAACGCATTTTGCAATATTATCTTTATATTTATAATTCAGATACCTTATTTAAAAAAATTCTTTTATTTAAAGTATAAATAAAAAAATTGGCGTTATTTTAAAAGATTTAAAATAAATAAAACTTTGGGTGTTCCTTTCTATTTTTATAAAAAAAAACTTATAAAATACTATAAATCTATTTTTAAAAAATAAATTAAATTTAAAAAAATTATTTAGAAAACATTATAATAATAAAAAATAAATAACATAAAATAAAATAACAAAAAAAAGAAAAGAAAAGTAAAAAGATCAGATCCGTTTTTTACAGGTATTGGCCCGATCGGATATTTTCGGAAAACGCTAAATATCGGTAACGATCCGATCCGATATTTAATATCGGCACAGCCCTACTAATTTGCATAAAATATTACGGAATATAAAGTGTGTTCATTAATGAGATTTGAGTCAAAAAATATTAGCTAAGCTTCCAGATTTTGCTAAAACAAGCCTCACTTCTAACTTTTGGCACTAATCTCTTAGCCTGGGTAATTATCTAAATCTTAAATTAGACAAAAAAAGATTGACTTAACCTTTTATAGCACCACGTGATACCTATTATTTAACATTAATTTGCTTACATTTCCGTAATATATTTTTTTAAACATTATTTTGTTTAATATTTATCGTATTTATAAATAGCCGCTTGACTTTATATATCACGTGTAGAACGTATGATTTCTTTGTCCCAAAAAAGTATAAAAGGGACAAGATTTTATAATCATTTTTATTTTTTTATAATTTTGATGTATTGGTTGGCCAATAAAATTAGTAGTTTAAAATTTATCAATTTTATTTGATTTGTGTTGGTAAATTGTGTGATTTATACTGGGTAGAGAGTTATATTATCAACAATAACTCTGGCTATTATTATTTTCAGAAAAACAAATTAATATTACTACCATCAGATCGATACTTCGGGTATTGGTAACAGCAAACAAATACTAATCAGTTATTTCATTTTTTTTCTATATTACTTTTAAGTGTTAAAAAATCTGTGGCCTAATTTTGCTCTATAAAAAAAATGCGATTTTAGGCAAACGAATTGCTTCCTCCTTCATCAAAAGAACAAATTTTAACCACAAATCATTTAAATACCACGAATAATTTATCTACCACATGTGCCACTATTACGAATGTATGGAACACGAACAAAACAATTGACAAACGAAAAATTATAGAAGCAGACGATAAAATCTTTGGTTTTTATTCCCCGGCTCACTCAGCTCTCAATAAAAAAGATGACGATGTTATCCGGGATTTGACTTTACAAATGATGGAAAAAATAATGATCGAACAACAAGTACGCGCCTATCAATATCTTTATTTTATTCATATATATCAAGAACTCATTGTTTCTGATTGGCGGGTAAGAATATATATCAATTTATTGTAACACCAATCAATAACAAATTATAACTAAAGCATAATAATGAAAATAATAGTATAATGATTGCGATTTAATATTATCGATTGCGAATATCAAGTAAATCGTTATATATTTTTAACACCCAACCACGAATTATATAATATCTAATTTATTGACATCTTTTACTGACATTGACAGTTTATACGATAAGCTTGATCACACCTCCCCCTTTACTTTGCCTATAAGCTCATAACAAGGTGGGAGTTGACATGATTGCTTGACATATTTTTTTTGAAATGATGGTTCTCTTTGAACTAATTTATCTTTGCCTCGGATATGAGGACAACAGGGCTTATATAACTCCAATCACCATCTTCCCTCTTTGGAGATTTGTTTCAAATGATCGACAATATTTAAGCTTTTGATATGATTTGGTTACTACAATAAATTGGTATATATATATCCTTACTCATCGATTAGAAACAAGTCAATCCAAGACGCGTTCTTGATATACCAATCTCAAAAGTCTCCATTTGTTAATTTAAAATTTATGAAAACAACGATAATGTATACAACATCGACAGTTATGAAGTGCAACTATGTTCCTGACTTCATCGAAACTTATGATGGTGACCTAGCAGCAGAAATGGTGGCGTCGCTAATAGGTTAAGCATACTTAAAATATCTATATAAGTTTAAATAGTAAAACCTTAATAAATTATGGGATGCAGGCTCTAATGAATGGAAGGACATTTTCTCGGTTTACCGAAATTGAAAAGAAGATTTTTGGTCGATTCAGTCTTTGCGTGCTTTAACTAAGCACTTACCTGCTACAAATCTCTTAAGAGGGGGCCTGATGGTGATTGGAGAGTACAAGAGCCCCCTAGGGTTAAATATGCCGAAAAAGAGTTTATTTAGAAAGATACGAACAGAGAGAAGCCCAGGTTATGTGTTGTACTCATATCCGTGACTAAGGTAAGGTAAATTAGGACAAAGAGAACCATTATGCTGGCCAATGACTATTCTGGATATACGAAGAAAGGTATACGGGCAAAGTTCTCAGTTGACAATGCTAAGCTCATCAATGTAGTTCATTAATCTGCCTATTGATCTTCCGGAAGGACTATACTCAAGCAGTTAAGGTTAACAAACGTTGCAATTTCCGAATGTATCATATTTGGACTTGAAAATAAATAGCATTCCAGTAGGTGCAGCTAGACACTTTGTAGCAGAAGCTTTGCTCAAACGAAAATATCTCTAATGCCAAACTAATATCTATACGTACGTTATACAAATGCAATATACTTTAAATATAAAACTCCTTTTGCATCATCTTTAATATTATTCCCTTGCTTTCCATCCTGTCATATATCACATCTAGTTATTCTCATCGATTCCTAACGTTGCTATTTGATTGGCTATCATCGCATCTCTTTATTCATGGTTCATCATTTTGTCTTAACGACGGTGCAATTATATTTTCTTCATCTATGTCCAAGCAATCATCTTTCCACTAGCATCGATTCTTTGTCACCTCATCATTCGCTTGCCAGGTATACTTGTTTCAATTTGTATTTTACTTCTGTGAAATCCCTTACTTTTATTTTACATTCTTTTCTTTTCAATTTTTTTTAATATTATTTTTCTTCACTTTTTTTTTACTTTTTTTTTTGCATTTCATCTTTTAAAAATCAAATCCTAATGTAAATTCATTAACACCAATATACCTGATATTTTAATTACTAAGTTCAACAAAAATATTTCTAATTAAAATTTATATGCAAGTTTATTTTAATAATTAATCTCCGATAAAAACAACACACTTCTTTAAACTATATACATATCAACCTATTATATTTATCTTTCTTTAACCAAGTTCATAACATTAAAAATATTATTTTTCTCACTTAACTACTTCATTAGCACAAACCGCCTATATAAATTTTCCATGTATATTCCTTTTTTTTTATACCTTCCAACACTGTAATATTCTTGCCTCTTTGTCGAAAATCTATTTGGTTTGATCCATGAATATTTTATTTTTGAAATTAGACTGATGATCTAAGAGCCACCTGATTACTAGCCTCAATTCTGCACCATTTGTTAAATATTGAATGAATAATCTTCCATGGGTCGCATATAACCCGAAGGACCAGGTTTCCTCATTTAAGATAAGTAGCAGATGAGTGCACTTGAATCACACCAAGACTGAGAAGACCAAAATATTCTTTTCAGATCAGTAAACTCAAAAAATGCCCCTCCATTTATTAGATCCGGTATGATACCTTCGGAACTTGCAACGTCTTTTAATCCTAACTGTTTGACTACAGTCCTTGTGAAAGCTTAATGTGCATCTTGATGGATTGCATTAATGAACCTGCAGTCTTACTCAGGAACTTTGCCCTTATCGCTTTCTTTATATATCCAGAGGTTGGTCCCTGGCCGGTATGATGGTTCTCTTTGAACCAGTTTACATTTGCCTCATATATGAGGATAACATAACTTGAGGGCCTCTTTAGTTGTAGCATTCTTAGGTAACTCTTTTACTCTTTGGTATATTAAATTATGGGGCTTTGATTACGACTCCAATCATCAGGTTCCTTCTTCGGAGGTTCGTAGCAAATGAGTTCACGGTTGACAAAGACTGAGCCGACCAAAATCTTTCCAATTTCAGTAAACTCAGAAAATTCCCTTTGTTTATTATATTATATATCCCATAATTATTATGGTTTTCAGTCTAGGAATTGGGCTAGCGATTTCTCTTTTGAATCTTCTTTATGTGCCCAACACCCAACTTTTCGTCATTAGTTAACCCTCCATCCCTGCTGCTAAACCACCTGTATAAGTTACGTTGAAATTAGGAACATCTGTGTTCACCATATTCAAAACTGTTTTGGTTTAATACATTATCGTTGTTCTCATCAAATTTTAATTTATTAAAAAGGGTCTTCGAGATTGGGGAATACTATTTAGAACTCTTCTTGCGTTGAATTGTTTCTGATTGACGAGTAAAAATATATATATCAATTTATTGTAATGTCAATCAGTATCAAATCCTATCTAAAGAATATTTAGAAAATAATAATGTATATAGTCGATAACAAAATATATAATTTAAAACATTCAATCGCGAATTATATTTGTCTAATTTAGACATATCTTTTTAACTGACATTGACAGTTTCATATATACGAAAATCTCGATCACGACAATATGTATAATTAAAACCACATTGACCTTTATGATGGAGACTGCCAAAGGCATTGGTATTGTTATTTAATTTAATTTCCATTTGGATAGCTATAATATATATTTAAAAATTCGTTATTTCTGGTAAGCATCTTTAGCCTAGTCGATAAGAGCCTCGTTTGTCAATCCGATGGTTCTGGGTTCGAATCCACCAAATATAATATTGTGGGTCACACTCAGATCGCGAAATCTCGTGACATTTTTGCAAAATACTCTTTTTTTTACAATTGGATCCATTCTATCATCACCTAAAAGCCCGAATTTTAATAACTATTATACAAATTGTGTTGTCTTATCACATTGGTGCAAATTATTTGTAATATTTTAATCTCCTGCACAAATTTTTTAAAAAGATCACTTACGAAGTTTCGTACTGTGACCGACAATGCATGACTGAAACGGGAAAAGTTATGTGTAAATTTTTTAAAAATAATGCAGAAATATATTTAATCTAACTTTTAAATTTGATCACAGTGGAAATGTTATCATTTAGCTTTGTTATTTAAAATTAATAATATTTTACAGTGCATAGACTCACCAGTTGAAAACACTTCCTCAAAATCAGATGTTATTGAGATGGTTGATACGGATGAAATGGGCGACGCAGACGATACATATTCTATAAATTCGGAAACAGGTAATATTTTAAAATCTTTTGACAATAATTATCAATTTATAGAAAATTTTTGAAATGCATTGTTATACGATAAATAAAAATTACAAAAAAAAATCATCTGTTTCGATTCCACTGAACAATAGTCCAGATTGTTAAGATTTTATTTATATTAGGATTGATTAATTGGTAAATATTAAATTAACAATACTACTTTAATGAATTTACAAGAATTTTATTATAATTTAATTTACAAATATTAAGCGCAATCGCGAGCAGACGAAAACGAAGAAGAAGGATGGATTACCCCCGGAAACTTAGCCGTGCATATAAAGTATTTATTCTATAATCAAATCAACCCCCCCCCCATCCGCATTTCCCCCTGTATATTGATTTGGTTTGATCACCGAATTGATTTTTCAAAGCACAAACATCTAATGATCAAACTAGTGATTCTCCTGATTATAAATTCTCTTGAGGGACCATAACCCTAGTTTGCCAGAGAAATTACTTAACATTTCCTACCCACCAGGGTCATAAAAATAAACATATGTAACATTTCATAGGAATTCGGGGGAATGTGATTGGACCCAATTACAGGAAGAAAGTGATCTGAATAATGGTCGATCCTCAGACGACGACGAGGAGGACGGAAAGGATTTAGAAAAGAAACGAGTAGGTGACGCGAATAATACGAGTAGCGATTACGTAGCGTGCCTAACGGACGATTTCGCTATGCAGGTTTCGTGTTTTTCGTTTTTTTTTCTCTCTTCTCTCATAAAAGTTTCACTTTTTAAATTTTAGATTAGACATTTTTTTTTCGATTCAAATGAAACAACCACCTATCTAATTTGGTCAATTGAGAATCAAAGTGGTCAATGCCATCCATTCCGGGCTAAAGCTTAATTTAAAATTCATCAATTGATTAATTAATTTAGCGGAGCATTTTTTGATTATTACCAAAAAAATTCTTAATTAATAAACACATGATTTGAAAATAAACAACGCGTTTTGTTAAAATAAAATAATTTGCTAGAATGTTTTGTTCAAATTGAAAATCCCTGTGAGATCATCGAGGAATGGCGGAATCATACAAGCCATAAAAGAATACGTTTTATTCTGCAAGGCTTGCTACAAGTAAAAAAAAAGCATTCAAACCACCATTTTTTATTCTTTTTTTTATGGGGTTCAAACCCAGTTTCATAAAATAAATTAACTTCTCCCCCCCCCCTTCAAAGAACGACTACGGACACACATAAGAAATTTTGTAAGCATTGCGGTAACAAGTCTCTTACGCGCGTCGCTTACTCTGTTGACGCGGAAGGAAACAGAGCTCTTCGTATAAATCCACAAAAAATGGTCGGTAGAAGGAGAACTAAGGTATGATATATTATTTTAATTATTTGAGATAAATTAAATAAGAAATTTGGAAAACGATTACAACGGAATGAAAGATGGTAAGTAAGAAAATATATTAGCGCTATTGGGAGGAAAGAAAGAAGCAAATAGACATTTTGACAGTAGGAAACATGATAATTTGGTGAAATACATATATTTTAAAAATTTTCGGGGATAGATTTGAGAATTAACCGTAGGTGAGGTCTTATATTCCAGTTATGTATGATCACTCTTGGGAGTTTTGTAAGACTATCGATTTCTTTAAATGTCAAGAAAGTATAAGTCACGAAGGACATTAATTTACTTTATAAGGAAGATGCAATAAATTTAAAGGGGAAACTGATTAATGCAAAATACTAATGTTGTTAAATTAACCAATTACATTTTTAGGTTATATGTTACTGGAACCAGTTACATTTTATAACAAGTAACTGGAACTAGTTTTTTTATAGCCATATCTTGTAATTATAACGAAAAGTAATTTGAACAAACACTACGAAATGCTTATATAGATATATTTTAAACCTATTTAAACCCATCTTACATTATTTAATTTATAAATACGATAGTTTTCCTTGCCAGCCCCAGCTGCGGGAAAGCATCCCAAACATTCGATTGTCCTCAAAGAGGGCCAAAAATTGGCCCATAACGAAGCTCCCCGTGATAGAAACCGGAAAAGGAAATACGTTGAATCGGGGACCAATTTTGCGGGAGATTCTCCTTTCTCCAAAACAGACATCGAATCTAGGGCATTCTTGGTTTCGGGATTGAGATCAAGGAGATGACAATTTTTTTCTTTAAATGAAAATTTCTCACTTTTGTAAAAATTTGTTTTCTTTCATTTCTATTTATATTGTTATGTGCAATGCGAACATAAAATATATTTTATTATTTTGAAAAATTTATATATTTTGTTTTAAAAAATAATTTAGTGAAAGATAGATTAGGAGAAAAAAACTTATAGGAATTTAAACATTTTTGAATTGTTGATTGGCGAGAAAATCTTTAAAATAATAGAGAAATTTTCTATTATTTAACATTATTTTTTTTTAAAAGAAAAGTTATTTATTTATAATAATATAATTTAAATTTCTAAATGAGAGGAAAATAATTTATGAATTGAAATTATCATTAATATTTAAAAAATACATTAAGAAACAAATCATAAAATTAAAATATAACATTAAAGGGAATAATTCTTTCCCTAAAATAACCATTAATAAAATTACATTTTATTTTTTCTCTCTTTTGTCAAATGACACAATTCAGCTATTTTTAATTCTGAACTTTTTTCGACCATTTGGCGTCATCCATTCTGGCCCTATATCCTGTCAGGTTGGTCACAACAGATTCTAAAGTTCTCCAAAAACTTTTTTTTTTGAAAAATAACGAAATAGGATATTTAAAAAAAACGTTTTACAATAGTTTTTTTCAAATAGATTGGTTTTATTTGTAACCTTTAGAGGTTTTAGTAGTAAGGTTGATAAACAAATAAAATTTATATAAAACACATGTTTATATTTCCTTATTGGCCTTGTTTTCCTTTCTACTTTTCCATCCTAATTTCTTATCCCTCCCTTACTCTTATTCATCTCCCAACTCCGTCCCTTATTAAAACATTAAATTTTGACGGCTGAATATAAATAATAACGTTTTCTTAATGAAGGCTAATAATCAAACTTCATAAACTCCAGTGGCCTATTGAGCCAACCCGTAGTTATGCAATAATAACAATCGTGAGGCATAATATGATGAGTCCTGTGATGCGAAGGCGGTAAAATAATTTTAAATCTCTGAAGTATGACAACGAGTTTCGGTAAACCGTGATAAGTATGGGACCATTTGTGTATCTAATTTCATAAAAAAAATATTAATTTTTGTAAATAAAATTCTCTCTGTGTTTATTTTTCGAATTTGTTTATTTAACTAGATACGAGCCTAAAATCCTCGAGAGTATTCTTATTCGGTATACCCTCCACTTGTGATATTCGGGATTCTGGGATTAGTCACCGATTTTCAGCTTCAGGGCAGCCAATAGAAGGGGTTCCCATAAAAATGCGAAAACTTCCAGAAAATTTAAATGAGCCTTGTAGGTAATGGAGCACAGTGCAAATATTTTTTGGATTAGCTGTCATATTTTTTTTCTTCACTTATGTTCAGAATGAAATGGGAAACAATTTTTTTTTTCCTAAATGACTCGAGTTAAAATCACTGGCCCTTTTCCTAGGTTAGCTTAATACTAAATAACCAAATTAGTTATAGAGAAAAAAAACGAAAACAAAATATGAAAAATAACTGCCACCAAATACTTAAAAAAAAACCAAAATAGGGTGTCCTCGTTCAAAATCTTTTTAGCAGGGATGTGAACCTTAACCAAGGTTCAGGAAATTTAAAATTGTTTGGTTGGGCATTTTGAAACCACAGAGCAGAGATCAATTTTAGGACAACTCATTAACTCCGGGGTGAAATGGAACTGAGGCAGGTTCGGATCCATCTTAGGAAATCGGTTTCGATTAAGTTCCTGTTATCAAAATTTCCATTATATGAAATTTAAAATTCTTGAACCCGGGTTGGGCTCTGTTTTTTAGCGTATACTTAAAGGCATTTATGTATCCAAATTAAGCCGATCTTAGCTTAAATCTAAGAATTTTCACATATTTAAGGTTGTGTCCAAAATTTTTTGAAAAAAAAAACCTCATAATTTATAAATTTTTACAAATTAAAAACATTTTGGACACAGCCAAATTTTATAAAAATTAAAGGAAAAAAACGAAAACAAAATACGACTTGCTACCTTAGCATAAATAATTCATCCTTCATAAAAACTTCTTTAACATTCCTCGCATACTTTATGCTCTGCGCTCAATGCCTATTTATAAATATCCTATCCCTCAGTATTTATATAAAGGGAATAAAAGATCTACCAGAAAATATCTTGAATCTAAAATTCATGGAAACAGATGGGGTCAAGCTTCATTACCTACCAAAAGTTGTGGTATATTAGATCTCACTGCCTTTATTTCGAGCAGTTTCGAAACCCATAATTACGTCCCACACTTCACAAACTAACTTTTCCATAAATGATGCTATCCTACTATGGAGGATACGCGTTGATGACCCATCACCCGAATCCAGTAGACAGAAGGATTGGGACAGGTAAATTGAAGCATGCTGCATTGAATCCCTATTATATAGCAAGCTCCAAATAGACCTTTCTCTCTTCACTTTTTACTTAATAGATCCCAGCATGAATTTTTGTAAGTCATTCCTTCCAAAAATCTTCAACTCCAACTAAACAACAATGAGCTAACCCACACAATAGGAATCCGCCTAAATTGTAAAATAACCTTTCCTCACTTCTTCTCTGGCTTTCGAATCCCGATAGATAGCCATGGAAGACACCGCTTACATTGCAGATCGTGCAAAGGACGAATCCTCAGGTACACCTAATGTAATTCCTTGATCCAGCGAGCATTAAAATCTGCCCAAATACCCGCTATACTTGAACCACCAAGACTCATTAGATCCGATGGAAAGCGGCCTTACAGAATTACCCTAATCCATGGAAACGGGGTCAATTTCTGGTTTGGGACTATTCTTGTATAAATCTATTAGCTCTTTTCAACCAAACTCCGAACCTACTTGTCCCAAATGAACAACATAAAATTTCCAAAAATATCAGAAGATCACATCTTTATCCAAATAATACCCACTATTTTAACTTCCTTTAGTAAGCTTGCTTTATCTTAAGTCAAGGATTTATGATCACACATCCGCTAGCATATTGGCGATCCTCGGGAAGGCTTCTTAGAGACTGCCTATAGCTATCCTTATATCAAATAATTAGTTTCAATGGCAGTTTTATCTCCAAAGACTTTCGCTTATCATTTTACCTTTATATTATTTAATTTATAAATTTTTCGTATATATAATTTGTGTTGACTTATATTAATACGAATAATAAAAATAATATATCAATATATATGTATTTAAATTTCTACAATTTTTTAAAAAATTATTAATTATTTTTATATTATATCTTTTTGAATAATGTTATATATTAAAATGTGTTATAATATGTTTATCATTTCATATATTAAGAATTTAATTAAGATAATTAGTCATATAATCTTATTAACAAAAAAAGGCCATTGAAATATAATACAGAAAACAAACAATATCACCATATCACTTCAGTAGGTATAATTTAGCTTTCATTAATATTTTTATGAATAATAAATTTTTAATAATCAATAATTTATCTTTTTCCAAAAAATATTTTTTAAATTCAAATAATTCAATATCCGCTAGGTGGCGTAATAGTAATTTTAAAAAAGTAATCATTTCTTATATTATAAATCACCACTAATATAACTTTGTATTACATGTAGGAAAAGTTAAATTAACAAAAGTAGACTAAATTATTTAGATTATTTTATAACTTTTAACTTAACCACTACTTAATCCAACAAAAAAAAATTTAGAAAAGCTAGAATAATTTAAGAGTTCTTCAAATTTTAATACTTTTCCTCTAGATTCTTAAGAATATAAAGCCATGCCATGCTTAGAATAAATTCCCAGAAAATTATTCATATTAGATTCCTCGAAGAACGAAAAACAGAGATAAGTAAAAGACTAAATAACTTTACAAAGTTTTTTTTAAACTATATTTATGGATAATGTAATGTTCAGAATAGATTCCCGGAGGAAATTTTTGATACATTCATTATTTGTTCTTTAAGAGGTGAAGAAACTAGAAGAAAATATCTATGGATAATTTTTCTATAATGTAAGGCGACAATATGTTTTTTCTGACAATGAATCGATTTTTTTTTGAGCGCGTTTATTTAAATTTAAAAATCTGATTTTAACCGGAAATGTATTCCATCATGTATGGAATATCTACCCTATGAATTTCGGATAATTTTATGATGTGCGATCGCGATTTAACAGCTGATTGATTTTTAAAAAATCTGTTTACGAGATCAATTTTTATTTATTTAATATTAATTTTATCTTTAATTCAAATTTTAATAATATTCCAAGAAATAATGATTTTGATAAAGAACAATTGATCTCATAAACAGATTTTTAAAAATCAATCAGCTGTTAAATCGCGATCGCGATAGCGCCACTATGAATTCAAGGTAAACGATCCAAAGGTTTTCATGTAAAATTATCTACGATTCATAAGATGGGTATTCTAAACATGCTGAAATACATCATATATATTTTCATAATTAGTGGGTTTTTTTTTATTATTATTATTATATTGGTGTATATTTTAATTGTTTGTAAATTCATTGTATTTTTTATCACGCACGCGCAACAATTCGGTCGTTAACATTGGCGCGTTGTTTTGACTTTGGATTATAAGACTCAGAATGGGTCATGTTATTTGTATTTTTGTAAAAAAAATTATCGTTTTTTCGGCAAAATTTTCCAAATATTCGATAATATCAGAAGATCATCACATCTTTATCCAAATAAATATCCACTATCTTAACCTCTTTTGGTAAGCTTGCCTTACCTTTCTTCGAGGATTTAGGATCACACATTCGCAAGCATACTGGCTATCCTCGGGAAGGCTTCTTCCTCAGACAGAGACTGGCTATAGTTATCCTTAAAGCGAGTTATCAGTTTCAATGGTAGTCTTCTCCCCACGGACTTTCACTAGATTCATTTTTTTTATTCCTTATTCTAATCATTCTTTCACTATATATTTCACCTTTATATTATTTAATTTGGAATTATTATTTTGTAAATAAATTTTATGTGAACTTGTATAAATATGAATAATAAAATTAATATGTCTACATTCATTAGAATGTGAATTTTTTATATATATATAAGGAATTGGCTATAAAAGGACAGATTTTGGTTACTCTTATCAATTTTTATATTATTTGGATTCTATAAAAAATTTTTGATTTTATAGATTCACTAGTTGATAACCCGGCAAGAATGACGGGAATAATAAAATCTTGAACTATTATATGAATTTTTTTTTAAATACATTTTTTTATATAAAATAAATGACAAATTTTAGTGATTATTTATTCATTTTATTAAATCTAGCGTAAAATACATGAAATTGTATCAAAAATGTAGTGTAGATATTGATTAATTGGTATTATATGTCATTTCCAGAGTTCAAATATTGTTGTTGAGATAAAAATTTTATACTGGCATATTTTGGAGTGGTAATATGAGATAAATGTATCGGCTAAATATAATTTAAAATTTATTCGTTATATATAAATTATAATATGTATTTAGGATTAGTGAGGGAGGTTAATTTTCTGGCATGAGAAGATATTGATAAATAGCAGTGTTGTTAAACGCTACTTTTAAAAGTAACGCGCTATCGCTACCGCTATTTTATAAAAAAAGTAGTGCGCTATCGCTACCGCTATCGTTTTCAAATGAGTAGCGCGCTATTAGCTACTTTTTACGCTACTTTGATTTTTTTTAAATATTTTTTTTTACGTAACTTTATTTCCACAAATAAAATATTGATATAAAAACATGACTATAATTTGTTACATATATATATATAATTAATTTATTATTGCACTTGAGCATAAACGACCAATCCAAATCATAAAACTAATGATCCAATATATAATTCATTTCCATTTTTTTCTCGTCTAGAAACAATGCTAAAAGTTTCATAGCATTGTAACCACTATTCCATCTTGTAGTGTTTGGTGTCAATAAATAACGTCCTAATTTTTTTTTGAAAATATCAGACGTCTTTGATGACTTATTTTGTTTATTCCAAAGAGCTTGGCATTTAGAAAATGTAGATCTTGATACTCTTTTAAAATCCTCATTTAATAATGCTTCTTCAGCATCCACTGTCGCAACTAAATTTAGGTTGTGGCAGGAACAACGATGATGGCTAGGTAACATAGAAGACTTTATTGAAGATTCTTAATATTATAAATTTTATTTTATATTGGTGAAAAATTAAATATAAAATAATTTAAAACCAAGGATGTCATGAACATGAATTATCTCAAACTCCATTTCATCATCCTCTTCTTGTTCTCCATCTTCAATATTTTTGTCAGGAATATTACTAGTATTGTTATTATTATTATCTTCCCAAAATATTCAATATTATTTATATCATATTATAAAAAAATTATAATTAATTTAAAACCTGAAGGCCTTCAGGAAATTATACCCATTATCCGTAATCATCTTACCCTTGTTTTGAATTTTGTAAGACCTATGGATTTCTGCAATAATATTGGCTAGAATGTCATCTGACAGCCAATTATTCTCTTTAGAGCTAACGCTACAGATTTTCGTTTAAGATTTTTAGGATCAATCTAATGTGCAGTTACTCCTAAATAAGCTCTAAAAATATGACATATTATAAATCAGAAAATAAACATTTTTACCTTCTATTGTGAGTCAGCAATCTGCCGTTGTACAGACGTAGGAGACATCTGATAGATTTAATATCAAAGATTCTTTCATTTCCTTAAAGCTCTCCAAAATTCTTACCATCAATGTCTGCCGGCAAAATATCTTGGTCCGTGGAGAAAAAGTATTTATCATATTTATAAAAGAATCTATCCACCAAGGATAATGGTTGAACTGTATCTATTATAAAGTTTATAATGACTTTGTCAGCCAATTTTTGGGATACACCAGGTGTTGATGAATCCAAATTGGTTAATTTTGTTTGTATTAAATTTGATTTGGAAGTGGGTTTATCTTCTTCCATTACCCCAAAACCTTTGAGATATTTTTCAATCTCTTTATAATTTGAAGTGTGCACAGTCTAAAATTTTAAAATACTTAGAATAAAAATTATGTAGGAGATAAGTACATAAAAATGATTGAAATAACTATTTTAAAATGTTTTAAATAAATTTAGATAAAATTTATGAATATATAAAAAAAATGATTGGTTTTTGATTTTAATTTATTTTAAAAATTAAAGATTAGCCTACACATTGGTATTAAATTTGTTTAATATATTACCTTTAAATGTTTTTTCAAATTAAAGCTGATCGTATGATTTGAAGAGATAATCTTGCGGCAGATCTTGCACCGAAACCGATATCCAGTATTAATTTATTCTTCAAGGTTAAAGTATTTCTTGAATTTTGGGAAAGGATCATCTATATTTTGCTCATTTTTCAAAGAAATTTCAATATCTTCAACAATCTCACACATAACAAGATTTATAATGCTTAATATAAAATGTAAAATGAAATATAAAATAAGATAAAAAGCAAGGACATACCAACAACGGAATTTCAAAAATATATAATTTAATGAATGCGCGAAATATAAATTAAATACAGATTGCTATTTAACAACTGTTTATATCTAATATATAACAATAATGTATATTTTTAAATATAAATTTAAATTTCAAAATTAAATTAAATTAAATTAAATTAAATAAAAGGATTATAATTTTAGATTTTATAAAAAATATATTCTAATAATTTTTAGATGTATTTATTATGTAAAATATAAGTAGCGAGCTAGAGCTATCGCTATTATTTAAAAAAAAGTAGCGCGCTATAGCTACCGCTACTGAAAAAAGTAACGCGCTTTAACAACACTGAATAGGTATTTTATACTATTTGCAGAGCTCCCATATTGTGGTTGAGACAAAAAAAATTTACTACCATATTTTGGGGTAGTAAATGATTTAAATTTATTTGTTAAATCTAAATTTTAATATAAAAATTATTATTAGATTTTAAATTTGTTCAAATTTAAATATTTGATTCATCCTTCTCTTTTTTACATTTGACTTACTACTTTACTATTAATACTCACAAATCATAATTAATTTAATTTAACTTAGTCATAAAATCTAATTAACAAAAAAAGGCCATTAAAATATAACAAAGAAAATTAGCAATCACTTCAGTAGGTACAATTTAACTTTCATTAATATTTTTATAAATTTTTGATAATTGGTAATTTTCCAAATATTATTTTTAAATATAAATAATTCCGTATCCGCTAAGTGGCGTAATTGTAATAAAATAATGTTATTTTTGTTAATATCGTTTCCCATATTATAAATCCACACTTTTGCTTACAATTATATTGTACACATAGGAAAGGTTTCATTAATGAAAAGTAGACTATAATTTTAGATTTACTTTTATAACTCTTAATCTAAAACCCCTACTTAATCTAACAAAAAAATTTTGGAATAGCTAGAATAATTCAAGAGTTCTTCGAAAGTTAAATATTTATCTTCTAGATTTTTATGACTACAACGTCATGTCATGCTTAGAATAAAATCCTAGAAAAATATTCATATTAGATTCTTTGGAGGAATAAAGAACGAAAAACTATGATAAGTAGACTAAAGAACTTTCTTAGGAAAGTTTTTTTTTTAGAATAGATTCCTGGAGAAAATTTTTAATATATTCATTATTTGATCTTTAAAGTCGAAGGAACTTGAAGAAAATATGTATGGATAGGGTAAAAAAATAATAGTTTTTCTTTATTGGATAGGAGTGGGTCAGAAAAATTAATTCATAATATATATTAGCGGCAATCTGTTTTTTCTGGCAATGTGTTATTTTTTCAACTTCAATTTTTGAGCGTTTTTGAAATTTAAAAATCTGATTGGAAATGTATTTCATCATGTTTGGAATTTATGAATTTCAGATAATTTTATGATAAATTTTGAATTTAATATAAATTATATTAGTTTTAGATATTTTTTTATAAATAAAAGACACAAAAAAAAGGCTATTGGTAAAATTATCTACAATTCATAAAATAGGTGTTTCCGCTATCATCTTATCTTTTTTAAAAAAAAAATTTGAGCCAGACCTGGATTAAAAATAAATTTTTTTTAAAAAAAAAAAATTCATAAACCCTAGAGGGGCTATTTAAAAAATCTTTACAGTGCAGCTGATCGATTAATAAGTGGGAAAAAAAAATCATATTATATTAATATGGCGTCTCGTAATTTCAGACCATTTACAAAATGGTAGAGCCAGCAATTTTTTTAAAACCCATGTCGTGCGACCAATTTAGAAATTAGGGCCGAACCCGGTGATGATTGGAGGGGAGTCGGGGATAAAATTCGGGGTGGGGGGGAGAGGTCGAATAATTTCACTCACCTATTTAGATCTTACATGAATACGGATTTCAATTTTTGGCAGGGGCTAGTTGACACCTATATATTATATTTAATATCATTGGTATTTTAAAACCTGGTTTGTCAAAGCGGCATAGAGCGATATAATCAACAGGAAAAAATCTTGCCCGTAAGAGTGATAATCCGACGATTTTTGACCGGGAAAAGACTTTTAAAATAAGAATATTCGTTATGAAACGCATATATATATATGTATATATATATAAGAATGATTTTGGTAGAATGTAATCAAAAGGAATCAGGTGAGTCGTTCTTAGCCCAGGATGAGCATAGTGATTACTGTAAAAATTATTGAGACAATTGTCATAAATGAGTGACATATTTGATAATTTTGAAAATATTTATTGCGTGAATATTAATAAATAAATTGTGCCGGTTCATTATTAAACCTTATTTTAATATTTTGTTTTATTTTATTTTTAGATATAGAAATTAAGTTTTGTTGAATCATGATGAAATTGTATTTTATGAGCTTCCCTATAAAAGGGAAGCGAAATATTGTAAAAATAATTATTATTAACTATTTTATTTTTGTTTTTAATATATTTTTTTTTTGGTTGTAATAATATATATAAATTTTGAAATAAAATTATTCATTTTCTTTGTGTGGGAAATTCAATAAAATTATTATACTCGGAGTTTTGCTTTCTATTCGGACTTATACGGCACAACGTAATATAAATTAGATTTAAATATAATAATAATAATAATAATAATAATAAAGTTTATTAATTTCCTCTAATATAATATACAATAAAATCTATATATCCCAGTACATTTAATGAGATTAATATGAAAGGATACTGAAAAAAGGGGTCAAATAAAATGTCAAACTCGAATCTTATATTTTTTAAATTAATAATTTAAATTAGTGGATAATTTGGTATCGTCCCTCCAATTCGTATGAAGATTATGAATTAGGCGTTTTGTCGTATTGCCAAGATTCCCAAAAAAATCTCGAAGATTCCCAAAATTGTATTTGAAGTTGGTCATAGATAAGATAAGATAAATTATGAAAATTAAAGAGGTTAAAGATATATCGCAACAATTATCAACACTAAGAAAATTAGAAATTAAAGTATATATTATTTAATTTGCATATAATAATTAATTTTTTTTAGAAAAATTATAATAAATTTTCAATAACATAATTACAATTATTAAACATTAATTTAGTAAGGAAAAAAAATATAATAAAAAAATAAGCATTTTTTTATTTTGCTTCGTCACTGATTCAAAGATAAATTTATAGTATAATCGTGCTGTCTGTTATATATTAATAGATCTAGAAGAGTTTTCTAAAATATTGTAAATTATCTGCAATTTATAATATATTATCTTAATTAATTAAATTTTTTAATATATTCTTTTCTATTATTAATATAAAATATGATCATATATTTTATATACAATTATTATAATATTAATTGTATATAATCTATATTAATTACCATTTAGCAATTTATATTTATACTTAATTTTATTTAAAATATTTGTCTAATCTGTTACATCATTTCAAAATTATACAAATATTATACTCGCTTCAAATATATATGTGGCCATTTTAGGTCATTTTACTTTTTTTCATAAATGTTCATACGAAATGGTGAACCCTAACCCAGTCTAATTATAATACTAGTTTTTGTATGGCTACAAAATATAAACTTTACAATGGTATAAAATTTAAAATACTTTTTTGATCATTAATTAAATATATACATATATATGTGTTGGCGTCAATATGTTCTTTTTTTCCTGCAGGTTGTTATTGTTATACAACTTTAAATCACTTTTCCGAGCTCGGTTTTATAAGCCTAGATTTTAAACCAGAAATATATTCTATCATGTTTTGGAATACCTCTATCTATCTAAATGAATTGTAAGACAATTTTGTCGTGTTAACCTTTAAGTCATTTATAAAATTATAATATAAAATAATATATATATGGAAAAAATCGAATATAAATTATACAAAGTATTAAAAATGTTTATGAAAAAATTTATTTTATGAAATTCATAGGGTGATGGAATACATTTCTGGTTAAAATCAGATTTTAAAATCTTTAGAAGAGCGCTAAAACAAAATAATTTAACACATTTCTGGGAAAAAAACACATTGACGCTAACATATATATATAAAAGAACTGAATATGTCGTGCAAAGCTTCTCTAAAGGTTCAAATGATGTCCTTTTTTTTAAAAAAAAATGCACATCTATTCTCTAATCTAAAGAGGCAGGAAAAACAGACACTTATATTTACACTAAAAAGTTTACTAAAGAAATATTTTATAAATATTTTTTTTTAAAAAGATTTTCCATTTTTTGCCGGAATCATGATCCAGCATTTGCAAAAGTTTTTGAAAAGCTTTATTTTTTAAAAAAAGAGATCTTTTGTACCCGAATTCGTGTTAAGGAAAATTTAAACTCTATTTGGGAAATTTTGATTGCGGGAGCTTATTCGAAAACCGATTATCCAATAAAGAGGTCTAAACCTAGCCACGGGTCTATATTACCCCCAGGAGGTTATATGGGTTGCCCAAAAATCGGTCTTGGTTTGGTCCGCGAAAAATTCCCAAACCAAACAATTTTTTTTCAGAACCCTGCTCATTGTTAGATGGGCTCAAACAAAAGATTTTTGATCAAAGGTTTTGTTACACGTTGGTAACATGTAATATATGATAATGTTTTATTTCAATTTAAAGTTTAAAGTTTATTATAAGGCATTATTGGTGTTATATTATAATATATTTCTTTATTTATTATTGTCTAAACCTTAATACTTTACGTGTCCAATTTAAATGTTTACTGTTTAAGGCAATATCTGTAGATCGTAATAATATGTAAATTGGACATATAGTTATATTAAATGATATTTAATTTTGATTATATATGCATATATATATAAAGTATACCTAACATTTTATATAATTAACGACGAACTTATTTCGATTAAAAAATGATATTACCTTAAAAAAAAAAATTGTTAATTTTATATAAAAGAATTCTGATTATTTAAAATAGTTAACAATAAAATATGCATTCTCAATCAATACTACCGCTTTCCAAGTTCTTATATTATCAATCACTACAACCAATTACTAGCGATCACATTATGGTGGAGGATAGAAATTATATATTTAAAATTTTATTTTGATAATATTGATATTAGTATAATTAAAAAATTGATAAAATACTAAAATATTAAAACAACCATATAAAAATAAGTTTTTAAAAAAAATATCGTAGACTAAAAAAAAATTGCCGTTAGTTGAAATGACTATTGGCTGAAATATAAAGTTAGTGTCAAGGTACTCCTAAAAAACGTTGGACCCAAAATTCGTAGCGGAGAATATAGTAGACGAAGCAACAAAAAAAACAGAAACTTTTCTAAACAATTGATAAAGACATGGCCGTTAGTATTATGGACAATATAGATAGTTTATCTTATCCACCAGATGAAAGATAATTTGATACAAAAAAAGTGGGAAAAAAACAAAATTACACAAAACCTGATAGACTTGAGTCGTCCAAGAGAATATCTGGATAGACTTAAAGGTTGTGGTTCGGGAATAAATTTGGAATTAATATCGGTTCAATTCACGATAAATCGTCGTAATGAAAAACTCGAAGCAAGATTGTTAGAGAAAATAACGGCAGATCTTAACATTTCTTGAGGATATTGTTGTCAATCATTGGAGATAACTAATAATGAAGATTCGTGGAGAAGAGGTCATGGAACGGAATAGCATGGCAGTTCGACATAGAAAGAAAACAAACATAATTTTTAGGGCGAACAATAACAACAATTTCAAAAAAACAAGAGATCATACAAACACCTCACAATCTTGAGGCCAAGAAATAGGATTAATTTCATTAATGATTTTATGATTGACATGCAACTAAATAATGTCAATCTTGACCATCAAAACTTGCCAATTATGAAAAAGTTGAATTGAAAAGTTGTTCGAGAAATTTGTTCTCATATGAAGGTTCTCCTATAACAGTCATTGGTCAAGTCAGTAATTGTAAAGCCAGTATCTACAATAAATGAAAAATTGAGATTTATTTAGTTGCATGTCAATAATAAAATCATTCATAAAATTAATCTTTATTTCTTGGCCTCAGATTATAAGGTTTTTTTTTGAAATTGTCGTTGTTTCGCCTTAAAACCATGCTTGTTTTCCTTTCCATGCCGAACTGCTTCATCATCTCTTCTCAGTGAATCTTATAAAAATATATTCTGATTGGATAAATATAAATAGTTAACAATAAAATACGCATTCTCAATCAATACCACCGCTTTTCCAATTATCATTCACTACTACCGACCTACTAGCGATCTCATTAGGTTTGAAATCTCAAAAATAATCTTTTATAAAAAAATGATAGATTAAATAATGAAGGGCAAACAAAATTTATGTTTTCCCTTTTATTCAATTCTACATTCATTTATATAAATTATAAAGTAAAAAAATATACTAAATTAAACATTACAAAAGAATTATAGTAAAAAAGAACTTATAAAAAATTGAAAAGAAAGAAAGAAAGAAAGAAAGAAAGAAAGAAAGAAAGAAAGAAAGAAAGAAAGAAAGAAAGAAAGAAAGAAAGAAAGAAAGAAAGAAAGAAAGAAAGAAAGAAAGAAAGAAAGAAAGAAAGAAAGAAAGAAAGAAAGAAAGAAAGAAAGAAGATTTAATATTCACAAAATTTCAAATATATATATCTTTCCTTTAAATCCTCATTTGCATAGTCTATACAATATGAAATTTAAATAATATCGTAATAATTCTCATAAATTTGAATAAGACATTTTGTTTTTCGCGGTAAAATATATTTTGATATTCATAGCGATAGTTATTATAAGTATACTTTATTCGTGTGGTAGTAATGTTGTTTAAACGGTTCGATTTTACGCCATTTTTTTAAAAAAAGGGGGGGGGGGCTAAATCGAAGATTTTAGACGATAATATTTGTGAACAAGCCTCTTAAATTTAGATCCCGAAACACTTTTCCGCCATCTGCGAGCTAAATGGCTAAATTCTAGAAGGTTCGATTTTACTTTGGGCTAAAATTGGGTGTTAGCCGTTTACGAGAATGGCTTAATTCGAGCCCGTTTAACTAAAGTTTAGTAAACGATTCTGGCATAAATAGGGACTTTCAAAAAAGTTCATTTTAAACTCGCGAACCAAACCGAGACCTATTTATGGGCAACCCATAACCCCCCGGGGTAATATAGACCTTGGGGCTAGTTTAGACCTCTTTTTTTTTAGAAAATCGGTTTTCGATTATGTTCCCGTTTATTAAAATTACCGCTAAATAGAGATTCAGGTCCTAAACCTTTGCTTTTAAAAAGTTAATTAGTTTTAAAAAAAAAATTTTTAAACAAACTTTCAAGGCTAAATAAAAGAGTAGGGGAATGGTCAGGGCGCAATTGTCCCCATTTGTTTCTATAAAATCGTGCTTGGTTATCGATGTCGGATCTATGTGATGTTGCCTGAAGGATCTAATGAACGCCTTTTACGGGAGGTAAATAAAAGATGTTTAATTAGAATAATAAATGTCCGAGACCCGCAAGCCCGGCACTAAGCCCGGCCCGGGTACAAGAGTCAGACCGGTTTTTTAATATACCCGGACTGGGCCTGAAAGTAATAAAGCCGGGTCGGACCGTGCAAATGGTACCTGTCTATGATACATATATTATTTTATACGTTCCAAGAAGAAGGAGAAGGAGAAGAAAAATTTAAGGGTTTAACAATTAATGATTATTGTTATGGAAGCTCGGGTGTTCGGTAAATAGTCCCGTACCAAAATCTTTTTCTATGTCTCGTTTTTTATTAAAGCTAACCCCCGAACTAGTGCTTTTAAAGGACCTGTTTTAGGCCGATTTTTAGGAAAAGTGCAAACTCACTATTTCATCCAGAAATATATTAGGCAAGCCTGATTTTGTTCTTAGAAGGAACAAAGGTCAAGACACGTATTATCGAAATCTCTAGGCAATATTTTTCTGGCTAAAATATTGAAAACCCCTAACCTCATACATGTGTTTTATAGAAAATCAAGCAGATGAAAAGTTAATTATATATATAATTTTTTTTAAATGCGATTTTTTCAAAAATTGTGGAATTTAGCGTTGCAATCAATCACGCAAAAAACCTAAACCAAAATCAGACCTTCGCCTGTTTCTAATATATATCAACTTCAACATCACTAGCCAATATCAGGCATTGGCTTATGTGTAGATCTATATACCGAGAGGGTGCTAAGTAAGATCCTTATTTCTATTACGTCTAAAAATTTTACGGGTATAAATTTTTTAAAAATGATTTTCAAACTTAAATAGTATTTTAACGCATTCGTGATGATAAAAAAAAAGAATTGAGTTTGTATGTAGAGCCTTAACCCCTATGTTACCTAGGCTGGACTTTGTATGATGGCCCATACATTAAAATTACAATTCCAATTTAAACTATTATTTTATTCTAATTTTTTTTAGTAGCTTAAATTTTGTATATTCACGCTTTATTCTCTCGGGAATATCACTGGATTATTGATCGATTTTGGTAAAACTTAAATATAAAAATGCTCCAATTCGGAGAATAATCGCTATTTTGAAACATAAAAGCAATAATAACGTTTTATTTATGAATAAAGAATAAATTACATGATTTATTTTGATGATTAAAATCATTTTTAATTTAGAAGATATAATTTTTTTTAGTTTGACTTTCTTGATTAGAATAAATTAAATCAAATTATATAATATCATGCTTTATTTAATATAATAATATACAGAAAAATAAATTAATTTCATATCTACATAGAGGTATAGTTTAAAAGTTTGTGGCAGTAATCTGAAATTCATAGAGTAGGTATTCCAAGCAGGACGGTGTACATTTTTAGTAAAATCAGACTCTTCAATTTATAAAAAACGTGCTCAAGATATGATTTCATGTTTGAAAGAAAGAAAGAAAGAAAGAAAGAAAGAAAGAAAGAAAGAAAGAAAGAAAGAAAGAAAGAAAGAAAGAAAGAAAGAAAGAAAGAAAGAAAGAAAGAAAGAAAGAATGTAAAGAAAGAAAGAAAGAAAGAAAGAAAGAAAGAAAGAAAGAAAGAAAGAAAGAAAGAAAGAAAGAAAGAAAGAAAGAAAGAAAGAAAGAAAGAACTTCATCTTCTAGCTCAATGACGATGGATCGTTGCTAAACTTTGTTTCGTATGTAGTTTACCATCCCATTGATTTGTTGAGCTTGTCAATTTCCATCAATTTTCAATGAAAAGATTTTTTTTTATAATCAATGAAAAATTTTATATTATGTAAGAAAGTACATTTACTTAACATATTATGCACCTCACAATGACAAAGTATTTTAGATCGAATTTGCAAATTGTATTCAAATTTAATCTATTAAATATATATATAAATTTTTTTTAAAAAAGACTAAATATATATAATTCGATAATATTCAATCCGCAAATTGGCGTTAATTGACGTTATTTTTTTAAAATACGTGATACGTGATATATGGCGATTTTGCCCTCCGGCGTTGAAGTTTCAACAGAGTTTCACTAGGTTTCCCTCAATTCCATCAAATTGGAATTAAGATTTTAATTAGGGTATAAAGTAAAAATATGTGTGGGCAAGCCACACGTACTTGTAGGGGCAACATTTCGAAAAATGTTGCATAAACCTCTATAGGCTTATTTAGAAAAGGAGTGGGACAGAAAAAGAGCCTATACCCGAGAACTACAATATAATTTAATTACTTTAGGGTGGGCGTAGGATCATTTTTAATTTGAAAATTTTTACTATATTAGTACTGGTTTTAGTAAGGAAATTCAAAAGAACACTTCCAAAAGGAGTTGAATAATTGTTGAGATAAGGAAACATTAGATAATGACGAGTTGAATAATTGTTGAGATAGGAAACATTTAGATAATGATACATGAGCAAAGAAATTCGAAGTACGTATTCATTTGAGGTAACTTTCTTTGATGCGAAAAAGCTTTTTGATGGACCTTTTGCTATTGTTTAGTTTTATGAATTGTTTCATATTTATATTTAAATCCATTATATCTTTTATGGTTTTATAGTACCATAAGGATTTGTATTTTGTATATTGTTTTCCTTTATATGTGTACAACTATGCTATGGCATCATGGGCTAGATTATGATCGGAGTTCCTTATTATGTGGGCTGGGAACTGGATCCGGCGTTTTTTTATAGTGATGTTTATCGGCGTGTGATTTGACTTTTTCCAAAGATTAGAGTTTGAGATAACTCTTGGATAAAAAATGCCATTTATTGTACGTAGACAATTATTTATAAATGATTGTAGTCGTCTCATTTCTGCCTTATTTGCTTCCCAAATATCACCTCCATATAATAGAATAGGAACTATCGTCAAGTTGAATAACCTCAATCTGGTAAATACCGAGATCTCTTTGGTTTTCCAAACTTTCGTGTACTTATAGAAGGCACCCCTCGCCTTTTGTATTCTGATCATCATTTCCTCTTTTCCACTGCCTTTGTTATCTAGTGTTATACCTAAGTACTTAATTTTGTTCACAACCTTAATTGTATTTCCTCCAAATGTAAGATTATCCAGCGGTGGAGCATTTGGGGAGGGGAGAATAAAAGTTTTTTTGAAATTTATTTCAAGTCCAACTCTTTGACTTAGGATCTCTAGTAGGTATAACAAATTTTTGGTTTCATCTATACTTCTTGGAGATTACAAAACAGTGTCGTCCGCTTATGATATTATTCTGTTGACAAAAGATATGGAATTATTAGATCCTAAATCTACCAGATCCGCTGCACCCAGTGCTTCCTTTATGACTTTATTTATCATTATGTTGAATAGGCAAAATCTTTATTTTTTTTAAGCAAGCCCGTGTTTTATGTTTGATTATGATTATTATAGTTTTGTTTCTTATAGTCTTTCCTTTCTTTTAAGAAATTCCACCTCCCCCCCTTCTTTATTACTTCTCGTTTCATCATGGTTTTTAGTTTTAATAAATAATCAATTTGTTAATTTTTCATTTTGATTTTTTTTTACACTATAGAAATTATTTTTCTAAAAATTTTCTAACTTAAATAGATAACGCGAGTGGTCATTTCCTTATCTATAATATACTTGTAGTAGTTTTTGTAATTTTTAAAAAAATTCCTTATCACGTCAAACCTAACAATCAAGCGAGTACACTAATATGGGTGTAAATTTATGAAAAAATAAATAAAAATCTGAGCATAAACACCATCGATGAAGTAATAAAAGGGAATAATGCTTATTTAAATATATAAATTTTTTTATCATTTTAAAATCTTATTGTTGTAAAATTTATATATTTTTTTTAAAAAATAAATAATTAAAATATATAATTCTATAATATTCGATCCGCATGTGGGCGTTTGTTGTTTTAAATATCTTATTTGGATATAATTATATAATTAAAAATAAAATTCTATAATTGAGTCCCCAAAAAGGAACCATAATTGTGTCTAAAAATTTCTATTTGAATTTTTTGTCGAATAAAAAGGAATTCTCTTGGTTCATTTGTGAAAAGTCGTATTTTATTAGCAAGATTTTTTAAAAACAAAAATGTTGAAGGCGAAAAATGCCCGTTAGTAGAAGTCACTACTGGAGTGAATAAAAAGATTTTAAAATTTTTGTATTTGTTTATCTTTTTAATTTCAGCCTGTGTTATTAAATTGAAATTTATGTTTGAAGGGAATGATGAAACACACGTGTAGTCCCATATGAGTGATTTGCCGAGGGCCCAAGGTATGGTTGTCATACCATCAGGTCTTAAACCATCTACTTGAGATAAATTTGATGGTTCGAGATTGTTAGGAATGTGCAGCTGTTAAGCTTCTATTTTATTATATGGTTTACAGCTGAGTGGCGTTAATTTTATTTTTAATTATATAATTATAATTTATAAATTATAATATTTTTATTTAGATATAATATAAATATATTTTTTCATTTTAATGGCCGCCATATCTGAAGCGAGGAAATATTAAAAGTGCAATTTAAATATCAAAATTCCAAAAACCAATGTATACTTTCAGAAAAGTATTGTAAAGCTACTACTAAATTATTATCATCTTAGTATTCCAAATCTTTCAGTTACTTATCAAATTCTAATTATTACAATGATATTCAAAACATCATATTCTAAGTATTACAATGATATTCAAAACATCAAATTTTAAGTATAACAATGATAAACAAAACATCAAATTGATATAATTAGTAATGTGTGTAATAATTATTGCCATTCAGCCTGACTCTTTATAAACAATACTGGGTTTTGTCAACTTTACAATCTCTACTAACATACCCTCAAACTTGTAACAAGCAATTTTGTAACATCAATTTAAATATTCATAATCCTATATACATAGTTTTGCTAAGAAATTTTAATTTTTATAATGCAAATATTCTTATGTTAAAAAATAATATAAAACTATGTCAACAATTTGCAACATCTGTGCTAAACTAATTAAAGTGACAAAGGATAATCTTTTATACAAACATAGTTACAAAGGGTCAACATGTCCTTCCTCTCAAAAATCTCCAACCAATGAAATTATAACAATACCCAAACCCTTATTAAATATTATTCAGCCTCATCCTCCCCCTATCAACACAGATTTTCTTGAAAGATTTTTTGAATGGAAAAAAAGACCCACTTTAAAACATCTACCAAATAAATCTAGAAACCTAATTTCAAATTTTGTTATTAAACTTATCACAAAAGTTAATGATAACTTAAATTGTTTAAAATCATGGGAAGACTTATTAACCTTCTCTCACAAATGTCTTATACGTCCTGCTAACAAAGAGACCCCATTACATGAACAAATAAAATCGAACATTGATAATTTTGACAATATTCAAATGATTAACTACAATCATAATGTTAAAAAGCAAGTAGATGATATAACACACAAATGCAAAATTATATCAAATAAAATAGATCAAGGTGACATAGGTGGTGCAATTAAACTCATATCCTCAGATAACCATCTTTCTCCTATCAAGGAAGAAACATTACAACTATTGAAACAACTACATCCTGAAGCTTCTACAGATAATCTACCCATCTCTCCAATCCACCAGACTGTAATTTTTACCAGTGATGAAATAGTCAATGCTATCAATCTTCAATAAAAACTCAGCAGGTGGTCTTGATGGTTTCAGACCCTCCTATTTTCAATACTTAATTAATTCAAAAAATCCTTCCCATAGTTCTGTCATCAAGGTTTTAACAACTTTTTGTAATAACATAATAAATAATGATATTCCAATACAAACTCACCAAATCCTTTTTGGTGCACGTCTAATTGCTTTATCTAAGCCAGATGGTGGTACCCGTCCCATTGCAGTAGGCTCCTTTTTCAGAAGATTAATAGCCAAAATCATAATCGAACACATCAAACATGATGCTGTCAACATTTTAAATTCTTATCAACTAGGTTTTGGGATCAAGGGTGGCTGTGAAATAGCGGCTCATTCATTAAGAATTTACTTAGAAAACCCACCACCTGATTCTGTAATATGTAAACTAGATTTTAAAAATGCCTTCAATAGCCTACATCGTACCTCATTTTTAAAATTCTTCTATGAAACTTTTCCCTGTTATTCTAAATTTATTGAATCCTCATATGGTTTTCAGACGCCTTTGACATATGGATCTTATCAGATTTTATCCCAAGAGGGCATCCAACAAGGGGATCCATTAGGACCTCTTCTTTTTTGTTTTGGAATCCATCATCTCATCTACCAAATTAAACAAAATTTTAACCTAGATCTTAATCTATGGTATTTAGACGATGGGACCATATGTGGCCCTTCAGCTAATGTACTAAGCGCCTTAAAACACCTGGAAATCAATTCCCAAGCTATCGGCCCGGTACTCAACATAAATAAAACAGAATTATGTTTCTTAAACAATAAGCCACAAAAGTTGGAAGGCTACAAAATCATTGCTCCTGACAGCTTAACCTTACTTGGGTCCCCATTAGCTAATGCGACCAAGTCGGAAGATTTTCTCAACAAGATTTTTAAAAGCTTTTACAGTATGGAGCATATTCTTAGTCTCCTACCAGCTCATCAATCTTTATTTTTAATTCGCAAATGCCTGTACATACCTAAATTTATGCATATTTTCCGATCATCATCTTTTTTCAAAAACAATGAATTCATATCTAAAATTCAGGATAAATTTAAAATATTTCTGGAAAAAATTTTAAACATAAATTTAAACTCATTCAATTGGTCACTTGCTCAGCTACCTTCTAAACTAGGCGGTTTAAATTTTTTTCCGCTCAATCTTTTATCCTTATCATCATTCGTATCATCTAGATTATCTAACAATTCTATGATTTCTGGCTTCATATGCCCTACGGATCGTTTATTAGACGACGCTATTGACAAATGGAAGGCAAACACACCCATTAACACCGTATTACCATCAATCATCACACACAAAAATTTTTCCACACCTTTAATCTCTAAATACCAGACAGATATATCAGTCAATCCACCTTTAGATTGCATTCAACTCCTCCAATTATCTGACAGACTTGGTGGTCATGAATGGTTAGAATCACTCCCTAATCGCAACCTTGGTAATCTCTTATCAGATGAACAACTGAGAGTAACCATTGGTCTACGTCTAGGTTGCGATATAGTACAGCCTCATGCCTGCATCAAATGCAAATCACCCGTTGATTCAAAGGGTAGACATGGCTTAAATTGCATTTTTAGTCAAGGGCGACATCAACGCCACTCAGCTGTAAACCATATAATAAATAGAAGCTTAACAGCTGCACACATTCCAAACAATCTTGAACCATCAAATTTATCTCAAGTAGATGGTTTAAGACCTGATGGTATGACAACCATACCTTGGGCCCTCGGCAAATCACTCATATGGGACTACACGTGTGTCTCGTCATTCCCTTCAAACATAAATTTCAATTTAATAACATAGGCAGAAATTAAAAAGACAAACAAATACAAAAATTTTAAAAACTTTTTATTCACTCCAGTAGTGACTTCTACTAACGGGCATTTTTCGCCTTCAACATTTTTGTTTTTAAAAAATCTTGCTAATAAAATACGACTTTTCACAAATGAACCAAGAGAATTCCTTTTTATTCGACAAAAAATTCAAATAGAAATTTTTAGACACAATTATGGTTCCTTTTTGGGGACTCAATTATAGAATTTTATTTTTAATTATATAATTATAAATTTATAAATTATAGTATTTTTAATTAGGTTTTATGTAAATTAAATAAAATAATATAGTTTAAAAAAAAAAAAATTTAAACGATTAAATAAAGTAATATCTATAAAATTATAAAAGTGTTGAGGCAGAGGCAGGGAGTAAAGCAAAAATTAGAAAATTGTTTAACGCTAATTATAAATTTATTTAGTTTAAAAAATTTTAACGACTAAATCTAATAAATTTTACATCCATATATATATATATGTTACAAAATTCAATTTAACAATTTACTTAAAGGTTAATATAAAATATCAATCATTTAAGCGATCAAGATATTAAGAAACTACTTAAGTAAGTTAATATAATGTAATAAAAGAAATAACAAAATGAGTCTGTAAGGTAACAAGGGGAAATCCCCTTTTTTTCAGAAATATGTCACTTTAAATATCATTTTAAGCTAATAAAATATATCTTCCTTAGCCCCCCCTCCCCAATCCCTATCCCCCAAAAATGTATGCATAATATAACAATAATTTGAAAGAATGAATGACAAAGTTAATAATTTAATGATATTATTTCATATTTTTTTTAAAAAAAATTTATATATAAAGGCATAGCTTATTTTATGGGCTAAGGAAACCTGTCCGAGAGGCAGGCAAAAGCGGGCCAAGGCCCACTAAAAGGGGGTCTGGGGAGCGTATAACCCACCCCCTTCTTAGGGAAAATTCTGGCTACGTCTATTTTGATATATCTAAAAGTATTATAATCAAATTCTTTATACATATTGATAAAATATGTCATTCAATAGAAATCATATTTATTTAAATAGTTCGGAAACAATAAAAACATTCATTCATTTATATAACGTCGCTTATTAATTTGTTATTACTTTATTAAATGGTTTAGATTTCTTTTTGGGTATAAATATGATTATATAATACGACTTTAAACAATATCGAAATATAATTATTAATTAATAACTTTATTATTTGAATATAATGTAGCATAATATTTAGTTTTTATAAACTTGCTTTATATCATAAGAAAATGAATCTCGTATCAATTAATTGAGTATATATATATATAAAACATTTTTATCTAGGGCATTTGCAGTTAAGTCATGCCTAGTTCTAAAAAAAAAATTAATCTTTTAAAATTGTGTAATCAGACAAAAGCGATAAAGTGTAATTAACTACATTATTTATACAATTTGTTTTGATTGCACTTGAATGGGTTTTTCTGACACCTATTCGGATTTCAGTTTAGACCCTTTTCCAAACAAACAGCATTTAGGAAAACGTCTTGCTGGTAAAATCCCTTATGAAATTTTTTTTTTTATTATTATTATTCGATAGACTCTATAATTATGGCACTTATTGTGGTTCGCATTTATCAGACATGGGCGAGAAGGCTTTGTTATAGGTCTGACTTCTTATTTTAAACCAAAAATAAAAGCTTTAAGATGTACATGTTAACCAAAATAGATGAGAAATTTTTTATATGAAAATATTTTTTATTTTTTTTTTGTGGATTATTATGATAGATTACCCCTATGAAAAATAAAAAAAAAATTGGTACTAGAACTAAATAATGAAGGATGGCCAGTCGCGGTAAACAGCATTCAAATTTGCCTGCAATAGGAATATATATTTTATTTTTATTTTTATTTTGATAAAGTGTAATTTAAGAATTAACCTTCCCAAAAGTTGAGTCCATATTGCCCCAGGTGTCGAATGCCCAGTGAATTATCCCGCTTCCGAAATCTGCAAGTAAGGATGCTAGAACTTTGAATTGCAATTAAACTCCATAAGTAAAACGGTAAAAATTAAATAAACCAAAACAAATATATATACAAATTTTCGTTTTCGAATGGCTTTACAAATAATTTAAACCTCGGAGATAATGGATGGGTGGGGTGGGGGGGGGGGTGGCAATTGTTATTTCAGATGTAATACAACTAATAACTTAGAACAAAAATATTGGACACATGGTATATATTTTCCAAATAATCATTTTCTTTTCTTTTTGTCAAAGTTAATTATTGACCATTTGTATAAAGATGATTAGCGGCGCAAATCTTCCCATTTGACCCAATTTTTTGAAAACGGCTAACTCAATATTTTAGCCAGGAAAGGAATGCTTAAATCATGAGATTTGGCTAATAGATTTCCAAAACAGTAGAAGACATAATTCCTTATGTATAATGTTATGGTGCTATTAAAGGTAAAATAAGCACAGCTTTGAAGCATAGAGTCCTGGTTTAACGACGGGCCTTTTAGATTATAATAATTAAAGTATGATCATTATATCCTGAGAATTAGGTTATTCCATATCCAACATTTTGTCAAAAATGACTGCTTTTTTTTAACACGTAAATCAATTATTTCATAATTATAAAATCCTATTTATATAAAAACATAAAATCCATAATATTTCACAAATTAAGTCCAAATTATAGCCAATATGGCGTTAACAATCCTATCGAAAACAATAGAAAACTTAATTATTAAAATTGCTCTCCGGTAAAATTACAAAAAAAAAGTGGAGATGGAATAATCTAATTCTCAGACGACCTTATTTAGACTTTCGAAAGTTGCGATGACTCGAACCCATAAAATTCATTTTTGGACGGAAAACAGCCGGTAATATTATGTTAGATTAGCATTCTACCTCGTGTAAAGCATCATTTTGTACTCCACTAGTATAGTGAATATAAAGATACAAAAAAAGTTCTAAAATAACGATATTTTTACGAGTTTGAAATGATAGCTTCCGATGTAAAACTGCCATAAATCGTGAATCATTGTATAAATAATGCAATATTACTCACTTAGATCCAGAGTTGTTAAAGGATCTAGATAGATATAAAAATGTGGTATCTGTATCTAGATAGATTTTTGATTAAAATATCTGTATCTTGATAATATCTTAGACGATGTATCTGTATCTAGATCTATTTAAAAAGTATCTTTTAACAACTCTGCTTAGATCTTAAGTAAAGCGAATAGCGTTTGTCAAATGGCTCCATGTTTAAAAATGGCTAACCCAATATTTTAGCCCCAAAAAAATATTACGCAAATTTCTAGATTAAGTTAATAGATGTCCCCAAACATTTCTGCCATCCATGACCAAAACCTCCTCCAGGGTTGCATAATATTTTTTTGGAAGCTAAAGCATTTGGTCAGCCCTTTTTTCTTAAGGTTTAACAACACTAAAAGCGAAAGAGATAACGTTTCTATACGATTAAAAATGTTAAATTTAAGAAACCATTACGTCGATCGAAGCTTAGCCTTAAAATTAACGAATAAATAAATAGGATTAACTAATAGACTAAGCTGACTAGCTATTGGGAAATCACTATAATCGGGTAATGGCCTAAATGCCGGCTAATTGAATCTTAAGTCGCCTGCCATGAGAAAATCTAGTTTCTTCCAAATTTGCGATGTTATCTTTTTTAGGAAAAATCTAGAGGTCAAAAGTGATATTTTTCAGCTAAAATCATGGTTTTAACCGATTCCAACTAGAGTTAACGTTTCAGATTGTGAGTTTAGAAAAGAGAGGCAGATTTCAGTCCTTATTATCTCAATTTTAAATTCGTGAAAAACATTTCACAATTAGTTGGGAATAATTTTTTTAAAATTATTATTATTGATAATTATCGGAGATTAATTATTACTTTTAATTTACTCATTTATACATATTATATTATTTATATATCTTTCTAATGATGATATATTGCATCTTTTATTTTATCGATCTGCTATCATATTCGAAAGCGATCCAAATATACAATTTCCGGTCGAATCCGATAGATATATGCAATTTCCGGTCGAATCCAATTGATATATGCAATTTCCGGTCGAATCCGATCGATATACACAATTTCCGGTGGAATCCGATCTATATATGCAAATTTCTGATCAAAAAAATAAAAGAAGAAGATAAAAATTTCATTCCCTTCCCCTAGCGTCCCTCTAAAAAATTTTTTTTTAATCTTTTAATCTTATCTTTCTTTATATTATTTTATTTTGCGTTTTATTTTTGATTTATTTAATTGCAATTTTTATTAATTAATAAAGTATCAGTAATTAATTTATTTATAGCTATTTATTGGTATTCTCTAAATTTTCATATCTAACACTCACCATTTTTTTTTTCAATTTTAAAGACCTGATATCTTATCGTATTTCTCGAATTTCTGGCAATTTCATTATAGTGGTCGCTCCAATGACATATATAATACCTAGACTGACGATTCATTCATTAAAATGCATCTTTAAGCGTCGTTAAAAGCAAATCAGCTGGGCCCGCCATTTTGGTAACACATATAGTAATTATTCTCATGTTAAAAACTACTATTAAATTGGTAACTTGCTTCCTTATTATCTCGATGATCCGGTAATTCTTTAATAAAGTTTGCATCAGATATAGGAATAAATTAGGCTCTCGTTTAAAATTTTAATAATGATTAGTGTAACCAAGATGGCGCCTCCAGCTGATTTGCAATGATGTACACTTTTAATGAATGAATCGTCAGTCTAGGTATTATATATGTCATTGGGTCGCTCACAAAATTAAACTTTTCAAGGCAGCGTTTCGAAACGCAAATAAATGCGTTTTTAACGCAGCGTTTCGAAACGCAAATAAATGCGTATTAAATGCATTCGTTTAAAATTGGACAACATTCTTTGTTTTTTGTTTTCTTTTAAATTTTAGACGTTTCATATTTAAAAAAAAAATAAATAAATAAAAATTAACCGCTTCAAATTTAAACAATAGCTGCGTTTACGTTTTTTTTATCATTTATTTGCGTTTTGAAAACTTTGCGTTTTAAAAACGTTCAATTTGTGCTTCACACTATTTATAAATATTTGTCAGCTTCTTTATAAATATATGTATTTAGAAAAAGAAATAAATATAAATTTATTAAATGGTTTAAGAATTGGTTAAATTATACTAGGGTTGGTAACTCTATACCGATGACATATAATGATACCTAGACTGACGATCCACTCATAATCTTATCTTATCTAGCACGTTGGTCATGGACCTAAAGCGATTGAAAGCGTGGTCGAATGCAAATCAGCTGGACCCGCCATTTTGGTAACCCATATAGCAATTATTCTCATGTTAAAAAAACTACTATATATTTTTTTCTAATTTTTTTTTTTTAATTAAAACAATGTCCCAATTTTATGATCCAGATTTATGTTATTTTAAAAAAAGATTGGGCAACCAAAATGGCGTCACCAGCTGTTTTTCCTTGATGTACGGAATGCATCGTCAGTCTAGGCATTATTATACATCACTGCTCTATACCTAGTGGAATTCGATAAAATATGAAGCCATTTTTAAAATTAAAATAACGCGCGCTGTTTAAAAAAATCCCCGCGAAACCTGTCACGTCAATTAACAATATATTATTATTTTTTTATTTTATTTACTTATAGAAATGATGATTCTATGTAAATACACGAATTGAAATTTCACCAGGAGGCAGAAGGCATTGTAAATTATGAGCACAAAAAAGGCATACACGCATACCGATTCTTGAACTCTTTTTCCTATTTAATATAAATTGAAACGTTTTTTTGTTGTTTTTTTTAACAGCTGATTAAAAACAAATAAAGTTTAAATTTTTCGCATTACTTTTCGTATAATAACTGGCTAGGATAGATGCCCGATCATATTTAACCTCCGAACATTGTTTCATGTCACTCACACATTAAAATTAAAACTACGTATAATTCGGTATACGAATTTTATTAAGGAGAAAAACGAAATAATAATAAAAAAATTTATTCCTTTTTTGTTTATTTATATATATATAGAAAAATAAACATAAATAAACAATATAATAATAAATAATAATAACGATGATTCTAATAAGAAAAAGTAAAGAGGAAAAAAAACAAATGAAATGAACAAATTAAAATAAAATACGATGATTCTAATAAGAAAAAAAAAGAGAGGAAAAAAAACAATTGAAATAAACAAATTAAAATAAAATACTCCCATTGTGCAGCAGATTTCACACAGGAAGAAGTAAGGAAAGCAATCCTATCTTTTCATCGGGATTCGGCTCATGGTCTAGATGGGATTAGACCAATTTTTTTACAGGACATTACCTCTCCTGTGATCTGTACACAGGTTTCAATTCTCACTAAAATCACAAACTTAGTCAACAAAATCCTAAATGGAGACGTACCCAGCTTTATTACCCCCTTACTATTCGGTGCCAGACTCATCGCACTCCAAAAACCAAACAAGGACATTCAGCCCATCGCCATTGGTTCAACTTACCGTAGATTGGTCGCTAAATTAATCGCATCTAGAATCAAACACGATGCCGCACACATTCTAAGCCCCTATCAACTTGGTGTAGGGATACCTGGTGGGTGTGAAGCTGCTGTGCACTTAACAAGAATTCACCTTGAAAATAACCCAAAAAACGAATCCATAGTAAAAATTGACTTCTCTAACGCCTACAACACTCTTTCGCGCAACACGTTCCTACATTCAATTTGCTTCCATTTCCCAGCTTATACCAAATTTCTTTTCTCTTGCTACCAATCACCAACAATCTTACAATTCAACAAAGAAAAGATACTTTCTGTTGAGGGTATCCAACAAGGTGACCCTCTCGGATCCCTTCTCTTTAGTCTTGGAATCAATGACATGATAAAATCAATAAACTCTTCATGTACTCTATCGCTCCACGCTTGGTATATTGATGATGGAATCTTGAGTGGTCCCAGTAGTGAAATTGCCAAAGCAGTCACCATAATTAAAGAAATGGGCACAGCCATTGGACTTTCGCTTAACCAGAGCAAATCTGAATTCTCACTTTTAAATTCTAATGCTCCCAACACTCACGATTTCAAATTCACATCAAGCGTTGAATTAACACATCTAGGATCGCCTGTTGGAGGACACGAGGCAATAAGCACCTTTCTTCATTCCTCACTTGACATACTCCTTAAACTGGAGGACATCTTTACACTTCTTCCATCACACAAGTCCTTTTTTTTGCTAAAAAATTTCTTTTTTATACCAAGGATTCTTTACGCACTTCGGTCAACTCCAATTTTTAAATATCCTATTCCTATCCAAACTTACGAAAAAGGAATAAAGGACTTAACCGAAAAAATAGTAAATATCAGATTCAACGAAACTGCTTGGGCCCAAGCAACTCTTCCAACCAAATTTGGTGGTCTCGGCATCAGATCTCCACTTGACTTAGCAACAACTACTTTCATATCGAGTAGTCTCTTGACAAAGCCAATAACCACCGCCCATAATTCTAAAGAAGACCTTTCCTTAATCGTTGCTATGGATATTTGGAAAACAAGGATCAACGCTGATTCTCATCCCCCCACAACCCATAAACAGAAAGACTGGGATGCACCAGTGGTTGCTCGATGCGTTGAAACTCTCTTATCTAGCATGCAATCTACCGACCGCACCCTATTCTCTTCCTTGCTCAATGGTACGGGACATGAGTTTCTTGAGGCCATCCCATCTACCAATCTTCAGCTTCAACTATCCAACAATGAATTTACCCATGCCATCGGCATTCGTCTAAATTGTTCCATCACTCACCCCCACATCTGCTCAGGGTGCAACTCGCCAGTTGACTCGAAGGGTAGACATAGTTTACATTGTCGCTCCTGCAATGGACGATTCATCAGACACAAGCAATGTAATACAATCATCCAACATGCTCTGAAATCCGCCCAAATTCCTTCCACGTTAGAACCACATGGTCTTTTTAGATCTGACGGTAAACGTCCTGATGGGATCTCTCAAATCCCATGGAGGAGAGGCCAACTTTTGGTATGGGACTATTCCTGTATTGACCCCTTGGCCCCATCCAACCACGCCATCAACATCCTTGACCAGAAGGAACAACTTAAAATTTCTAAATACACAGAAATAATAAACGATCATTGCTTCATCCCAATCATATCAACCACTCTTGGCACCTTCGGCAAACTCGCCTTAGCATTTTTCAAAAAATTAGGATCACAAATCAGCAAACTCTCAGAAGAACCCCGAGAGGGTTTTTTCTTCGTCAACGATTATCCATAGCGATTCACAAAGCTAATTATATCAGTTTCTATGGTAGCCTTCTAGCCAAAGAGCTATCATAGACAACGCTTACGTCCCTTTTTCATTTTTGTTTTTCTGCGTCACACCATCTCCGTTCTTTTTTTAATAGTATTATTATATATTTTTCAAACATTTTTAATTATACAAATATATTTTAAAATTTTAATATATATTTTTTATAAGAAATTTTTTTTCGTGGTTAATATAAACATCTTAAAAATCGCAAAATATGATGATAATTTATTATAATTTATATTTAAACAAATAAATAAAATAAACAAATTAAAATAAAACGATGATTCTAATAAGAAAAAGAAGAGAGATAATAAAAACAAACGAAATAAACAAATTTAAGTTAAAAAAATAAATCTGTTTTTATTTTGCTTAAGGCTATGGCGGCCTAACCAAAAAAATATATACGCCATTTTTAATGTAAAAAAATGTAAATTTTGGCTTTAAAATGATTTTTTTTTCTTCTAAATTCGTTGAATGTTTTGTTGGTTTTTTTTACGAATTCAACCTTTCAAATGCAGCGTTAAAACGCAAAAAAAACGGAAACGCAGCTATGTTTAAATTGAAGCGTTGACTTTTTCTTTTTTTTTCAATCATGAAAAGTCTAAATTCTATAGCAAATCTTTCTGTAATATCATAATCCCATATAAGCCTAAAAATTGTATCATTTAATATAATTATTTTACTTTTTTTTAGAAGTTGTATCCATGCTATCACTTCAAAATTGATAAACGTTTCAAAGAAAAGCAAGATATTTTGTTTTTTAATAGACAAATGAATATGATCTCGTAAAAAATATCGGTCAATACGGATTTGTTCGGTGTAATAGGCGCGAATTATCTACACGAACGCGCCGCGGAATTTGGGGCAAATTAACAGCTGATCGATAGCAGCGAATTTTTGCATTCGTAGAATAATTACGTTGAGCTAATAATCTCTTGACGGATAGTTCTCGACGTTATTTCCATTTTACGCTTATTCAAAAACGAACATGAACCGAAGAATCAATTATTCGTATCCAATAATTGGGAGCAAATCGAATCCGATTGAGCTAATATTAAATTATTCAATTCATTCAAATTTTCGAATACTAATAATTGATCCTTTCATTCCTATTGATTTTTGTTTAATGTTTATTCCATTATAAATGGTGGCATTTTAGAATTTCAGGCGGAGGGGGGAGGGGTTCACTATAGTCAACACACATAGTTTTTTTTATAATTAAATGAATATTTTAGTCTTCAGGGGATCCCCATCTCATTGATTTAGGGGGTTTAAGAGTGTTTTGAGGACAAGGGCTTAACGGTAAAAAGGTTATATGTGCATCTTGAATCCAACCTTTTTTCTTTAATGCATGAACCAGGAATAGAAATTGAAACAAATAATTCGTTATTTCAGTTAATGTAATCGATCATTTTAAAATTCATACCACATGGAATATTCTAATATTTAGCTGTATTGCTAGGATATTTAATATATAATATAGTTTACAATTTATTTTTTTTATAATTTTTGATAAGAAAGTTATCCCCTCTATGCTTTATTTATTTCTTTATTTCTTTCTTTCTTTCTTTCTTTCTTTCTTTCTTTCTTTCTTTCTTTCTTTCTTTCTTTCTTTCTTTCTTTCTTTCTTTCTTTCTTTCTTTCTTTCTTTCTTTCTTTCTTTCTTTCTTTCTTTCTTTCTTTCTTTCTTTCTTTCTTTCTTTCTTTCTTTCTCTCATTTAATTTGAATCTTTGGAAGATTATTTTTATTTCACATTCCATCATTACTTGTGCGCATTTTAAATTTTTTTATAAATATTAGATTAATATACACTGATTTTATTTTAGATGAAATAATAAGATTTATATATATATATATATAAACATGAATACCGAGAAATTTTACTTTGGCATATTTCTAAAATGAATGATTCTATGATTATAAACCTTTCTTCACTTGGTATTCTCCGATAGGAATTTTTTTTATTTTCTTTGGTTGCTTTTATATTGATCTTCTAAAACACCAAAAGAATTTGTAATAGAGATAGAAGTGGAACCACACATGAACCGTTTATTTGAAATTGTATGAGTCAATTGTGAATAAATGTCTATTGGATAAAAAAAAAATCATTTAAAGTTAGAAATAAGGGGGCGACCAATTGACCTTTACATTTAAAAATTTTCTATAAGCTATTCTCAAAAAATTGATGGGCTAAATAGGAACATGAAGACTTTAAGAGTTTCAAAAATATTAATATTTCAGGGAAAACTGTATCTCAATAAATAATCTGGAATCATATTTAGTAGTAAATTGGGTATAGAAGAAATAAAAATCGAGATAGATGATCGCATTAGAGTACGAGTCATAAAATTTTAAGGATCACTGATTTCAGTGTTTACATGAGCGGGATAGAGATGTTGGAGAATTTTGCCTCCAGACATTTTGAAGGAGGGTAGGAATCTATGGGGTAGTGTTAGGAATCTAAGCGGGGTAGGGTAAATTTTTTTTTTGGGGGGGCGGGTAGTGGGAGGGGTATTGAATTTTTATATAAAATAGGGTTAAATAAATTACTAAAAATTAAATTAATACTTTTATAATAGATCTATTATAATATACATATATTGCTAACATCTATCATATCTATATTATTGTTTATAATCTATAGTCATATTTTTTGGAATAAAAATAATTTATTGAAAATTTTCTTCTGCCTTTATTTTTAATTATAATTTTAAAAGGTTTGACTTTCTATCTACATATTCATATTAATGCCAAACAATATGCTATAATAAGGAAACTATCGTATGTGAGGGGAAGGTTTTTAAGTTAATTCATATTCTAAAAAACAACTCTTACATTCATATTTTTTTGTTTATTTTATAATATTGATTATTTAGGATATTATTTTAAATATGTTAAGGGATAACATTAATATTTTGATTAAAATTTTTGAAAATTAATAATGTGGCGACCACAATTTTTTTTTGAATGGGATAGGTTTTGATTTTTGAGGAGGGCTTGCTTCTTCCTGTGAATATTTTATTATGTAGACGTGAATGACTTAATTTTTTTTATTAGAGATGTGAAAATGATATTCGCTATAAAGTGAAGAATAAGTTAGGTGCCCTAGTGAAAATTTATAAATATATTTAAAGAGAATAGAGAAAAAAAAGTGTCTAGGATATATATTGACAGAAAATAAAATAGCAATATTATAATAAAAACATTTTTATTTTTATTATAAACATCAATAGCCTATATTTGTAGTGTTGCCAACTGTCCTATTTAATAGGATTTTTTAAAAGGCTAGTTTAAGATTTTGGCCAAAATAATATTATGTAAGCCTCGAGATTAATCAAATAGAGGTACAAACATTTTTCATCTAGAAGCAATCTCCAGGCTGCCATAATATTATTTTTTCTAAAATCTTAATCTGGTGTTTTAATAAATCTACCTTAACTGGGCTCCTATTTGTGTTAGAAAATATTCCGGTTTTGTGGATATAATTGAATAAACAAATTCTCTTTAGAAAGCCACCTTCCCTCTCCTCCAAAATGCACAGAATACATCATTATAAACGATAATTCAAAAGAAAAATAATAAAAAGTTATTAATTTTTTTCAAATAATAACTATAATTTCAAAGTTATGGAAAAGAAGCTTTTTATAAACAAAAGTGAAAAACATAAATTATTATTTAAATTATCACATAGCCAAAGGCTTGGAATATATGAACTTAAAGACATCTAATAAGTTATAAAGGAAAAAACTGAATATTTTACCCCTCACCCTCCCACTCCCCCAACACCCTTAAAAATATCCTTAGCTATACGAACTATATCATTTATCGACCTATAACATTTTTTACATTATCCTAAAAAATTTTATATAACTCATCAATCCATTTTCAAACCACATGAAATTTGAAAATTGATCATGAAATTTGAAAATTTAAATATTAAGTTGGACTACATAAATGATAAAATCAGCAAATTAGATATTATTAAACTCGCAAACAAAATTATAATTGTAGCAGCCACTTATGATCAAAAAGTTAATGCTTCTTTCTTTTAAAAAAATATTAAATATATTAGATTAATAAAGTGTTGTTTTATGATGCTACAAAGTCAGATGATAATGACCATTCTTTAAATCTGATTTCGAAATTTGATATTGCAGGCGATCCTACCTGCATTGTATATTATACTTTATTATTAATTATATTTATATTCTAGATAAGACATTTAGATTCAATATTTATTAGCACATCAAAAGGAAACCTATACATCTTTTTTATAAATAAATTTTGTGTATATATTTATTCCCTTTAAATATCAAATAAAACTTTATTTTAGGAAATTTCTTTTAGCAAATATTTTGACTTTGGTAAGAATGATAGTTTGATAAACAATGGATTTCATAATGATTCTTGCACAGCCCTGACTGTTGATACTATCAATGATAATCTTATTATTTCCTTTATAGATGGCACTTTGAAAATCTTGGATTTACAAACTGATAAAATTATTCACACAATATGTAAAATCAATATTATAACACATATATTCAGGTTGGGCTCACATTTTTTATCTAAGATACTAACTAGTATTTTGTATCCTTTTCATTATTGAAACTTATATACAAATTTTTCAAAATTATTTGTATCTTAATCAACTTAAAATATTAAAATAAATTTTATTCCAAGTTTTTATTTATACATATTGTTATTATCGTTATCTTTGATTTATCAATTTTGTTTTGCTTCTATCATTCAAAAGATATTGATAAATTTTTAATATATCATTTTGTGTTTAAAAACATTTATTTTATTTATAATTTTTATTGAATTCAATAAGAGTTCCCTAAAATTTTTAATCTCTTTTATTAAGGAAAAAGAGAAAACTCTGAAAGATTTTTTTTTCTCAAACTCTAATTTCAACATTTAAGAAATAAAATATGTCATGATTTTGAATTATTAAACTAAATCCCCCAACCTAGACCAGAGATTTTTCACTGAACCCTAATCTGAACTCTTTTTTAGAAGGAGAGTTCGTAGCCTTGCTCAAAACTCTAAACAAGAATTATTGTGAAGAAGCAAAACATCCTCATATCACATGGGTTTCCCCCTATTCCCTTTTTTTAAAAAAAAGATTTATAATATTTTATATCTTTTTGGAAAATTTTCCCAATTTCTGCATATGAGATGAGTGTTATTAAAATTATAACTAAAAAAAATTTAAGTAATTAAAATAGTAATAAGATAGATTAATAATAACTTGAATGAAAATAAATGGCAAAAATCATTAAGGGAACAAAAGAATTATTTATAATCTTATATATTTATTTTCTACTCTAGCCAATTTCCATAATACTTACCTAAGTACTCTGAAATTTATTCCACCAAACTCTTTGTTGTGCGGTGATTTGTGTGGGACCGTTAAATTGGTCGATTTGAAAACGATACTTACAAAATTATATCACAAAAGCTTTTACTCGTAAAAATTATTACAAATTTTCTTAATTACACTTAATAAATGTAAATTATTAGTAGAATGGGAGAATCTTTTGGGCCCTGAATCTGGCACCGATATCCGAAAAAACCGGGTCGGGTTTTGATCATTTCGATTTCTTTAAAAAAATTAGTAAGTTGGGAAGTTCTATAAATAATCTCATCATTCATTTATACCGCCTCTTACAAAACACTGCAAAAATGATTCAAAATAACGAACTTTTGAAAATTCATTCAGTCTTGAAAGTATATATGTAATATTTTTCCAAACCCACGCTGCCCATGAAATTTTGCAAGCCCCTATAATAAGAAAGAAAACGAGATTAAGGAAACTGATTATAGAATGTAAGAAACTAGTAGAAGAGATTCGAAAATCATATAAAATAAAATACCTTTAATTTTCTATATATTTCAAATAGATTAAAATTTTTGCCTTAAAAGCCAAAATATAGATGGAGGCATATCCGCTCTCGACGTTCACCCCTTCAATTCAAACCTCGTGGTCTGCGGTGACGATCAAGGCCTGCTAACTTTTTGGGATCTTAGGAAACAAGCATTTCCTGTTCAGAATTCTTTTAATAAACACAAATCATATGGTATTATTTTTTTTTTTTTATTATGACATTTTTTTTAAATTAAAGTTAAATTACGTATTATTTAGGGTCTCTTAAATTTTTCCTTTTTCTGATTACCAATTTGGTCCTAACTAATATAAGTATATATCTACTCTCTTTCTTTTAAAACAATTATGACCCCAGAAAATTAGAGTAAAAGTGGTACCCTCATCAGTCACAAAACTGTCTTTTTCGTGAATTAGACAAATATATTTAGGTCTAGTTTAAATTTAAATACAGAGGGGATATGAATTATTTAGGTATTGGTGTCAATATTTAGATTTAAAAAAGGATAAACAAATTAATTTTGAAAGGTAGAAATTAAGGTAGATCAAATTTATTGTGGGCTTTTTAGTAATGTAGGAATATATTGTAATATACTATTTTTACAATATAAATTATTATATTCCCCTATTAGATATGTCTAATAACGATTATATATATATTTACGATTAATATAATATTGGGTGAGGTGCCTAACACCCATAGCATCAATTATAATTATAATTTCCGCAATCGAATCCATATGATTAACAACCTTATGAATGATATTAAAGATTGAATACGTGTGTATGTATAGTTTAGTATAAGCGGTTTAGTTAAGACTTACCGATCGATATTACGGATAGTAAATGTATATTGGCCTAATCCCAATATCACATGATTGTGTTCTTTATTATACATATTTAATTTTTAAATGTGTAAAAGTATAGAATATAAAATTTTAAATTAATATATCGAGGGTTTCTTTTCAGAAATATTAGAAGTTAGTTTATCAGGCACCTTCATTATCACCCAACTTCAACTAAAAAAACACTTGTTCTTTATATTGATAAGAAAGTTTAGAAAAAGTGAGATATTTATGACTGTTCACAGTCTAATATTTTGAAGGATCTGATTGTGGTATTATCATTAATCTCTTTAAATATTGGGAAATATGGGCAATTTTTGATGGTATTATTAATTAAATTTGTCTCTTTATTTGCTTCAAATAATTAAAACGCTCGTGCTGGATAGTTGTTGAGACTTAGATTAGATATCATTTTTTAGAGAAAGGATAGAAGTAAAAAGATTAATATAGACCCAAACATGAAAAGGGCTGGCCACACCTATTCAGTTCAGGCTCAAAGCAATTAAAATCGTGTTTCTAATTGCTGAACGACAAAATATAACCTGTATGGATTTTAAGGATTATACCCGGTCGAACCACTCACATCTCTACCTCGCAGATAGAACAATAGATTTCAAGGCTGTTTTTAAAAAAAAAAAATTTAAAACGCTATTTGTTGGTAATCGATGCGAACGAATATTTATATTATTTCCATATTTTTTTTTTTTAAAAAAACAAGTATCCGGCATCAAATTCCATCCAAATTTTCCCAACAAAAGCCTCTTCTCCTGTTCTCACGATTCTAAACTCTTAGCGTGGTACAACGAACAAAGTTATTAATTTTTTTAAACATAAAGTGATGGGAAAAATGCACCTCTTATACCATATTTTTTTTTGGTTCGATATGTCTATTTAGAAATTTCGGAGAGTTACGGAGGTACCAAGTGCATGGCCTGGCATCGGATTAAAAAATTTATATTTCGGTTCAGCGCCTGATTTTATAAAAAATTTTAAAATTTAATGAAGGATGCCTTCATTTAAAATAATTAAAAGTATTGGCTCATCTCCAAAATTTATCTCAAATCCCCCGTCTGATCTCTTTGTCGTTAAACAAAACACGGAGGTGATTGATAGCCCACTAAATTAATTGGCATCTCTTCTATCAAAATTTTTTTTTCTCTCTTAAAGCATTAAAATAGTAATCCTTACTTGATTACCGTTTTTTTATTTCTAAATTTTTTCACCAGTAATAATTTATAGATATTAAAATAAATAGCTATTGGTTAGTTTTTTTTTTTAATTAAAAGATAACTAATCAAGTTTGAAAATAGGCTTAATGCCATGCCAGAGCGTTCGAGCAAATGTGGTTAAAAGATAACTGGCCCAAAAATTGAACGCTTGCAAAATGTAATTTCTAATATTAAAAAAATTGATATTTAGGGTTTACATTTTCCCTTCCTTAAGAAAGTAAGAAAGAGAGAAAGCATATTAGAGATCTGCAAATCACGGCCCAGCCAGAACGAGTTTCGCGCATGGTCGGGTATATTTCTAAAAAAAATTTTTGGTTCGGCTCGGTATTTTTTAGAAAAATTTCGGATAAACTACTCAGTTTAACTTATAATTATAATAATTTGTTTTTTATAATGATTAATTTCTCAAAAACGCGAGAACACTTATAAAGTACTTGGCGAATTATTTCATAATTAAAATGTTACGAATTTTTTTATATAACTCGAATTAAATTGTTTTATATCGTCGATTGCAAATTTACAAATGTAGAATTTTTTTTTCTAGATCGCCATTGAAATTGAAGAAGGAGGGATAGGAGGTTTTCGCCTTTTTTTGTTAATTTTGATTAGATAGAAATGGGGTAGTATCGCCATGGCCTAAGGGGATGTAGAAGGGCTTGCATTACCTTACCTTACATTTTATAATGATTTTTATATACTGAACTTGAGTTGTAAAACTTTTTTCATTTTTGTTTTCCCCACCAATTCCTCCATAGACACGTCCGACATGTTTAGCTCTGCAAACGACCTCGATATCCAAACGATTGATTTACTCGAAGATTCCAATAGTTGCTCAATCAATGGAATGGCTTTAGAGAGTGATATATTGGTGGCTTGCACAGATAACCAGGGTATCTTCCGTATCTACCTCGAAAATTTTATCTCCATGACATAATAGATCCATTTGATATTTTATTTTTGTCAATCAGATATTAGTTATACTTATACGTTTACTGTACTATTTTTTTTCTTCAAAATATCTATTTTATAAATTTAATAAAAAAAAATTTTTAAAAATGTGTTTTTCATAATTACCCAGAATTTTTTTTTTAAACCTAGAAACTATTTTAAATTTTTTATTTTACCTTCACAAAAAATAATTACGATGCCGGGTTTTGAAAAAATAATGGGCCAGGCAACCAGCGCATATTTTTTCGGGCTGGGCTGAGAAACCTTTCCAAATAATCCCATAGAGCTGAGCGAATATCCTCTAGTATAATAAAATTACAATAAAAACCCCAAGCATCATCATTGTTATGATCCTTCTTCCATCTTTCACGTGATGTGGAGTGGATAGTATACGGCTAACTAACAAGTTTTGGTTTAGATCAGATAAGGTGAGCTGCCTATAAGGTTTGTCTGGGAGTAAGTTTATTTAGGGCATGGTGAAATTGAAACCTAATCCATTTCTATGTCTACAAGATTTGCGATTTTCACAATGCCTGATAGAGATAAAAAAGAAGATGGAAAAACGTATTACTTAATTAAAGGTGATTCCTCATGGATTATATTTATCGCTCACATAGATTAAAATATGATCACTTTATTCTAGTAATCTCAGGGAGTGAATAATAAGTGTTGGTGTTAGTGCTGCATCCAGCTATTTATTATAACAAGGGAGCGGTAGGTTTTGAGGGTTGAAATTTTGAGAAGTAGGATTTCTTGAAATCAGATTCGGAAGCATCAGATGTTAGAGATGAAGGAAGATATGTGGCAAGAGAAATAATAAATGCTTATTTTAAAAAGTGAGTGCTTACCACAACGATTGCACCCCCCTCCCCTTCCATCGCTAAAACATTACTGTCATGGGATTTGAAAAGTCCTTATTTTTCATTGGCTGTTGTCGCCTAGTTTCATCATATTATATCTTAGGGCCCTACAAATTTTTCCAGGGATCAAGACCAAGCAATTCGTGATTATTCATTTTTAAAAAAAATGCTGATTTTTTTTTCATTTGAATTATCGCAAGTTTACTAAAACAGCTGTCTCCACTCTTTGAAGAACTAAGAGTACCCTTTCACGACTCTAATCCAGCTATGACCTTCATTTTTTCAATTATTACTGAATAATTACCTTTAAATAATTAAGGTCCTTGATCCTTATAAAATAGTTAATATTTAATCTATCGCTCAAAATAATAACTGAAATGTTTTTCTAATCGATTTATTTTTTAATCTGAGCAAAGAGATAATTCTGAGTACAATATTTCTTCTGAGCGTTAAAGTATTTATTCTGATCGTTTGTGGGGGGGGGGGGGGGGCGTTTTTTTTTTTGAACATTTTAGTTTTTGAGGGATTACCCATAAATTCATAGTTAGCGAGTATTCGAAAATAATTATACAAAATACGCTGTATTTTCCTACTCTCCGCCGCGTAAAGCGCTAAATGACTGCAAGAAATAATGTATATAGTAGTGGGTAAGAAACATGTAACGCCAATTAATAACCTGGCTGAAATGATAAACTCCATTTCACAATTTACTTCTCTTATAATATTTGAACTATATTTTGAAATTGTTTTACGAAAACTTAATCAAAATTCTAACAAATATATATATATATTTATATTTTTAAAATTGATGGATTTCACTTTTTCATACATTATATTAAATATGAACATATAAAGGTTGTCACATAAAAATTAGGATAATTTTGAGGAAAAAAAAGAGGGCTGAGAGAATTGGATTAAAGATTAAAAAAATAAAATAAAATAAATAATACAAAAATGTCAATCTTTCATATCGGGGAGAAAAAAAAAATTTACGTTGATAATTTCGTGAACAATTTATTAAATAAATATATAGTAAATAGTGTCGTAACGGCTTGTTTACCCGAATTTTTAAAAATGGCTAACTCAATATTTCATCAAGAATAGTATTACGCCAACCCCTGAAGATTTTGTTTGGACATCTGTTAGCGAAGCCTCGGGGCATAGGCAATACTGTTTCTGGCTAAAATATTGAGTCAGCTGTTTTTAAAAATCGGCTCAAAACGAGCCGTTTAACAGCACTATAATAGTATAATCAAAGCGCTTGGTCTAAAAAACACGAAATGAAAGAATTTTTGAAATATATATATAATTGTGATTATAAAATAATTTGTTTTACGATTCTCGATTTTCGAAATGGCTCGTGGGAGAGGGATTTTTATTCCCCCCCCCCTATTGAGAAGTGAATGACGGGTAGGGGCAGATGAGGGGGGGGGGTATAATAAATGGGAAATTTAACTATAAACAATAAAAATATTCCTACAACACGAAAATTAAATTCTCAGGGAAACGGGGGTTAGGGAGGAAAAATAGGATAAATTATTCGTGATATAAAAAAATTTATGACAATTTAATAAAATAATCACCTTAGAAATCTTTAAATTAATTATAATTTGTGTCGCTTAACGTTTTACAGAATTTATTAAATATATCTTCCTATTTTTTTTTTTAAAAAAAAAACAAAGTTAGAAAGAAAAGATATTTTTAAAAAGGAAATTAAGTCGCAATAAATAATGGATTCAAAAACTCTTTTTTTTTGCAGTTGCGAGAATTTGAGAAGGTACAATCATTCTTTAGTGAGAAATCAAAGGAAATCGGGAAAAATTAAACATTATTCGAGAAAAATGGGGGTCTTCGCATGTGAGGGTTGTTATATATATATTAAATAAATTTTGGTAATTTCTTTTTCTTTCTTTTAAAAACTTTAAATTATGTTTAAAAATTAAATAAATATTATGGATGATACAAAATTTTAGTGAACAAAATCTTTGAGAACAACGAAAGCGCATTGGCCCATATTGGATTTCGACATGAGTTTGAGGCATTTTTGAATTTGGCCGAGTATGAGTTCTAATGTGGAGTAGGTAGGTTTACCGTTCAACACTTCAAAATAAAAAATATTTTTAATTTCCGCCTAATTTTTTATTATGCCCATTATATGAGACTGTTCCTGGGGGAATACCCATCATTCTCAACTCCTGCAGAAGTTGTTTGAAATATAGAGATGTAAGTATACTTAAAACTTCTCCATTTAATCACAAATATATTTAGTAAAATGGACAGGGTATTTAAATATAAGGGTTAAGCATGTACTTAAAACCCCTACCTTGAGTCGCAAACACGAAGGTTTCCCGTTAAATGGACAGGAGAATTAAAATATAAAGGTGTTGGGCATACTTAAGATGGCTCCGTTGAGTCGCAAACACAAAGGTTCCCTGTTAAATGGGTCGAGGATTCCTTTTACAGGAGAATTCCATGGGTCCGGATACGCTAATAAACTGAAAGCGTCCTGGTTTAAAAAACAATATATAAAACCAATTAGCTTTCTATTTTTTTTTCTTCTTTATATAGTGCCATATAATATTTTTTTTAAGTTAATAAAGTGTCCTATTTCCTGATAGCGTGTTTTAACTCAATAATAAACGCCTTTATTTATCCTTTTTTTTTAAAGGGAGGGTATATATGTAATTAAATTAAGAGAAAACAAGACAATAATTAGATTAAAATAACTAAAAAGTATAATTTCGGAAAGAAATGATGCATCGAAACACGAGCATTGATTATTTGTAAAAAAAAAAGGTCAGAGGCTTTTATTAAAAATATCAGGGTTGTTGAGTGCTTCCTTTTAAATAACCTCTAAGAACCATTCCAAACTATAAACTAACTTTTAAATAGGATGAACATTTTTTTTAGTGTATAAACCTACCTGTATACTCCTATCTATGATCCTATCGAGAGCTTCGCGGGATTCTTTACGGGAACCGCCATCTTCTATTCTCGCGCTAAGACCGACATTTTTACCGGTGTTCGGGGCCTTGTTGCGACTTTCCTCGCTGATCTCACTTTCGTCTCCCCCTTCCTCACCCTTTTTGCAATTATCTTTGCTCTTTTCTTTACCCTTGTCCTTGTTTTCTTTGCTGTTATTTTCTTTGTTGGAGATATGGTGGTAATTATTTTTGATATCCACTGCCAGCAGATGCAACTCCCTCCCGTATTCTAGTATGCGAGATATGGTGGAGTTTAAGTCGATTTGATTACTAATTTGATTCTTCAACAAAATTGTATTTAAAAAAAAATTATCATTTCGTTTTTATTAATATAGTTATTTAGCCCTATATAAACAGATAACTTAGCAGTCATGGCTAGCTAATTTTCAGGTAAAATTTAGCTCTAACCAATTACATTCAAGTGTTTTAAATGTAGCTCATAAATATATATTTTTTTTAATTTATTACAATTATGAAAAATAAAGAGGAACCATTTATTTTTTCAATGATATAACGAAGTAACTTTAACACAATACAAACTTTTTAAAAAGAACATCTTCTTATAACTTTATTATTAAAATCATTTAAAGAAATAATATTAAAAATGGCTAACCCGATTTGCAACATCATCATCGTTGTCGACGGGGCAACTGTAATCGGAGGAGCAGTAAGAAGATTGAGAACCGGTATAGGATCCAGTATCCGAAATCGAATATCGGTTTTCTTCTTCAGGGCAATCGATAAACGTGTCGGTTTGGTCTTAAAGAGAGAAAAAAAACAGTAAAAAAAAGGATCTTATCTTTCTTCCAAATTAAACCTCTAGGCTGTGTCATAGGTTGGCTCAATTTGGATACTTAATTGCTTTTTAGTATAAATTAAAAAAAAAGTATTTGATCGAGGACACCTTATATTGGTCGATTTTAAGCATTTGGTGGCATTTTTGGTTATGTTTTTTCCGTTTTTTTTCTTTTACTTTTTTGGGTATTTAGCCGATACTTAAAAGACGGTTAAATGATAGACTATTAAGTATAAAGCCGAACTAGGATACGGTCCTAATTTTTTTCCTACGCCTCCCCCATTCCTTTTACGCTCATCATATTTTGACAGTTTTTTGTTTCTACAAATTACCTGTATAGCAGCAACAAAATCGTTGATTGGCATCCGAATAACATTGCTCGCAAAAACATTCTTCGCAAAATTCACCGCAACAGATATCAGCTTCGACTAGGGGCGCTTTCAAATTCCCGTTTTTGATTTCTACAAAAAAAATATATAATCAAATTTTATATTTGGTTATTGCTATTTTATGGAAGAAAAAAAAAGGAAGAATAATAAATCTTTATTTTCACCGTCATGTCCATTTTGATTAAGGGACGCCGGGTTACCTTGGATCCCTCCGCCGCAACAAAATTCGTGCTCGGTGGCGCAACAATCGCAATCGCAATTATCGTCTGCTCCATCGTTTTCCATTCCTTAAGCATCAGTTAAATAGTGCAAGCAAATAAACTCATATGCCTCTTTAAAAATTTAATCACTGGTTTAATTTTGAGACATTTACCTATTTTCCAGAGTTCTAAGGGAAAAGGTAAACTAGCATGAGAATTTTGATCTCTCTCAATTTTAATTTTCTAGAGGAGATTTATGAAAATTTTGATTTTACCGGTTATGTATTTTAGCATTATTTTTCCTACGAACTTTCAAACTATTTTTAATGTATATATGAAATTTAAAAATAGTCAAAAATTTATGCATTGCATAAAATTCATAATTTACCCATGTTGGAATATGCTTCCGGTATAAAATCATTTTTATAAATCAACAAATTCACTCTCAGTAAATTAAAAATTGAGATTCCGAATTTTCCCGTGGATTCTGAAATCCCACATAACATAGATGTCGATAAGATTGGCACTGCCGACAAATTTAGTAACTATTGCCATAGAAATTTTTTTTAACATTTCTCACGCATTTATATATATATATATATACCTACCTTGTTCGTGCGCGTGGCCATTTTTTTTGGTATTGATTTCATTAGGAATATCGCCATTTTTTCTGTAACTGTATTTATTTTTTTTGAAAATCATTTCATATAATCATTTATTTAAAATGCATATTCCGTACATCTGCAATAATATATGTATCTTAATTCTATAACTCCCTTTAGATTTGTTTTGACTGGCTAATTGGCATAAACAAATTATATAAGAAAAAAAAACTAAAAACGGGATTGAGGATATGCAACACATTAATGTATTAGGTAGCGTAGTCTTAGTAATATGTATTTTATTACTTTTTTTTAGCAGAAAAGAGGAGGAAAGAAATGAATGAATGAAAAAATATAATGATTTGTAAATTTATTAGAAAATTTAAAGTATGATAGTGAAATATTGCGATGTAGTTTCAAGTGATGCGTAAATCACAAAATAAATCATGTTAAAATATATAGCTTTGCTATAGTTTAGGGAATGAATAAAGCATCATCGCTGAATAATATATCGCGTTTACTATAAACGAGACCTAAGATGTGACCCCCCCCCCCTATAAAATCGTAAATATCAATTAATTAACCTAATGACATCATTATCTGTAATGTCAATATCCTTGTCGATGTAATCGATATTTTTCGTGGCTTGAAGGAAGCAACATTGCTGACATTCGTCTGTTTCGATGGTAAAGGGATATCGCATCCTTAGGCCGCCATCTCTCATGTTCCTGCGCCTCCGACTAAGTTTACGCCCGCGGGATACTGTATTCCTGTGCAACACGTTATTTTCTTCATTTTCACAATCCATTGTGATTTCGTTATTTATCGCCGTATTGGTATTCGTATAGTTTTTCTTATATTACGCATTAATTTTATACTATACATAATAACATTTAGCTTGATTATTAGAATGTTCTATGTGCTTCTAATATTTAAGAGATTTTTTATATTACCTTATTTTAGAATAGAAATCCAATGGTTTATTTGGACATATAATCTTAAGCAATCCAATAATTCAATTAATGAATTCATTTCTTATTAATCTCGTTAATTTTAAATCATAAAGATATAATTAAATACAAACATAACAAACCTTCGCATGCTTTTTGCCCACCGTATTATTAATCGTCTGCATATCGTTGCTTTGCGTAAAAGAATCGTCTGCCCCTGCGATAGTCTCTATGAATCGTCTGCATTTTAGTTTGAAATGGAGCATGCGGTTGGTTAAATTATTGGAGGACTGTTGCGGATGGAAATCGAAAAGTGAGGGGTAGAGAAGGTCTGTGGTTTGAAGGGCCCGATCTATTTTGCCGCTAAGAACAAGCTTTTGGATTTCTTAAATGTTTATATGAGACACGATATTGTTGAGACTCATAGATTATAGCGAGTTTCAAAACTTTCGTAAATTTTAAAAAATTTTAATTAAACGATATGTTATATTTTTTTTTGAAATTTTATAAAATTTTATAGACATATGTTTTGGACATGTTTTTTTCATTATCATATTTAAAATAGCTTTTCGAAAGATAGTGAATTTAATCACATTATTTTTTTTGATGTTTTGGACACACAGCCTTTAAAAAAAATTTAATCTTCGATGGTAAATAAAGATATTTTACAAATTTCAAAAAATGACTATTTTTTGAGTTGATCAAATTTAAATCAAAAATTCTAAATCTTTTAACAAGTTGATCTTTATCCATAAAAAAAAATCCTTTCAAGATAAAATTCACGAATCCCAAAATTTTGGGCAAAATAAGAATCTTAGAAAAAACAATGTTCTCTTCAAATTCTGATTAGTATCAAAAATATATACGCTACCGGACATAAATGATTGCCCACCCTGCATTTTCTTAGCATTTTTTCTTAAAATAAGACAAATAACACACAATATGGGGTTTATCGAATTTATTTATAAGTTTACCATATTATCGCATAAAATTACAAAAAATAAAAGACATAGCAATTAATTAGAAATTAAATTTTGGTCTCATCAATATGACCACCTTTATTCTTAATAATTTCTGCACACATTTTAGGTAATCTTTCGATGAGATTTTTTAAATATTCGGAAGCGATATTGTTGTTCCATTCTCTCTGTAATACTTCCCAAAGATGCGAATGAGAAATTAGAGAGCTTTTTCGCGCTTGTCGATCAAGGTGATCCCATAAAAATTTGATTGGATTGAGATCGGAAGACTGGGATAGCCAAGTCATCCACTCGTAAATGCCGTGGTGTTGTATAATTTGTAAATAATCCTTGCATTCCCTGGATGTATGCCTTGGGTCATTATCTTATTGAAATAAAAAGTTATTTCCGGTCAAATGCTTTCCTGATGAAATCACATGGTCCTAAATGATTTGCCGGTATCCCTCCTTGTTAAGGATTCCTTTAATTTTGACAATGTCGCCGGTTGCCCCGGCACCAAAGCACCCCCACACCATAACAGACCCTCCCTCGAAATCGACTGTAGGAATTATGCAATGATCGCTCATTCTCTCTCCAGCTGAGCGGCGGATATACTGCCTTCTTTTAGTACCGAAGATTTCGAATTTTGACTCATCACTCGATAATGGTACCAGTTGGCAGATGCCCAAAATTAATATTTTGGTGCCAAGTCTAATCGCTTGAGTTTATTTTTTTTGTTCAAGATTGGCTTTTTGACCACTACCCTACCATAAAGTTCAAAGCTCCTAAGGGGCCTTTTCAGAGTTGTGCGGGTTTTCCCGAGTCAGATTAATCTCCGCAGCTATCTCTGAGGCGACAAGGGGTCGATTGCGTTTACCTATCATTGCTATATACCTATCATTGCTATATACCTATCATTGCTATATACCTATCATTGCTATATACCTATCATTGCTATATACCTATCATTGCTATATACCTATCATTGCTATATACCTATCATAGCTATATACCTATCATTGCTATATACCTATCATTGCTATATACCTATCATTGCTATATACCTATCATTGCTATATACCTATCATTGCTATATACCTATCATTGCTATATACCTATCATTGCTATATACCTATCATTGCTATATACCTATCATTGCTATATACCTATCATTGCTATATACCTATCATTGCTATATACCTATCATTGCTATATACCTATCATTGCTATATACCTATCATTGCTATATACCTATCATTGCTATATACCTATCATTGCTATATACCTATCATTGCTATATACCTATCATTGCTATATACCTATCATCGCTTAAAGTCGTTTTGCGAGGTCTTCCAAGCCTCTTTGAATTCGATAATGTATTATTGTTGCGTATTCTTTTAAGTATACAATCGACTGTTCGTCGAGCTAGGGTTAATTCTCTGGCAATTCGGCGATTACTTTTACCACTTATGTGTAAATTAATTACTTTGCATTTAGTTGGAGTAGAAATTTCTTTTACCTATCTTTGCTATATACCTATCATCGCTTAAAGTCGTTTTGCGAGGTCTTCCAGGCCTCTTTGAATTCGATAATGTATTATTGTTGCGTATTCTTTTAAGTATACAATCGACTGTTCGTCGAGCTAGGGTTGATTCTCTGGCAATTCGGCGATTACTTTTACCACTTATGTGTAAATTAATTACTTTGCATTTAGTTGGAGTAGAAATTTCTTTTCTTTTAATCATTTTGGTCGAATGTTCGTTAAAATATTTATAAAGACTGAGAGTTTCTTTAAACAATGATTTAAAACCAAAAATAAATCTAGGGATTTTTTTAAAATTAAAAATAGGTATTAATAAGCAGATTAGAAGATTAATAACTTTCTTCAAAAAAATATTGGGCAACTTAAAATTGTTGCTGAAAAAAAAACTAATTAACACAATTTTACCAAATTGGTCATTTTTGACATGTTGTTTTCAAAGGCTAAAATTTCATAGAAAAATTTATAAAAATTCCGAGTTTTTTATTTCTAAATAGACATCTTAAATCAATTAATCATTTCGCTTTTACCCAAATAAGTAAGTTTTAAATTATTAATTTTTTTATGTACAAATGTAGGGTGGGCAGTCATTCATGGCCGGTAGTGTATATATTATAAAATACGTTTATATAGTGTTGTTTAAAGGCTCGTTTTGAGTCGATTTTTCAAAACGGCTAACTCAATATTTTAGCCAGAAAAATATCGCACAAGCCTCGAGGATTTCGATAATATATGTCTAGACCTTAGTTCCTTCTAAGAGCAAAATCTTTAGGCTTAAGTAATATTTTTCTGGATGAAATATTGAGTTAGTCGTTTTTAAAAAATCTAGCCGTTTAACAACGCTGCGCATATATGATACAGGCGAGGCGATTTTGATATTTCGGTCCACGAAATTTTTACGCAATGGCTAAATAACCCAAAGTAAGCTAACAAATTGTCCGAAATTTGTAGGGTATGTTGTAGTATTTTTAAAACACATTCTGGGAATATATTTTTTTCGACAAAATCATAATCCTCAAATTTAAAAGAAATATTTAGCGCGCTTTTAAGATTATAAAAAAAAAATTTCATTTAAGAACAAAAAAAACAGCTGATTTTGTCAAAAATGGTCACGTGTTAAAATACCGTTTATCCTATTTAGAAATTTTTATTTTATAAGATCCCCCCCCCTGCAAGAGTTATTTTAAGTTCGATCCTAATTTTTGCAAATTACCGGAATCATCGATACCCATAAAGAGAGGATCTTAATAGAGATCTTTTTTTGCTATTGGTCGATTCACTAAATGGAATTTAATGATTTTTTTAACCCTTCGGTTAATCAGGCAAATAAAAAAAAACTCTAAAAGTATCTCCCTTGGGGAGTTTTTTTTAATGAAAAAAAACGATACAAAGTTAATTTATATTTTATATAAATAAATAACAGAGTTGTTAAAGGATCTAGATATAGATATAAAAATGTGGTATCGGTATCTGTATCTAGATAGATTTTTAAATATCTGTATCTAGATATTATTTTAGACAATGTATCTGTATCTAGATCCATTTAAAAAGTATCTTTTAACAACTCTGATAAATAACATGCCATTTTAAAATTAACATAATTATTAGGTTTTAAATTGAGAATTATCATTTACATAAAGTTAGCCAAGAATCAATATAATTGTAACATCCAAAAATCTAAAAAAATATTATGTCTTTCTAAATTAAAAATTATATTTTAACATAAATATGTAATATCAAATTTATATGAATTTGAATAAATAATTTAGTGTAATATTACTTTTATATATATATATATATATATCAGGATCAAATAATAATAAAAATAGTAATTGAATGTTCACTTAGTACCTGGGTTTAATATTTGCTCAAAATAAAAAATTCAAATCAAATTTGAGCAAAATAACGATTTTCCCTTTTGGTTTTATGCCGTATTATTTAAAAAAAAAATATCTGGAAAATTATTATTTTTAAAAATATATCAAAGGGATTTTTTTACGAAAACATGTCAAAAATCTTCTTGGTGCATGCCCAATTTTTTTATGAAAAGATTTTTAATTTTTTTTTTATCTTCAAAAATTTTTTACCCAAAATTTTGAGCGATAAACCTTATTTTATTATGTAAAATTCACAGTTTACTATACCAACGGATTTAATTATTTTATATGGTAGATATTACTTTATTGAATCGTTTAGATTTATAAGAATGATAAAAAAAATATCAATAAACGCCATCTTACGGATTAAATTTTATAAAATTATATTTTTTAATATTAACTTTTTTTTGAAATATACTATTTATTATAATAAGATTTAACCCACGTATTAATTAGATTAAATGAAATAATTAATTGAATATAGATTTATATCTAATAATTTAATTTTTATAACTGGTATATTTTAATATTGGTTCCCAGCTAATAGTATATATGCTTAATTTACTTGTGCTTGATGTATTTGAAAATGATTGTAAACAGATTTTACAAATCTTATGACCAGTCTCTTTTTTAAAATAATTGTATAATTCTTTAACATCTTTTAAAGAATTTGATGAATTTTTTTGATTTTCATCAATAAAAGTCATTCTTTCACCCCTTGAAGAGTGTGGCATTTCAATATCAACTTCTATGATTTCAATATCCATTTCTAAAAATAAAATATAATACTACCTACCCTACTAAATTAAAATACTTGAAGGCGATTGAATTTAATTGAATGAAACGGGAGAATATAAAAAGTAAACTATGAATATTGAATTTAATGAAACGGAAGAATATAAAAAGTAAACGATGAATTAGATATTATAAAGTGTTAGGCATTAAATAATCATATTTTATATGTTCATCTTCATGTACATACACATTAACTATAAAGCAATTTATAGTA